ATTTAGCCATGACGGCGTGGCACGGGAGTAAAGACCTTGGAACTAATGCGGGCAGGGTGCCTAACCCGCGGGGGAGAAAACAGTCCAAAGCCCGGGGCGGTTGGATGTGGATCAGGGGCAAACTTTGTGTATGTGCTGGAAATTTATTGTTGAAATATTTTTGAAAAGCTTTGCGCGGTCCGTTTGTAGGGTAGCTTTGCCTCTGCCATCGCGTCGCCTTATAGCTTTGTCTTTTGTCGCCGCATTCCCGACATCGCACTACCATGGAGATTGAGTATATTCCGCATGGAAAACTCGCGCAAATTGTTAAAGAGCACCATACCGCCGCGATTGGGGTTTTTATGATTTTTCGGTTTTCGGTTTGCGGTCTTATATAGCAAAATCCCCTCCCTGGTCCTCCCTACCCTGGGACCCGGGATTCTATAAACTCTTCTGTAATATGTCAGATGGAGCGCTTGTACACCGAGGGCGATACGGTATACGGCGAAATGTCGCAAGACGTGAAGAAACTCGCAACGCGGAACGTGCATATGCATTGCAAAAGTTGTAAAGTATCGCACTTCATTGCAAGCATGCATTGCAAATCCCCCTTTTAAGGGAAGTCCGCATTGCAAATTTTATTTCTCATGCTGAGAAAATAAAAATTTGTATTGCGATCTCTACTAGTGCGATAGCGATGCTTTTGCAGTGCATAGTGCAAGAGGAGGAGCAGTTCCAGTCCTTCGTGCTCGACGAGCTGAAGATGGTCAGGAAAGGTGTTGCCTTGGAGGAGCGCGCGCGGAAGAAAACGGATGACGAGATTGTCGCGGCGATCAATGTGTATACCAACGCCCTGCAGAACGGGCTCAGGTCGGCGAACCTGGCGAGGTCATAGCGGGGAAGATTGTGATGTCATCTGCTTTTGTTGCCTTCAACGTAAGTAAGTACCTACTTGGGCCTTCATCTTGGATGGTTTTGGTTGACACATAATTCCAAGAACGACGAGCGCGAGGTCCTCGTAGGTGAGCTCAAGAAAGAAAAATCGCGAGGGCGAGGAAGATACCCACGCCCATATTTCTGGTGCTGCGCGACAGCACCGTTGGTCAGAGGACGAAGCATGATCGCAATTGAAGGAGCGTTGCATGATCTTGATCTTCACCCGTGCCGCCGTCTAGCTCTAGCTACGTGTTCCATACCGCCGCTGTCTAGCTTATGCTGCTTGAGCTTGATGAGAGTCACGAGTGGCCACTTGTTTCGAGTGAATACTTAGACATTGGCCAGCGAGGGCCAGAGCTCTCATGGGGGAAATTACTCTGTTGAGAGAATATTAATGCTCTTCTTCTCATCCCGATCCCGTGTCTATGTGCGTGCCGTTGCGTTTTTGAATGCCAGTGCCTTCATTACGTCGATCATTAATTCTGGCGCAGAGAACTGGACCACAACCACTACTGTAAGAGAATAGTACTGAGTCGGACAGCAGCAGCGGCAATCAATTTAGTAAGGCTTGGAGGTGTCCTCGAGCAGATTGATGAGCATGCTCCCGACATCAACACGGCTCTCCGGTCGTCGAAGGCCGCGGGCCCGCCTTGCAATTCTCTAACGGGTGGAACTACTCCCGCGCCAGCCGCGGTTGAAGTCTGGCAACAAGTAGAACGGCATCGGGTGACGCTTGAAGTGACAGCCCCGATGATGGGGGGCTGGTCGAAAACGGGCACGGTGCTGGGCCGCGCTATTGTGGCTATCCTGTGGGTGCAAAAGTATTGCACTCGTGAGACGAGCTGCAGTGTTTGCATGTCGATTCTTTATATTTGCTTTTCGTTTTCCCACCTGATTCGGCATGACAAATTGGACGCTATCGCTCCTTCTGACAAAATTTGTGATAATGCATCTCCTTCCTGTGCGATCATACTTTTGCAATGCATAGCAAAGGAAGCGGACCTGCGACAAACGCTTTTATGTTAGCCCTAGCGCAGTGCTAGTTGGTGGCATCGCCATCCTGCCAGATGTCGCCCAACTAGAAGGCAGGCCCGCGGCGCAGTTTCCAGGCGCGCGCAGTTCCTGGCGGTCTGTTTGCGTTGGGGGGTGATCAAACCACCGAAGAAGAAGAACCGAGGCGGCGCTGTTTGCGTTCGCCCGGCGCGTTTCCTCGTATGGTCATCAGCGCCGACGGGAAATTCCTGTCGCGCCCGCACGGGCCGAGCATGCTCCGCGCTATCCAAGTGCTTCGGCTGTCGCGGCCCGCCGCGGCGCCCGCCGGGCCGCCCGGCGCCTTCCGATGGCCTATGACAGCAAGCTAGGCGCCCGGGCCCGGCGCGCCCCGCCCCCGGCGCGCCCCGCCCCCGGCGCCTCCCGTGGCCGGCTGCCTGCGCAAGCCAGCCCAGGCACGCTATTGCATGGGGCCCCTGCCAATCTCTTGGCTGCCCTGCCGCGTTGTGGCGGGCCCCCTTCGCCCTTCTTGTTTTTGGCAGCGGAGGTGCCAGCGGTCTGCAGAAATGGTTTGAACTGTGGAGCGCCCGCCCGGAATATGGGTAGGGCGCGTCTTCTCGCCGTTGAGGATGCCGCCGCGCGCCAGTCCGGTGGCCCTCGGATTCATGCTTTCAGATTCAAGAGGGCACGGAAGCGACATGAGCCTTTTCTGGCTTCGTCAAGCAGTTTTGGCGTTGGTTTCTGAAACCAACTTCGCCATGTGATCCCGCCTCTGGGCGGTCACATGAAGGAGCTATGCTGGTGAGGCGATCAGGGCCATCCTCCAGCTCTGAGTGGTACTTCTGAGCAGCGGCAGCGCAGCTGCAAACGAGCGATTGTCGTGTGCTACCTGTTACAAGATAGAACTTTATTGGTAGTCGGGAGCGATGAGTTGTTATAGTGAAGGAAAGTCTAAGTCTTGGTCTTCGCTGTTCTCGAGCGTGGGCACCACAATGAAAATGAGGTCAGCTACTTTGCTGTTCAACGATTTGCAATTTTTTTCAATTTCGAATAAAGCAGAATATCAATATTTTGGCTCGAGTTCGTGCCGGCTCGACAGTAGAAATAACATGGGAAACGTTTCCGAGAAGATTTGGGTTCCCGAGGCCGACGAAGTTGCGGACCAACACTTTCAGGTACGCGGGACGCCGCGAGATTTTCTCACGGTGGCCTCGCTCAAGGAGTCCTTTCTCGTCGTCATCAACGATGTCAGTTTCCAATCGCACGTGCTGGCTGGCTTAACACAAGAGGACGCGGCAGCGCAGCACTACCCGGAAGGATGGACACCGATGAACGAAGGGTAGTAGTATACGAGCAGCTGTAGTTATCACAGGGATGTTGAAAAGAGCTAACGTATATCGGAACTTGTGATGCAGCAATGCATCACAAAACGTGCCACAATTTGTCATGCATATGATTATGATGTATATTGCGTTACATTTGTCGTGATGCATGACTACACCACCCTAACATCGCTTCAGATTCACAATACTGCGGAAGGAGTCGGGATTTCCGGAGTACAAAATTGTTGACGTAGCGAAAAAGGACGAAAACGCGCTGCGCTACCGAGTTATCATGCAAAGGGAAAAAGACCCGCACACGAGAGAAGAAGCGTTCATTCTCACTGTGACCCACGAATTTTACCTTGAGTACCAGCCGGACACACACATGAGCAAGGTATTGAATAAAAATAACATAGTTGTAGTAGTACTTTTTTAGCTTGCATTAGAGGACGTTCTAATATATTTTCTTCGAACTACACGACCACGCGCACGCCAGGTCAACCGCAAAATTATCAACTTCAAGACAAGTGACGAGACGAATATCGGTAAGTGGACACCGTCGTTTCATATAATCAAGTGGGGCATTTCGCGAGACGAAAACGCACAGTGGGCGCAGATGATGCGCATTCACGACGAAAAGAAGAAGCTCCTCCTCGGCGGCACTGATGCCGACGGCAACGAGCCAGCAACTAGCGGCGAAGCGGATGCAATGATCAATCGGATGGCGGCGGGAATTCCGGAAATCGGGACCGCCGGCGCAGGTGGGAACGTTATCGCGCCGACGCAGGTGGGAAATGCGGTGGCTTCACCCTTGTAGTTTGGAGATATTTATTTTTTACCGAATTCGTTCAGCGGAGGGATGCCTGCTGCTGCGAATAATTTGCTTGTTGTGCTAGTATTCCTATTGCGACATGCCATGAACACGACTTCGACTTGATTGTCGTGTCATAAAAAAAGACCCAAGGGACTGCAATTCACGTTGCGGTTGCAGCACGACTGGCTATTTGATATGTTTTGCGCCCTTGATATGAAAATTAAAATTATGTACATGGTCAAGTTCAAGCAGGAGGCTAAACAACAAACACCTCAACTTTCAGGAAACGTCTATTGCCAGCCTACCGGTCGTGTAGAGGACATTCATATACGCCCTATTGAATGTTGCCCGTTTGAAATGACTACTTCGCAAACGCAAAGATTTGAGATTTCAGTGAAAAAACTTTTGTAAATCGACGACGCTTAGTGCCAAGCCGATCACAGGACGGAGAGACTGTCGCAAATAGCCGCAGTCTTTCGTGAGCTTCTACTTTAGTCAAAATGTAGCAGCATGCCGCTACGTACTCGAGTGTTCAAAGAGAATGACCTGCTTCTTCATCGCTTCCACACTAGTTGTAAAGAACGAATGCTCTATCATATTTTTTGCAACGCAGATTTGTCACGAAAAGCAGATCGACCTCGACCTCCTCATAAAAAGGCACAACAAGTTTTGTCATGCGTGCCTGGTAATGTGAATTTCAATGTGCTGCGGCAAAACAGAAAAAAAAGGAACAAAAAGATTCAAATTACATCGTAAGTGTAGGAGATTTAGAAGGAAAAAAATGGCCAAAAGTGACCCACTCTGAACCGCAAGGGCACCAAAAAATAGATGTAAGTACAACGGATTGCCTTCCTTTAAGTTTAGAGCTTCAGCTCCACTCGCGCACTTGAAAAGCCTTATGTTATTCACGCAACTATTTATTTGTATTTCCATCGTCCAAATATTTTTTCTAATTTCACAGACGACACAAACAGGGTGAGGAATTTAGTTGTTTCAATAGTAGTTGTTCAATCACCTGGCGCAATACCAGTGCCACCATGTAGCAGTGAGCAAAGATTCACTTCGTGTCGCTTTCCGCACAATAAAAGCGTCGCGGTCGCGCACTACTTGACTATCCGGCTCTTTTTAGCGGAGAAATTTTTAAAGTAGATTGTCCATGTTGAAGAAGTTTACAGAACAAGTAAACCTATCGCAATTTCCCTAAGTAAAACTTTTTAGCTCAAGTTCATCATCTGCCCAGTTTTAGTAGATTTAGTGTCCTGATAAACGCCGGCACGCCTCGCGCAATATGATGTAAAACAGACTCTTTCCATCGCATTCGCAGGCTGTAAGAATATAAAGTAACAAATTGATGGAACAAAGTAATGACGGTACGACGCTGATACGGAGTACCGAGTTTGTGACATTCGGCTCACCAGTATTTATCTTCGCAGCTCGTCCGCGGCCGGCCGCTGAGGAAAAATCCGAATCCTCGCAGCGCGCAATGCTGGGGCCACAGGTGGTCGAGCATCAACACTTTCTCGAACCCTGACCGAGAAGAAAGTTTCAGGATAAGGCGACGAGGACTAAGCCTGAACTCATCTTCGCCTAAGATCGACCACGGAGCCGACTCCATTGGAACTCGGGTCGTGGAACAAAAGAGACGAACGGTAGTTCGTCGCTGGGCTGGAGGAGCTGTGCTTCTGGTGGTCGTGGACCACGAAGGAGCACATTACATCAACTCACTGGTTGTGATTGACGAAGTTTACAACTGAATCTGAGACAGCTTCATCAACAGGACAACAATTCCAATTCGCGACGACGTGGAGAGGACAGCCAGTTTATGTTTATTTGAAGTGAGTCGGAAAAAACAGTTTGGCGCCCAACCCGAAATAGCAACAGGAAGAAGCAGAGCCGTGGCGATTCTTTGCCCCTAAAGATTTCGGAAACATCACGACCGGAAACCGGAAAGACAAAGAGGCTACTTGTACTTGTTACAAGAAACCACAGCTTGCAGCAAAGTAGTTGCTGTCGGCCGTAGCCGACTTACTTTCTCGTCCTCGCGCAGCTTCGTTTGTGGCGCTGTAGTGCTCGCAGATCGTGCGCAGCTCTGCCCGCTTCTCATCTTCATCTGAGCAACATCTTCATACACACGACCTCAGCGAAGAAGAACACAAGGAAGCGTGCTACTCCTGCTCAAGTGAACAAAGACAGGAACAACTTGAACTGAAAGTGATCTTCACCTACAGGCACCACAACTTAATCTAGTTCCTGTTTGTTCCCAGCTCGCTGCAGGTACCATGCAGCCCCACGACACTAGTGATGAGGAGCTCTACGGCCCAAACCGAGGCGAAGCGGCGCCGGCCCTGGCGGGAGAGCGCACGTTCGCAAAATTCCAGCAAGCTTGCCCAGGCCTCATGGAGCACGAAAACGAATTCTACATCGATAACGTCGGTGGTTTCCTCGAGGGTGACAAGATCCGATCAGACCCCTTTGTAATAGGGAACTTCAGGTACAACTATCAATATGAATATCATTTGTGCGAAGATCTTCATGCCACGCGTTTTTGAGAGTGTGCACAACGTTGGCAGCTGCATTTTTTTTCGTTTTCCATATTTATAAATATAAAGTACTTTGCCTCACGAGGACAACAAGCGAACCATGTCTAAGGAACTTCGATCTAAACCATCCCGACAGGTATCGCGTCCTCGTTTTCCCGTTTGGCACACGAAACCAGGGTAGTCGACAGCCGCCAACACTTGCCGCCTTCGTGGAGGCGGACCCGCTGCCGCAGATAGACCAGGAGAGATGGATGTTTCACAATGTCAAATACGCCCTGACACTCGTCAATCACCATGACTACACGCAGTCCGTCCACAAGAGCGACTCCTGGTCTTTTTGCAAGCGTGAGATCGACCGCGGATGGCACAGCTTCATCAGCGTAAAGGACATGCTGGACGGGAGCAAGGGCTGGATAAACAATGAGACGGAGAAGAAGGTAGTTTATGTCTCCTGTGTTGTGTTTTTATACCCGCGGCCTTTTTTTCCATTTCTTTTTCATCTTCTTGTGAGTGGCCGGGCCTTGCTTGATCCATTCTCCATTCTCCATTCATCTTCTTGTGTTGATACATATCCGACGCGGGCACCACAACGTCAATACACGCATGTGGAGCTGCGATGGGTAGTTTCGTGAATGAAAGCAGAAGTATGCACCCGCTTACGCTTTTCAAAAAAAGGGAATCTTGTAAGTATATCTACTTTACTCTCGACTCGAAACTCCAGATCACCTTTCGCGTCCAGTGCTACGTGCGCAATAGTGAGTCCCTGATCAACATCGGCGCCGACTATGACAGCAAGAAGGAAACGGGTTTTATCGGTTTGAAGAATCACGGGGCAACCTGCTACCTCAACTGCCTCCTGCAGACGCTTTACAACATCGGCAAGTTCCGAAAACTGGTGTACGAGGCAGACACCTCGGAAACGGCAGAAACCGACGCGCCAACGAGCGGCTCGGGAGGGGATAAGAAATCCAGCGCCAGCAGCAGTTCCACGGACCAGCGCGGCGGCATGCACGGACCCCCAAATTTACTGAAGGCCCTGCAGAACAGCTTCTACTCGTTGCAGACAAACCAGCAGGCGGGAAACTGCCGAGAGCTCATGCGCAGTTTCGGCTGGGAATCCGTCGATGCCTTCACGCAACACGACTACCAGGAATTAAATAGGATACTGCTAGACAAGGTATACATAACTTCTTCGACAAATCAGAATTCGCGTGCTGGTTGTTCTTGGATACCTTACCTTGTTTGCGCAAGCACCTTCTACGAGAGCTTGATGTAGTTGATGATTTTTGTTTGCCCTCGTGTTATTTCCAGGTAGAAGAAAGGTTGAAAGGCACGAAACTTGACGGCGAGCTGAAGCGCATGTTTGCTGGTGAACAGGAAAGCTACATCGAGTGCACGAACGTCAACTACGCCTCGAAGAAGCTGGAGCCCTTTTACGACATAAATCTCAATCTAAAAACCGACGATGGCTCGTATAAAGTTTTCATTTCGTTTACTCTATCTTGCATCTGACAGACACAAAAAAGGCTGTGGCTGAGTTTGTGATTCGGAATAGTACTTACTAGAGCGATACGAATAGAGTTCGTTGGTTCATGTTCGGACACCACACGATCACGACCAAATTCACTGTAGGTGGGTGAACAACCTGGAGGACGCGTTTCGCGACTATGTGAAAGAGGAAATGATGGAGGGCGAAAATGCCTACGACGCCAGCGACGGCGGTTTCGGGAAACAGCCCGCAAAGAAAGGCATTCGGTTTAAATCGTTGCCGATCGTCTTCAATCTCCTCCTGAAACGGTTTATCTTCGATCTGGAAACGCTGGACACGATCAAAACAAATGACGAAATGCAGTTTCCCCGGAGGATAGACCTGTCGGAATACGTCCCCGGGGACCATGACCCTGCCGTGTACACCCTGTACGGCGTGACCGTGCAAACCGGCACCGTTTCCTCCGGCCACTACTACTGCTTTCTCCGCCCCTGGCAGGAGGACGGCACGGAAGCGGGGCAACTCTCGTGGATACGGTTCGATGACGAGCAAATCACGAAAGTCACCGAGTACGAAGACTATTTATTTTGGCTGAATATTTTCATCGTACTTTTATGCAACACCAATACAACGGGGCTGCAGGCTGCTGGAGGGGGCTCTACATGTCGTAATTACAGCAACAGCATACAACGTGCAGCACTCGGAAATAAACTAGCATGCTCAACAAGCTACAGTACTGGTGTACTAGGAAGTAGAAGGAACAAGAAAGCGGCACTGTACAGCACCAATTGCAATTATCAGGTATGCTGCGATGCAAGATAACTACGGCGGCGAAGATTTGGGCACGTTCAACCACTTTCAGCTGAGTCTCGAGCAACTGAAGGAGAAAAAACTTCCCGAGCGAAACGGCTGGCCGCAGAAGCAAATTCGCATGGCAAATGCGTACATACTGGTCTACATTCGGGAGGACCACGTGGAGGACATGTTGAAGCCCCCGAAGCCAACAGCCGCGCTCCGGGAACGCATAGAAAGAGAGCAGGAAGAGAAGCAAAAAGCGCGCTACAACGAGCAAACAAAGGTAGAAGTTCTTTGGAGTCTTCCTCTTCTGATAAAAATCTTCTGAATGTTTTCTTGCCACTTGTTGTTGAGTTGTTCCACGTCACTTTTTAAGAGATCGCGAGCAGTATTTTGAGTGCATTGGTGGCGATGATCTTCATGTCTGCGTGTTACATTGTAGATGCTGCGAACTTGTTTTGATCCATTCATCTCGCTCCGGATGAAGATGACGTGAACTCTCACGCTCAGCTTTGACCAAGAAGAAGAAGAAGAAGAAGAAGAATTTCCTTTTTTTTTGAACGCCTAAAAAAAAAAGGACAAGAAGAACCGCACCAAAATTATATTTCAGGTTCTCATCTCAACTGTGTTGGAGAAGGACCTCCTGGCGAAGCAGCCGTGCGGTTTCTGGGACAGCATGGAGGGCACCGTCCCCCTCACAATCCGACCACAGGAGTTCCCCAAGGAGGAACAAAACGTAAAAATCTGGGAGCAAATGCAAGTGTCGCTGCAGGGTCAGGACATGTGGCCAAAACCGCAGGGCGGCGAGGAACAAGTGCCTCCACAGGGCCAACCAGACATCCGCAACTTCGCAATGTTCGTTCTCCGGCGCCGCACCAACCGACAAATCCGCTTCTCGAACATATCACACACGGAAGCACTCAAAAGTATATTTTCATCCTTAAAAGTTGTATCAATGTCTACTACACTGAAGCATGTTGAGCATTTTCTTTGTCGCTGCGCCTTCTGGCCTCGTAGTACTTCTCGTAGTGTCCTCTCCTCCTGCCGCTCGTGCTCGCAGATGATGGTGTAGCTTTTGATGTGCAGTGCTCCACTATAATCGTCGACAATTGTACTTAAGTATTCGGAACGTCACATAATTATAATGATTCTGAAGAATGCTCATAGTATTATCGCACTTCCACAGAAGCGACAATAGGGACCGAAACGCAGCAAGATCAGCAGGCGAACCGCATGTTTGGTGGCGACATTCCCGACACTTCCGTTCCTCGCCTGACTGTCCTCGCGTTCCAGATGAACGGTTATGATCCTGATACCTTTTGCTGGAACCCCACGGAGTGGGGCATCGACGGGAAAAACACGCTCACACGAAAAAGCTTTTTTGAATGGAAAGAAGACTCCTTGTGCAAGGTCTTGGTCAAGTACTTCTGCCCGGTCACAAGGAACATAATGATGCTCGGCGTTGTATACGGCAAGATGACCGATCAGGTGCGTAGTGATCTTCATATCAACATCACCATTGTTCTTTCTCAAGGTTGACGCTACGGTTTATCTCCCACTTCCTGTCAACAGAACAATGCTTCATCATCTCCATCTCCATGTGCTAGCTATAGGAGCTTCTACTTCTGCATAACGTCAGCTTCGCCTCTTCCGCCTGATAGTACCTTAATGAGTTATTTTGTATCGGCAAGGGAATGTGGAAGAGGAACTACAGGTAGAAAACGCATTCCTATTTTTTCCAAACAAAACCTTTACCAAAACAGATACACAAGCTCGAAAATTGGGTAATAAAACGACAAAAAGCGACCGCTGAGAAGTACCCGGACCTGTGTCGACCTGCGCCCGCGAACTGCAAGTGGCTCTGCTTCGAAGAATTCTCTAACGTGGAAATCAAGCCCGTCAGCTTGAACGAAAGTATTATACAACCTGAATTTTTGTAGTATTGCCCGAGTTCTAATGCTTATGCTTGTAGACGTACAACTACAACATGGACTAAAGATTCAGAGCGGAAATAAGAACGCTCGTTCTGCTCACAGAACCATGAAATTGATATTGAAAGTGAAAGATGAAAATTCATACTTTTTTCGCAGCATGTCATCAATTATGTATACCACAGCCTTCAAGCAGGCGGATCTATACACGGGCGACATCATAATTTGGCAACCCGAGGTAACGGAGCCGCAAGAGGTTCCCGTTGGTGAGTTGCCCTGCGACACCGTCAAGGCTTTAGCGGAGAACATAGCAAATAAAATGACGGTATTGATGAAAAATTTGTTGAAGTGCTGGCGACTTTCTCCGCATCGACGACTCTTGATCTTCGGTAGTTGTTGATCCCGATCGGATCTTCTCAAAAAGGTGAAAGGTGAAGCTGCAGGAGGACGATGAACCAATTATGCAACAAGAAAGACACAAGCTGCATTTCTTCGCGCGAGATGAAGATTTTTGTTTTTCGTCTTTATGGTTCGCTTGTTGAAGATGATCTACTCCGTTAAGAATTATATTTACCTTCTAAACTCTAACTCAGCTCCGCATTGTTCTTCATGACGCGGACGAGCTTTGGGCCATCGACGGCATTACCTCTGGCCCGAGCGTGTGGAACACCTTGAAGGGGGGCGCCGCGACCCCGAACAGCGACGCAGTGGATGCGAGCTTGCAGGAGGAGGGGAATGGGCAGGATGCGGACGGAGGAGCTGCAGGAGGACCCGCTGCGGCCTCGTCGCGCAGCCACGAGTTCACCATGGATACGCGACAAACGGTCTCCGCGTGCCTGCAAAAAATCGCAGACCACTTTGGTATCGAGAACGTCGAAAACCTGTGGATCTTCCGGCACCCGCCCTCCGGCTACGGAGAGGAGCCGCTCAGTCCGCAGAGGAAGGTATCATAAGGAAAAACGTCCCCACCCCAGAGTTGTCATGCAGATTTGCATTGACGAGGACATTTGTGATGCGCACACCCACGGTAGCCATTTCCAATCGTGTTTTTGGAATTTGTGATGCTGTGAACAGGATAAGCATATGGATCTGTGATGCGGCTGCACTTGCTAACCTGCACTACTACACCATGGAATGCAACTTGTCATGCGTGACGTCCAGCAAGGCTCCTAGGTTTCTGTTGCAAAATCCCCATCTTGAATCTGGTGTGGGGACGTTTTTACTCAGGATAGAAGGAGGAGGACACGAACTGCACGCTGGCGCAGCTGCAGCTCCCGAGACAGATAACGCTCCACGCGGTGGTCGTCCCGGGCTTTCCGAAGAAGGTATGGCGGGAGCAGTGCGCGCACCTAATCGAGGACCACCACTTGGCGCGACAGAGCAACGAATACGTCGTCAATCCCGAGGGGAAGTCGTTATCGGTCGTGGTTAGGTATTTTGATGAGGCCGTTGTCGAGCGCGCGATGACAGTTTTGCAAAAAATGCCCTACAACATCACCGCAAAAGAAGCGACAATACTGGCACTCACCAGCTTCAAAGCGGAAGGACTCGACGATAAGGTAGATAAACAGTTCCACGAGAAACATTAGCCTACTCTACTTCCTGATGATGAAGATGTAGTACAGTTAGTACTTTTTTGTGGCGTTATTCTGGTGTTGCGTCGAAATGGCACATATATGTTGAAAAGCACTCTTGCTGAATGACTCGCAGTCGCAGAAAATTTAGTAGAAATTACTATGGTCATCTATGCTGATAAATGAATACAGGACCCGGCACAGTGGAGGTTGCTCGGCATACATCATAACTTGAAGGGCCTGGAGATTCTCGCTGAGGACTCCCTGCTGCGCGAGCAGGACTGCTTCCGAAAAGGAAACTCGCTCTATCACTGCCTTCGACTCGAGAAAATTGCGGTGCCAGAGAAAACACCAAGTACTTACAGTTGTTTCTACAAGACTTTTTTGGATGTAAGTAGCTTCTACTGGAGGCATTCTAACGACGAGGTTCGATGGTCGTCACAATTGTTCGTTTTCAGCATCATTACTCTGTTCTGTATCTTCGAAGTGGTGGACATCACAGAAAAATAAAAAAAACTTAATCTCTAGGCAAAACCAGCGACGCGGCCCCGGAGGGCACCACCTCCCCTGGTGGACAGCAAGAGCAGCCCGACGACGCAACTGCAGGCCCCTCGTTAATCTGCTGCTACCACGCCGAACGCTCCAACACCAGTATTCCCTTCGGGCACCCCTTTTTCCTGCCCGTTTTCCCTATCGAAAGGAAAGACTCCCCCTCCCCATATTGAGAAGGTATGTTCCCGAAAATTTGTGTTGCTGATTTGAGGTCACAAATCACATCTGTGTTGCAAGAAGACAAGGGCAGAAGCTGCCGCCCCATTATGGAAGGTGTTTGTGATGCTGTTTCGCCTAAAAGGGAGCTGTTTGCCATGCTAGACAACTAGACCCAGGCGCCTGTGCCTAGGCTTAGTATCTGGCCGCAATGCCTTGCTGCAATACAAAGCGCATTTGTGTACACAAATCCAGCATCAGAAATTCCGTTTTGATATGGGGAGGGGGGGTTTTTCATTTTGATATTCCCCGAGGATACCGTGCCCCTGATCAAGCAGCGGGTCCGGGAAAAGTTGCAGGTCCCGGTATCCTGTGTAAAAACATCCCCACCCCAGAGCTGTCATGCAGATCTGCAAGCAGAAGAGCATTTGTAATGCGCATCCCCATGATGGGCCTTTCCGATCGTGTTTTGGAACTTGTAATGCTCATGCTGTAAATCGGATAAGCAGATGGATTCGTAATGCGACTTCCATTGCTCATTTGCACTGCAATACAGCCAATTGAATTTGTTATGCGTGCCTCCCAAAACTTCAAGGTTTGTGTTGCAAAATCCCCATCTTGACTCTGTGGTAGGAACGTTTTTCCTTAGGATACCCCGAGCGCGAATTCAAGCACTGGCGGCTCGGCAAAGTTACGGACAGCCAAAACTCCATGTTCGACGCGGCGCAGCGAAATTTGCTGCGAGACGAAGACTCCAAGGAGGAACTTGCGCAGTTTCTGTTCTCCGCGAACACGCGGAACGCACGGAAAATCTGCCTCGAGCACGTACACCCACCCCCCACCACCTTCGGCGCGGATCAGAAATCATTCCGAAACCAAAAACCCCGCGGCGCGCTGACGATCAAGTAGCAGGAGTAAGTGCAGTGGTCTCGCAGCCACGGGCAGCACGGCGTAGAAGCAATTCCTGTGGTGCGACAGCGACGGAGAAACGGGCACAATAAGCCGCGAAGAGATCTACTGCTCTCGTCAGAGGTAAGAGCAGTGAGCTTCTACCTGCTGCTCTCCCAGTAGCTGCCGGCGGAAACAAGTATGTGAACAGAGACTTTGAATCTTCCACGTTTAAAGAAAAAGTTCGTCTGCTGTAGCTGTATAGATTGGCAAATATATAAGGCAAGTCAGTAGCTACTAGCCCTAGCTACTGTAGAAGCGCAAACTATGTTTGCTTTTTATCTGTTTTTTCGTTTTACGCAGTATGAGGCGATAGACAAGGTACTTTTAGTCTTCCTCATCTTCGTTTTTTTCCGAGTATCATAGTAACCGGGTCTTCACTCAGAGCGGAAATGAAGATTCCACACAGTTTTATTCCGATAGCAATAGCAAACAAGCCATTGGTTTTTTTCAACATTGTTCAGAAACAGAATACAGCGTCAAGGTCAAAGTCGGAGCTTGTTCGGCTTCAAAACTACTCCGATTCAAATTTTGTCGAATAGAAGTTTCCGTTGTCAGTGTATACTGCAACCAGCCGCGATTATCTCACGCCCATATCGCCTCATTTTATTCGCAGCGCACCGGCAGTCTTTCCCACGCAAATCATATCATATTAAAGTCTTCAACATAGCCCATTCCTTTTATGGCATGGTGACCACCCGTAGTCATACCCACAGACCCCACGAGGCCCCCCCCTCCGGCAGCGCGACCAGCATCACACTGCTGATGCTCATTTACTGGCACCCGCTAGTGACCATCATGTTTGGATTACATCAGCAGCTTTACTCTTCCGCCAGAGCACTTGGCTAGACGACTCACATGAAAAGTTGTGGCGCTACAAATCGTAGTGTCGATTTCGATAAGTACAAACAAGAAGGATTCTAAGGAGAAGATGACCGCCTTCTTTTGGTGCGAAAAACCCACCCTGCTCTCACTTTCCTTTTACAGCCGCATTAACTACAACTGTAGCTACAGCTGCAACTCGTTTATGTTTATGTTTCTATCGTTTTTCTTTTTTGTCGTTGTTCGTAAATTCGTTGTTGGCGGTCACGATTCGTCAAGTCGTGACTCGTGTTAATATACGTGTATGTTGCTTTTGAAAATAAAGGACGCAGAGACTCCTCTTCGCAGTGTACTAACTTGATGGTAGATGGATGTTTACCAGCTCATCTGAATGCTTTGCTAATGATCACGCAACACTAGGAATACGAATATGCAAAAGAAAGACAAGCATGATAATCGAGACGGCAAAGCTAGTTGCTATGCAGAGCACAGTCACAACGCAACCTCATGATCTGAGGCTGCGAAGCACCGTCTTCATCGTTTGTCTGGCCGCTCCAACCATGGGCATGATTGCCTACGCATAGGTGTCCAGGACGCCCGCGGTCTTTAGTGTCTCGATCTGTGGAGGCTTCCACAATGTCGAGCGGGCGGTCCTTCTAAAATAAAATCGAAAAAAGACTTCACCAGGAGAGGCCACGCGTGCGCGACTTTTTTTAATGTACGAAGATGTGTGTCTGTGTTTTATTTTTCTAGTATTTAACGGACGAAAGCAGCTGCGAGAGAAGACTTTGAGATGAGAAGCGAGAAGCTGGAGCGCTAAATTTTTTGTCGGTCGTTCGAAGTGTCTCAATGTTTTTTCGATTTGATGACGAGTGGTGGAGGGTACTTCTACATTGATACTCATACTTCTATTGTGATCGAAGGGATACTAGCAACTTAATCAGGTGGCATTGAAGTATTATCATACCTTTTCTGTTTTTTGTCTAAGCCTAAGGCGACTTCTACCCTATCACAGCGGCAAGCTAAGCACCCGCCTAAGCCTACCCCTCGCATTATACGATAAAAAGTCACTCAGACCTCGCAATTTACATTTTCGTAATTACTTCTCCATGTCCATGATGAATTAGAATGGAAATTTTCGTCGCAAGATTTGCATTTCCAGAAGTCTTCGTGGCTCCTACCCAAAGTCAAAGACCTGCCCAGCCATTAAACTACCCACCCCGACCTGTATTTTCTTTTAGAAATTGTAATTGATTACTTATGTAAACGTAGCATTATCCATGCATTGTCATCCGTAGACGCTTTTTTTTTTAGATACGCCAACAAGGAGCGAATTTCTCATCAGTACCCACGCAAGAGGGCACTGTGAAATTCCTAAAAGTCGTAAAGATGTTGTGTTTTAGTCGAACCGAAGATCATACGAATGCGGTTTTTTGACAAATCTGCTATCACGAGCTAGATATTTCAACTTCAGCTTTTCGATTTCGTCCACCTCTTAGCCTTCTATCATATTGATCTACGAGTTTATTCCAGGGGAGCAGTTGCAGTTGCGCCGGAGCGCTAGTCCTCTTCACGAGCTTCTGCTAAAATGACTAAAAGAGCGGGAGACTCAGCGCAGGAAGCGGCATCGCCAACTACCGCCATCGAGATGGTTAAGTCGTCGCCAGCAGCACCAGATAGCACAACGATGAAGAGAAGAAAGGAACAAAACCAGCCCTGGACGTGGGAGCACACGGGACTGCAACTGAAATTTCTCTTTGTCGGCTTCTCCGCGTACGTGCTCGCGACCGGCGGCATTGCCTGTGCGTTGCGATTTCTCTTCTCCGATCTAGGGAGGTTAAACGACGTCAGCCGCGCCGTGCAAACCGCCGCGACGGCTTCCGAAGGGGCGCAGCCGGCAGCGCCGGCCGACCCGACGACCAGCGGAGCATTTATTTTCGGAGGTGGTGAAGAAAATGCGTCGACGATCATCCCAAAAACCTACTCCTACACGTCCTACACCTCGCAAGTGGCGAACTTTCTGTCCGGCGGGTGGAGCGGCTACAACACAAACGTGGATGGTGCTGGCGCCCCACGACCCTCCCCCGGTGCCGATCTGGTTGTGCGAAACGAGGTATCTGGCGAACTCATTCCGTACGAAGATTTGAACACGACGGGACACATATTGATGCAGATCTTCGCGATCCCAGCAGCGCTGTTTTTTGTCGTTCTGTTCACCCTACCCTTCTTTCTCATCGCGGCGGCCCGGTCGGATCTGTACATCCGGGAGGAAGACTTTCGGTTTTTCCACGAGTCGCACATCTACCGGCCGTACGAGTCACCGTTTCTGGTCAACAGCATCCTGGCAGCCGCGGCGTCCGAAAACGTGAACATAGTACAACCCCCAGCTAACCTTTCCGATCGCGATTTTCAAAATCACCGCTGGATCATCTTCATGAGCAAACTGCGGTACTACTTCCACCTCGTCGCCTTCCGAGTGTTGTCGATCGCGGTGGCCGGTTGCATGTTCATCAGCAGCGGGTTGCCGCTCGTTATCCACAGTAAATTTCCCGTACGCGTACAAAAACAAATGCGGTCTCTGCATGGCAAAACTTGGCTTCGGTCCTAGTTTAGCATGACAAGTTTCACACTCCAAATTGGGGAAATTTGTGATGCGTCTTGTACTTGGGGCCGGCGCGATGGATGATCATTTTGCTCCCTTTTTCTCTCGGATTTCTCCAACCTAAGAAATTTTTTTAGCCACCACGCACCGAGGCCGGGCCCGCCGAGCAGAATTGTCCAGGGTCTCGCCTGTGCGGCCCCAAAAAGAAGCGGCGTCGCACATGTTGGGCCGCTTGCGGTTGCGCCGGTGCTCTTGGGGGCCCGGCCGCCGCGCTGGGTTGTGGCATTGCGGGGGCCCTTGCGGAGGGGCAGTGGGGTGTTGGCGCGGTCGGTCCAGGCCGCGCAGGCGCCCACCTGGCGCGGGGGCCTGGCGCAAACTGGCCAGCCGAGGCCGGGAGCCGAAATGAAGCAGGAGGAAAGGGGGGCGCGGGTCCTTGCATGGGCCACACTGGGGAGGGGAGAGGTCGCGGCCAAGCTTGGTAGAGCGCGTGAAGCGCGGGCGTCCGTCCCATGCCAGGCAAGGAGCTCCGAAGCTGGGAGGAGACACAGAGCACAGGATCCATGCTCGGCCGGGGGCCTGCGGCCCGCAACCAGCGGGGCGCCCCCGCGAAGGCAGGGATCGGCGCGGCGCCTTCGCCATGTCCCGGGCGGGCTCATTTCGCGTCCAATATCCCCGGTCCCCTTTCTGAATCCCGGCGCCCCAGTTTTCGCCGTCCTTCCGAAGTAGGGTCGCGCGAAAACTTATGATCATCATTTTCTTCAGATTTTCTCATTATTTTCTCACCATTTTCTCATCATTTTGTCCAGCCGACAAAATGATGAGGTCGCTATAACCGTGTTCGTTAGCTCGTGGAACGGACAAAATAATGGGTGTGTGTTTGAGAAAATAATTAGAAAATCTGAAGAAAATAATTTGTAAGATTTTTCATAATTTTCTCCTGTTCTTTCCGAGGTCCCGGACAAGAAGTTCCGGGCGCCGGGAGAAAATCTGGAGAAAATTGTGACAAAATGATCGCCCAGAAAACGGCCCCCGCCGAATCGCCCCGCGCGGGTGTTTTGGTTGGGGCACACAAGGTGCCCGGCGCACCGGCGCCATCCCGAGCGCCTTCCCTGCTTCGCGTCTGGGCTAGCTGGCTCTTCTGCCGGCGTGGCACTTCTACGGCCAAATAGCCTGCGTTCTTCGGTCGGCCCCACTTAAATTGAGAGGCAACCGCTAACAAAGAAACAACCAGGGGCCAAAATACACACGCACCGAGCGCCCGCGGGCCTCCGTTTGGGTGGCCCCGCCCCCTCCCCAGTCTCCCGGCCTCTTTTGCCTGCGCAACCCCAGCCCCCCGGTGCGTCCGGCTTGGCGACCGGCCGTCTGCCTACGGCGCATCACGGCCCAACCCGCGGCGGCTTTATGTTTTAGAGATCAGGCCGGTGTGGCGACATGATCCCGGCAGGAGTTGGCGCGGCCCGCTGTTTTTGCCGGGCCGAATTTCCGTGCGAAGGCTTGGGGCCGCGCCTTCATCTAGCGGGCGCCGGGCGCTCTCGGGGTCCCGGGGTGGAAAAGTTTTTTTTTCAAAGAAAAACCGAAGAAATCCGGCAGCAATCTGGGTTGCGTCATTCATCAAACCACGCCGGCCCCAATTGTACATGTGCGGGAAAAAATTTGTATTGCATACTCGTGTTTGCGACCCTGCTGTTCCAGGTCATGGACGGGCTCGGGGCGGAGATGGTCTACGTCAGGGAAATCTCGTTGGAGTATTTGTTTCCGTTAGCGTGTGGCGGTGACGCTTGCAAAGGGATCTCGACGCAAGCACAGCTGGTAAAAAGAATGAACCTATGTAGTGCAGTTGTTGTTCTATCTTGCACACAGCCAGCGTGACCTATTCGCTTTATTTTTTGTAGGTGTTCAGTTTCGATTTGGCATCACGATCAAGTTCAGAGCTCTTATTCTCCTTGAGGTGCAGCTTCTTGAGTCTTTTGTCTCATCTCCTCCCCTACAAAAACAGGTCGACGTCTTCGGCGCCTACGCGATGGTTGCGTTCCCGTACATCGGCGCCTCGATCGTGCTCGAGATCATTCTGCTGATGGTGGTGGTCCCCGAGCACAGACGTCCAAAGGACACGTACACGTTTGCGGATATCCACAGTAAATTTACCGTACACGTACAAATGCAGTCTCTGCATGACAAAACTTGGCTTCGATCCTAGTTTAGCATGACAATTTTTTACACTCCAAATTGGTGAAATTTGTGATGCATCTTGTACATCATGTACGGGAGATTTGTATTGCATAGCGGACACGGTGCTGTCACTTCTGATGGGCCTGCTCTCCCTGCTCGTCTCCAAGATCGCCTTCGTCTCCTACGTCCCGATGTGCTACACCTTTGTGTACGACGGGTTGCGCAACATGAGCGCTGCTCTAGATGGGCCATCAACTACGGAGATGGAGGACATCACTGCTGCTACTGGTAGCTCCTCAGCAGCATCAAACGGCGCAGGAGCCGACTCGACGTCGTTGCCCTCTTTACTCGGCTTCACAGAGCCGAATACCGTGTCCGGTTTCTGGCTCGCCCTTCTTTCCGCCGATCTGTGGTACTACCTGGTGCATCGCTGGTGCCACGTGAGCAGCTGGATGTGGACCGTGCACGCGGTGCACCACAGCACCGAAGAGTTCAATATCACGGCCGGACCACGCGAGGGGTTCCTCTACTGGGTCACGCCCTACTTTCTCGCGGTGAACTTGCCTCTGGCGGTGTTTTTCCCGCCGCAGATCGCACTACCCGCGGTCGCCCTGGTGAGTATCTGGCCGATCACGCTGCACACCGTCACGTTTCCGGAAGCCAGTGCCGACAGCAAGCGCGGGTCGTCGTGGGAGAACCGGGCGGTGTATTGGCTCTCGCACGTGGTGAACAATCCGTCCCTGCACCGGATCCACCACGCAAGGAACCACGACCGGCTCGGGAAAAATTTCGGGAGCATTTTGGCCATTTGGGACATAATGTTCGGCACGTGGGAGCTCGAGAACGTGGTCGTGCTGTACAACGACGCGGACGAGAGGAGCTCTGCTGCTTCCGTGAAGGACGAGCAGTTGAGGAAACAAGGAGAGGTAAAATCTGTTGAAGAACAGATGAAGAACCAGAACAACATTAACAACGACAAGGAACAGAAAATCGACGATGTCCTCGCTCAACTACAAACAAGTTCATCGAAAGAAGTTATCGACGCAACAACTACAACATCATCTCCGCTCGTCGCAGAAGCTACGACCTCCAGAAATGATGTGTACTACGGAATCATCCCGACGCTGCGCATCAGCGAGGGAGCGGGCGTGTGGTGGCAAAACTGGCAACCCTTCCACCACATGCTCTTCGTGCAGACCAACAAACTGTATTCCCAGTCGCTCTGGCTCGCCCCCTGGGCGCACTGGACGCCAGGGCCGAAGTCCAGCTGTCCCGCGGTCGGGAAACTTCTGAATCCCAGCGACAAGGTCTTCGTCGAGATGAACAAAACGCCGGAAATCTTGACGTTTGACAACAATGAAACTTGTACTGCAAGCGACGTCTTGGATCCAATCATGTCTCCGACGAGCACGACGAGACAGCGACTTCGAGCGCCTCTTCTCGCCAACGGCAGCACGTCTCCAGCCGCGATTGGCTCGCCTGTGCGAAGAAGTGCTAGCAAGGATAGAAGTTGTAGCAACGTCGGCAGCCCAACATCCCGAGCAGTGGTCGATGATTTCAACATCTCTAGCAGGACCACCACGAGTAATCCCACGTCTAGCAACCTCGCGTTAATCACCGTGCTGCAGCGCCTGTTGAACCAGTCCACTTTGCAGAACCCGGTGTGTCTGGCCTGGGGTACGGTGTTGTACGTCACGCTACACGCGGGCGTTGTGCTCGCGTTCGGGATCTGGCTGCTGATGGTAAATTGGGACAAGCTCACCGTGAACTTCCAAGACGCTGCCTATCCCTTCTCCGACACCGCGGTCGCCTGCGTCGTGTTTTTGCTGACCTTTTACCACTGCGAGAGCGTTTCCGCCGTGTTGGAGTCGGTCGTGGTGAAATCCGCGGAGAGGCACCGGAAACTGAAAAACAACGAAGTCTACAACGCGTTCTGGTCCGCGCACCCGGCGCGGTTGCGGTGCAACGAGGTTTTTCGAAATTCCTTACTGGTCTTAACCGCGGTCTATTGGGGCGGAATCGATGCGGGGATGGCGGTTCTGTACTGGGTGATCGCCCACGTTGGAGTTGCCGTGGCGGCCGCATTTCTGTCATCGCGTTTAGAGGAAGAACCGTTGCTGGCGTGGAAGGAAAATAGAGCGGGTGGAGCAGACGCACTCAGCCCGTAGGTGGTCTTCGTCGCCTATGATGCAAAAGAGTGAGGAGAAACATGGAGACTCAGCTGCAAGATGAAGATGAAGATGTAGGATGGGAAAAAGAGGCCGCATGATGATCGAAGTGTGAAGTTGTACTTAGTTATGAAGTCATCTCAATTTTTCCTGAATCTTAGATCTACTTTTACGTGATCGGATGGAAATCAACCGCAAGTCGTTTTCCGGACGCTCCTGCTATGGTGGGAACATTTTATATAGGCTCGTTACTTACTAACTCTACACATGCATACGGTTAGTTACCACGGTCAGAGAGCAAGCCATCAAGAAAGCGTCTGTGTGGCCGCGCCTTTTCACTTTCTGAGTTGGTGAATCCTCCTTATTTTTGATGAACAAGCTGAAAGCAATCCACAACGTCAACGTCGAAGGCGATCCCTTGACCATGCCGTTTCTGTTTCAGTTGTTTCTTTTTCGTGGTCCTCGAAGTAAATTATCATCCCAACTGTAGCTGATGTTGTCAGGGATAGTGAAATAAAGAAACTTCAAACCTCGCTTTATTCAAATCATGTCTGGTTTTGGAGTTCTTTCGAACTATAGGCATGGGGAAAAAGGATCGACATCATGACGGGCTTTTTACAAAAAGAAAGAGAACTTGCCATCTTGCCTAATCAGAACAACAAAGGGAGACGCTTTGCTGCAGCTTCTGGAAATGGTATAACGATAGCAAGATTAGAACTTCCCGACAAAAATGCGTATCTGTTTCAGAGAATCATACATACGAGAACTATTGTTGAATGGGAGAGATAGACACTGAAACGTACACGTAGTCACGCAAAAATATATCGCACGAAATAAGCTATGGCACCATGCATTGTTCCGCAAAAGAAAAAGTTTTCGGTCACGCCTGTGCGCCAGTTGCGTTTCTCCGTGTTGAGAGAGCATTTACAGAAATAATTTGACTTGTTCGCAATTAGCTTCAATATATCTGCCATGAGTGGTGCGAGCCAACCGTTACCATCTGAGAGGGCGGGTCGCGAGCGATGAAGAATAGCAATAGGGCCGCGTCGTGTCGTGGTCCTTGCCGTGTGTGTGTGCCAGAAGACAAGTTCGACATAGAATTTCTCTACCGATCCAGTGCAGCTGGATAGATATTGATCATGATAGTGATACTTGATGATGTCGTCGATACCCGAGGACACCTCCTGCTTGAGATACTACTTCTACTTGGATCCCTGAAGTTAGCACCCGACTCCAGAGGGCCGCGAGGCGACATCCCTGCTTAGTGAACCCCAAGCCTCCCACATTGACTATTAATTTCCTCCGCGACTGTGTGGCCGCTGCCTTTCAGGCAGCGGAGGTGGAAAGCCGATGCATATTGCCTCCCGCCTTCGAGACTCCGACACGGAAGATGATGAGGCCCAGGGCATCGACGAAGAGGCCCTCGCGGGTCTCATGGAGGACGACTATGCGGCGTACCTCTCTGGCTTCATCGGACAGAAGCAGGGCGTCCGCCGGTTTCAGCCCAGCTCGGCGGAGGTGGTTGCGCAGAGCTCCGGGGAAGGCGGGGGTCCGTCGGCGTCGGAGTCCAATTCCCATTGTTTTCTGCTGGACGCGGAAGGCCGGCCTCTGTCCTACTACCTAGTCAACCTCGAGGCCGACGGTGGACGGCTGGTGGGCATAGTTCGGGATTTTCTGGCAGCTAGCACAGATGAACAACTACACGACAGCAGTGCAGCAGCTGGCGGTAAAAGAAGTGCGACCACATCAACTTCAACGCAGAACAAGAACGACGGGACTACCACTACAGTCACTGCCATTACAGCCGAGCTGCGCTCGACTCTTCGCCAGGTTTTGTCTGAGCCGGTGCCGTCGGAGCTGCTTGGACCGGACTGCCTATGCATTGCAAAAGTACCGTACTCGTATGAATGCATTACAAATTCCCTCAGCATGATGAGAGAGAAAATTTGTAATGCGGATTTACCTTAAGAAAAGTAGAGGATTTGTAATGCAAGACTTGCATTTATACAAGTACGATATTACTTTTGCACAGGATACTGCCTCTACGTCGTGGACTCCGAAGACGGCGTCACCGTGATGCGTCGGCGTGAGACCGAGCTGTGTTGGGAGGAAGTACTGCTGCAGGGCCGCGGCGCGGTCGGCGAAACGGCGTTGCACATCTGCTTTCTGCTGAACCAGCCCGCCTTTAGCCTACTTGCGCGCTTCATTGTGGAAGACTTTGGAAGATCGCTCTGCCGCCAGCCTTGGGACCCGAACATTCACCCGCGTTGCCCCTTCACCTTCACTTCTGACCAGCTGCCGCAAGAGACGAAAACGTCCGGCGACGCAGTTGAGGAGGATGGGCATCATAGTTCTCATCTTCCTGAGGGTGGACCCGCATCTTCGACCGCCAGCGTTGCAAAGACATTGGCGTCCAGAAGCGGAACCAGCCTCCAGGTCGATCTGGTGCTAGCTGCCGCCGCGGCGGGGGCAGGAGGGGGATCAGCTTCTGGTACCGCGGTATCATTTGCAGGAGCTTCATCTCCGTCTGCCAGCACGTTGAGCTTACCACCCGCACATCAGCACCTGCGGAAAAAGATGCCCCGGACAACTTTTGTGAGGTATGTCGACGCCACGTACACCGGAAACAGTTACCGGGGCGAGGCATGCCTGCACATTGCCATCACGAACGGGGATTTGGAAGAAGTGAAGCTTTTGGTTGAGAGCGGGGGTTGCGACGTGCGGTGGCCATTGACGACAGGCAGCTTCTTTCGAGGCAGGCTCTATTACGGCGGCCGCCCCCTGCTTTTTGCCGCAGCGCACGGGCATGTCGACATTTTGGACTTTTTGGTGGATCACTTTCTCAAGGATAAGGAGCACCTTCACGAAGTTGCGGAGCCCCAACATGATCTTCAAGAAGATGAGAATGCTCCCCCACGACCCGATGTTGTCTCGAAGACGAAGACCACTGCAGAAAACCACGGAAAAATAAAAATCCTCGCCCGGCGCCGCCGCCGCCGAATCGAGTTCCTTCGCCAAACAGACCAGTACGGAAACACGATTCTGCACCTCATAACCCTCCACGGACAGGTGCACTTGCTGCGGCACGTGATGCAGCGGTACGGTCCCGATTTAGACCTCTTCCAACTGAACCACGCCGGCTTCGCACCGATCTCCCTCGCGGCTGCGATCCAGAACACGGACGTCTTCAGCGCATTGATGGATCTTTCTGGGGAGACGCTCTGGGCGTACGGCCCCGTCCGCTGCATCCGGTACCCGCTACTCAAGCTGGACTCGCTCCTCACCAAGCAGTTGCGGGAGTCGCGGGTGAGGGCGCGCTTGCTGGGTGGCAGCAAGGCCTCGACAAAAATCACGAAGGCAGCGGCGAATAAGGTGTGGAACAAGGCCGAAGTAGAGGAGAACAAGGTCGAGGAGGAAGATAGCAAAAACGCAACCTCAAGAACGTCCTACGAAGAGCTGCAGCAGATGGAAGACAAAGAAAACGAAAAGCTGCACCGCTCCTTCACAGGGATCAGTGTGCCCGGGGCTCAGCGGAACGTGCTTTCGGTGCTAGAGATCATTGTGGAAGGTCGTTGCCACGCACTTTTCACCCCGTTCGTGCGCCAGCTGATCCAGGACAAATGGGCTATGTACGGGCGGGTTTTGTTTTACGTGCACATGAGCATCTACTTCGCCAACCTGGTTCTTGTCGTTTTGGCGACGGAAAACGTCGTGCCCATCGACGTCCCCGCTTGTGGGGTGCTGGTCCTCTTTTGGCTCGAGTTGGGTAAATTCCGACACTGGCTTGCGGTGCGCATAATGCCCGAAGTGTCCGCCATACTACCGTCACGTCCGAAGGGAGGAACTACGACCACGAGCCAGCCAAAGGTGATAGCGCTGCCCCAGCGTCGGTTAGGCCTTATGAAGAGGTCGCTGCAGTCAATAAAGCGCAGAGTGAGAGCACTATCACAATTCCTGTTCGCGTGTGCCGGTGCGATGACGGTTGAAGGTGGTTTTCTCGTCTTGTATTGTTTTTTTGTGCTCTTCGTGTACCTCGAGGTACTTGGCGGGCGCATTGCTGAGAGAACCAGCAGCACAAGTTCCATCGCAGCCTACTACGATTCTCGGTGGCACTACGACTACGCGGAAATATCCAGGAAAAAACACCCATCCCCATCCATTTTTTGCATGGCAAATAGTGGATTTTATGCATGTTTTGCATGACAAATTGAATGGGGATGGGTGTTTTTTCCTGGATAGGAAACGATCGACATCTACAACCTGCACACGTGGTCGCCCCGGATCCTCCTGGGCTGCGCCAGCGTCTTTGGCTGGCTGCACTTCCTGCACAACCTGCGAGCACTACAGGGTCTAGGGCCATTCGTGATCATGATCAAACTCATGGTGAAGCGCGATGTGGTGCGGTTCGGCGCGATCTACCTATGTCTGTCGTTTGGGTACGGTCACTTGATGCGAGTCATTTTCCAAGACACCATCCGCCGCGATCGTCTTGCCTGGGACCATACTAGCGAACAGGCTTTGTCCTCATCGTCGGCAGCGAGTAGTTGTGTCAACCCTGTTTCGACGACATCCTTCGCTGACTCTTCTACGACGTACGCTGACTACGGGCAATTGTGGCAGTCCATGCAGTTCGTTTTCCGGGCGAGTCTGGTTGCCATGGACGAAGCGGCGTTTACCCCAGCCGACCCCTCCTCATCTTCTGGAGTTACATCATGCGCAGGCCCTACTACTAGTACTACATCAACAGGTGGAATAAACGCAACAGCCACGACGTCGACGCTGGGACAAGCACAAGCAGCATCCTCGCAACAACTGTCAGGTGCTCTACTTCAAGAAGTCCGCAACCAGCCAGTGCATCCGTATCGTGGTTTTGCTGTGATCGTCTACGACTCGTTTGTTGTACTGTCCGCCGTGGTGCTTTTCAACCTCTTGATCGCCATGATGGCAGATACGTACAGCCGAATCCGGGCGACAGCGAAGGACGAGCACTTGTTACAGCGCACGTCCTGGATCCTTGAGGCGGAACGGTCGACGCTAGCGCGGCTGGGAGTTCTTGACGTGGCGAAACGCCCGGCGCACCACGTTCGCACCGCGGATTTACTGCTGGAAAACGGACGCGTGATTGAAAATTTCGCCATGCAGGTGGAGATGACTGATGAGTGAATAAAGGATCGATGGGGCGGCCGAAAGGTGACGACGAGAGTTCCTCGGACGTCGAGGCGGGAGCGAGCACGACGATCCAAGGAAGACATTGACGTGTCGAGTCCGATGACATGTTCTGATTGCAACGCTGCACGCAGAGCGCCCAAAGACATTCATTATTCATAGCGAATGCAATGGTGAGTGACAATCTCCCAATCCTCTTGGATTGTGGTGTCTTCGCGAAAAATCAAAAGTACTGACGGCCAGAGAATCAAGAATGATCGCGCTGTTGTTTCATATGGTCGGGTGTCGAGGCAGGATAACACAAGGTGGATTTTTCATGATCCCAAAATTATGACACTTCTTGATCGTGGGTTTGGGAGAAGCATCATGGGCTTTCTATTTCCTCAAAAGTAAAAGTGTATCAACATGTCGGTGCTGGTGTTTATAGTCTATTTCAGAATGGTTCTATCGGTATCTATGCACATCGTTTTCGTCAATCACATTTATTTTGTCGTTGAAGTTCATGATGTGGCACACACTGACTTGCAGTTCCATTTTGCCCCGTCGAGTGCAAAAGCTATATCGAAGAATAGAGCCCAGAGCATCCTAAGCAGAAGTTTGCGCCAGTCTTCGTTACAAAGAGAGTACTACACAGAAACAGAGTATTAAGCTTCGACACAAAAACTGAAACACATCAATCATGCCCTGGTTCAAGAAATCTGCCAGCCCCATTCCCGCTGCCCTGGCCCCCGGTGATGAGGTGGTCGCGAAGTTTCATGGCTACCGCGACAATCCCGACGGGCCGGACAATCCCTGGTTCAGTGGCACCGTGCGAGAAGTCGACGAAGAGGCGGGGACCTGCGAAGTCGTCTTTTGCGACGGGGACGTCTCCGTCGCACTGACGGCCGACGAAGTACTTCTCGCTCCCGGTCGCGCCGAGGACTACGGGAAGGGCAGTAAGCGCGGTTCGAAGCCCGATGGTGCGAAACCGGTACGAATCGGCCCCAAGGATCTCAGGACGGGCGACGAGGTAGTGGCGAAATTTGATCAGTACCGGGGGAACAGTGACAATCCCTGGTTCAGCGGCCTCGTAACGGACATTGACGACGACGAACACACGTGCGAGGTTACCTTCTGCGACGGCGATGTGTCCCGAAATCTGCAAGCCCACGAGGTGCTCTTCGCCCCCGGGCGGGACGAAGATTACGGCAAGGGTGCCAAGCGCGGCCTCAAGCCAGACGTGGTCTGCGAGGTCCGGATAGGACCCGGAGGGGGAAAGAAAATGAGGTATGTGCAAACGGAACAGGAGTTGCAGGCCTTGGTCGACGAGAAGGGCGTGATTCTAATCTTTTCCGCCTCCTGGTGCCCCCCGTGCAAAAAGTTGAAAAAGCGGTTGATGGAAGAAAGAATCGCGAAGGAACTGGAAAAGTTCGTGCACTTTGCTGTGGTCGACGTGGACGAGAGCAAGGCGCTCAGCCGAAAATACGAGATCGAGGCGATGCCGACGATCGTGTACTTGCAGAAAACCAGCTTGGTGGCCTTCGACGTGGTGGTCGGCGGCCGCGGAAACCTCAGCTCCACTCTGGCAGAATTCCGAGAAGTGGCGCCAGAATTGGCTGGCGTTTCGTGATTTTTTTTTTTTTTTCTTTTAGAAGTGTGTCAAAGTGAAATTGTACGATCATGGACAACATGAACATCTTCGATGGGCGATGAACCTGGACTACGCGTAACAAGAAGTACTGAACTCCCACGATATCGACAGTTTCTGAAATTGCTCACCGGTGGAGGCGTAATCGAACCAAAAGATGATCGGATCACAACACACCGAGGACAGGAGCCTGCTCTACCCTTATGTTTAACATGGAGGATCTCCTTCTGGTTCATCTGCCCCCGCGTGATCATCACATACTAGAGACTGCACTGGCTCTTCGTCTTCCAGGGACAGGGACTGGCTCTCTGTCTCCTGCAGCCTAGCAAACGAGCTTGCTCATGTCGTGTTCAGCATTCCTCGTTGAAGAAGCTGCTCAAAACCCCTTTCCAATTTGCTTTTGTCGCACAACATTTTCGTTGATTTGGTCCCGTACCCAGACTAGTGCCGGGCTTTCTTTCTCTCCTCGTCCTGTAATCAATGGGTCCCATGACCTTGTTTGCAAAGAGAGCCCTGACGTTCGGTTGATGACGATGAAGATGTAGATGATCAATTGCGAAGATCAAGATTAAGATAATTTGATGATGCTTTCCTCCCGGAAAAATACTCGTGAATGTTGCACGTCGTGTGACGTGCCCCTCTATTCCCGATTTCGCGAGAAGTCGTTTATTTCGCATCGCTTTTCGTCTTCGTTGCTCCTCGTCTCAACAGAGGTAGAGCAAAGATGGACAGATTGGCGAGCAGCGGCCCGACGGGCTCTTCTCTTCTTGGTTGCGATCATGCTCCTCATGTCCAGTGTTGCCAACCCGGGGTCGTTATTTGCAAACGGACAAATATTCCCGACTCAACGCAGTACCGGCCCAGGAAACGGGCTAGTGTCCGCGCCGGACCTTTTGGGGACGAACGATCTGCAGTGCCAGTCCTTGAAATATCCAAAGTTGCTGGACTACATTGCGCTAATTTCACCCGGCGAACAAAAAGGTGGCGATGCAGAAGCAAGAAGTGCCGCACTAGGGACTGGTGTTGGATCAACGACTACAGGCTCGGTCGAACTCTCCCAGCTTCTCCAGGACTCAACTGCCACACAACCTTGGACCAAGAGCACCTGTGTGCAGGAAGCCGCAACTCTACACTTTCTTCACAACGTCCTCCAGCAGCAGTCGCATCAAAACTCACCAGCGGCTTCTCTTGATGCCACTTCCTCGACCACGGAAGTAGATCCGGTCCACCAAGCGCTCTCCGCCGTGCCGGAAGACGTTTTTTCCGTGTTCAATGTCGTGCAGCCGAATTCAAAACTTGCCATGCTGATCGCCAGCATCAGTTGCCTGTTTCCGACGAACCAAATCCTCGCGCTCAGTAACCACCCCTTGGACAAGATACGAAACCACAGTGCGGACTTCTTCCTGTTTCGGGACTGGGTCGCGAACCACCTTTACCACGCCATCCTGCCCCCTCTCGCTGATTCCGTGCACTACCTCGCGCGGGAGCGCCAGCGGTTCGCGTTCAAAAACAAGAATGTTCAAGCTGAAGTAGAGCCTACGACGGACGTGACGAACATCAAACCGGTCAACGCGGCTTCCCTCTTCGACGACGGGATGCTCGTGACGAATTCTTCCCAGCCCCTGCTGGAAAATTTCTGCCCATTTCTTTCCAAAGCGATGGGCTACCTCGTGGTCGCGCTCTCCATGCAGGAAATCTTGCCGCTTCCCGAAACGCTCGCGGTCGTGCAAGCGGCCGAAAACGCGGTCGGGAAGTGCGTCGCGGAGTCTAGTTCGTTGGTGGAACTGGTCTACGAGCGAACCGATCCCTTGCTGTGGGTGCTGTTAACCACGGTGTACCTGCGACTCGGAAAGGTGCAACCGCACAGCTGCATGCACTGGTCCAAGGGCGTGGGCGGGGAGGATGTGAGAAAAGAGCATATGGTACGTAAAGAAATTTATTGTCTAGCTTTGATTTTTGTTAAACAACTAGCAGTAGCTGAAGTTCTTGACACCACGTTGACAATGAAAGTTTTTGCAGAAGTAGGAATAGAAGCAGTAGCAGATGGAGATGCTCCTGCAGAAGCAATTTTATTTGCTAGTGACAAATATTAACAAGTACGTCAACGAACATCATCAACATTCCCTGCAGCGAGCAGTGGAGCCGAATCACAGCACGATTGCCGGAACATCAGCAGCGACAGCGACTCCTCAAAGTCAGTTCGCCCAATCGCCACCGACGCCAGCCTCCTCTCTAGCACAGGCCGCTGCGGCTGCGGGCGTAGGGATGACGACAACTACTCAACTTGGTGCTACCAGTCCAGCACCTCCAATAGTCGCAGCTAGTACCAACTCGCGGCCAGTTGCTCCTCCCGCGGCGCACCCTTTCCAACTACCGAACGCGCAGCAGTGGGAACCTTACGGCATTTTCGAACTTTCTGTCGGCCTGCGCGAGAACTGCTTCACGAAGCAGGGAAACGACATCTGGGCGGGCTACGAAGATAACTTGCGTCGCTGCCTCGGGAACAGGCGGATCCTGCAGTTTTTCGTGTTTGATGTGGCCGCCAACAAGCTCCGCCCCGCGGTGAAGACAAGCGGAGGCTTTGTCCACGAGCCCACGTTCTCTTCGGGCAACTCGGCCCTCGAAATCAGCTGGCATCGGACAAACGAATTCGGTCGCGACCGGTTGCTCGTCAAGGACGCCAGGTGGCTCAGCCGCGAGCACTTGTACGTCAGTCTGGCTTTACCCGATGTGCTACCGGCCTTGATCATTGAGCCCACTTCGGCGACCGACGTATGGAACAAGGAGTGGCTGGAAAGCTACGCGGTAGCCATGGAGCAGCTCGGATTCGAACCACAAACCGTCCAATCACCCGAGGAGGCACGACAACTGATGCTGACGGTACAACACAGTGCGTCGGGCGGAAGGTCATTGGCAAACGCGAAAAAGCTAGTGCTCTTCTGGCGCATCAACCAGATGTTTCAAGGAACCGCGGCATCAACCGGCGCAGCTTCCTCAACGTCCTCAGCGCATGCTCCTGCACTCGCCAACGGCCCCGCGCTGTCTGAAGAACTGGTGAAGTACACGAGTAACTTCGCGCAGCCCGTGGCTGGAGTTGTGAGCAATGTTTTTGTGTACCCGAAACCGGAAACCGCGGCTCTGTACCAGAACAAGTTGACCATGTTGGAGGCCTTCATTCGGGAAGACATTCCAGTGCCGCCCTTTCGCCTGGTCACAGGCAGCGACGTGGTGACCGCGGATATGCCGTTGCCTCCTTTTCCCGTGCTGCTGAAACACGCCTACGCAGCGTCGTCCCGGGGGCTGGCGCAGTACTTCGACGAGCTAATTTATTGAGGCTATGCTTTTGTCTTGCGTGACAATGAAAAGTGAAAATCACGACGCTCAGAAGGTCGAGGTCATGGAAAGATAGAAACACTTTTTAACTTTTCTATCCACAACATTAACTCTTGTAGGTGCGACACTCTCTCCCAGTTTCCGAGCTGTTTGCAAAGCTGGTTTCAACACCACCCCGACCAGGAGGTCGTGATAGTGATGCAGAAGCTCGAGTTCGTGCGCGAAATGCGGCTGACCTTTCTCGCCGGCGAGATTGTCCATGGGTATTGGCGCATCAAGGAAAAGGCCAGCGACCTCGCGGCCAGCACTCACATCTCCAACAGCACGCTGAGCTTCGACGACCTCCCGTTGCGCGAGATGAAACCGATCGTCCAAAAGATCTCCGCGCAGATCATGGACGTGGGCGCCCTGGATGCGGTCATCGTCGACGGCCAAGTTTTCGTCTTCGAGGTCAGCCCGATCTTCGACATGAATCCGGAACCGGAAACGGCGGCGCTCAAGCAAATTCCCTACACGGCGTACAAGAAGACGGAAAGCTACACGAAACGGCGACTGGAGGGGTACGTCGCTTTCTGCAAGCAGTTTGTCAATTTCGCGGTGCAAGCTGTAGAGTTTTCGAGTCTTGCTGCTACCCTGTTCGTCGACATCGACAACACGCTGAATTACGCGTACCGGCGCTTCCAAATGTACAATGTCCCGGATCCGTTTGATCCGGAGCTGGTGCTGCAGGACGAGGTGATCGGCGGCGCGGAACAGGCACTGCAAGCGATTGCGGCATCGAATCGGTACCGGATCGTGTACCTCACCGCCCGCGTTTTTCGGAACGCCATTCCGGCGACGCACAACTGGCTCTTCACGAAGCACCAATTCCCGGTGGCGCCTGTTGTGTTCACCGCGACAGCGAACGAGAAAATTTCGTACCTTGCGGAAGGCGTCAACTTCGCGAGCGAGGAGCAGATCGCGGCGGAGTTTGTGAGAATCGAAAAAGAACTCCTGTCTTCGCAGAAGATGTCGAGGACATCAACTTCACTGCCTAGTCTTACCTCCAACTCAGATGCCGTTGGTCATTCTCAGCGAAGTTGCGAAATCAAGACCGATGATCTCCTATTGGCGACTTCTTCTACTGCGGCGGTGGCGAAGAGCGGTTCAACAACATCAGCATCTTCATCATCTTCGCGACTTTCAACAATACTACAGACAACGAATGGCCGGTGCATGAGGCGAAACAAGAAGACAAACACGGGTGTGAACATTCTGATCGACGACCTGACACGAGCGCACCACCAGCAGCGCTTTGAGGAGCAGGAAGTGCTGTTGGCGCTGCTGGACAGACACGCAGTCCCGTTCATCCAGTTCAACACGCTGTATGGACCAGAGCACTGGGCGCAAATCGCGAAGGCGTTGGTGGCGTGAAGAGGAATTTTGTTTCCGTAGCGGGCGAGATGATGCTGAAGTTTTCCACTTTGCACGAAGAGCAAAGTTGAAACTTCAAGATCCAAATCTAGCGAATCCGAATGCGGACCCAAGCGAAATCTTGGAACTACCTCTGTCACTCACATCTAACGATAACGAAGCACAACTCTGAACGCGAAGCCAGCGTATTAATTTTCGACGTGTTACTAGCATCGATCTGTAAGGCTAAGGTGCTCTTTCTACCACGTGGATGTCGACGTGCGGTGTGTGTGCATAGTTCCGCGCTGCCGTATTAGTGCGGCGCCTGTGTTGGCTTCAGGTTGTCGAAAAAACAGAACGCGCGGACGACTCAGAAATGGATAATTCGAAAGACGTTGTGTATTCGACGCCTCCTCGGTCGTGATGTGTATCGATTCTTATGTAATTTAAGGACTTTCAGTTTCAGTCCGACTTGAAAGAAATATATAACTAACAACTTCGGTCGGTCCACACCCACCCCAGCTCAGACGGCAACGACAGAGGCTGCCACTTCTTCTAGTTGTACTAGAACTTCAACTCGCCCTCAACATGTCGGTTCTATCCAATACTATCATTTTCGATTCATTCGAAAGTCTAGGTCAAAGTTTGTATATGCAATGAAGAAACTCGGTAACGGTGGCGCCACCGGCCATAGCGAATCACAGTTTCGGCTTCGTTCCATATGGAGGCTCTCTATTGGCGATGTTGCATATCATCAAAATCTTAAACCTACAGCAACCTTCGTTCACCCGCTTTTGGATTTCTGATTTTCTATGAAGACAACCACTGCCTTTGCGAAGGACGCCGAAGCAAATGTAAATGCGCTTGCTATTGACCCCAAGCACGCGCGCACCATTAATGTGAAAGTCAATCCAAGCCAATTGCTGTACGTACTATCAATCATTTTGATATTGATTTTTCTCCACCCTTGTACTCGAAGTAAGAGTAACTGTAACGACACGTATCCTTATCGTTCGAGCCAGCGCATCTTCATCTTTCTTCACCAAAGAGAAACGAGATGGACGACCTCGCGGGCAATCAAAGCAGCAGTAGTTGCACGACCTCGGTGGGCGTGGACAGCACGTTGCTTCTCTCAAACCTTGGCACCGCGCGCCCTCCTCGACGCCGGAGTTCGGTTAGCCGCCCGCAGAAGGTTATGTTCATTAACTGCACCCAAACGCCGCTGCATCTCTATTGGCTCGACCGGGTGACCACGAGCGCGGCTCCGAACGGTGTGCATGATGGGGGTGTGCCGCGGCTGGTCACCGTTTGTGAGGCGGGAATGAAAGTTTCCGTGGACACGTTCGCGACGCACCAATGGAGAATACGGCCCTCCAGTGTCAGCACCGACAGTGACTGGTTTACGACCTACACGGTGAAAAGGAAGAAGGGTATGCAGGTGTGCGTCTTCCGCGACTCAGCAGGAGGAATGTCGTCGTCGACAGAAGATGTCATCAATACGCCCCCGCCAAAAGGAGGCGATGCCATGCCGTATGAAGAGGCTGGACCTTGTTGTGCTGAAACAAAGAACGACGGCGAGGGCGCAGGCGCACCGCCTTCTCCCCCTTCATCTGTGCCAGTGGAGCTGCATCAAATAGCCTCCAGCTCTACAGAAGGTCGGGGGCCGCGGAATCTTCACGACAACACTGCGCATACAACGAGGATAAATGTTGATGCGAGTGGTCAGGACGTCGTTGATGAAACGATCTATCTCCACCGCCGCCAAGAGCGATCGCGATCCAGTGGATGCAATTTCTTGGAAAAACCGAAGGTGCAGAAACGCGCTACAGGCAGGGAGGAAAGCGCAGCACGATCGAATCGGAACAACGGCGCGGAAGTTGATGTGTGCAACCAAAAAATGGAATTACCATGTTCCTACCCATCGCTTTCCTCTAGCAGCAACAGCGACTGCTCCAGGTCAAGGTCACTTCACCGCGCGAGTGTCTCTCTGCTCCAATGCCAATTATCATCCGAAAAGATGACAGGAACATCAAAAGTAGCTGCTGTACTCCCCGACAGGGACAGAGCCAGGGGCAACATGACGAACACAGCAGATGATGCCCTGCTCTGTCGTGAACATCTTGATGGACGAAAAAAATTACTGGGAACAAATGTTGATGCCGACAAGAATATTGACTTCGATCCCAATTCTTGTTTCCAGTGCGGGAGGAAGCTCGGTTTGCGGTTTCTTCCCTACACGTGCCGGTGCAGCCGGTCCTTCTGCAAAAAACACAAGGACGCGGAGGAGCACGGCTGCCGCTTTGACTGGCAGAGGGAGGGACAGTCAGATTTGGCGGCGCAGCAACCCAGAGTAGTCGCGGAGAGGATGCCGCATCGGTTTGAATAAAAACGTGATCTGGACGACAGCTTTCCATAGTGATGTGGACGCTGCATTCCTGCTCTGATGTATTTTTACGCTCGTCCTCGTCCGGTGGTTCGTCCTGTGCGCAGATCATTATCTGTCGAAAAAGTAAAAGTGTGAACCAAGCGAATTTTTATTTTTTAAGAGTCTGAGTTTATCTACTTTATCAAGACATTTAATGTCTTGATAAAGTTGATGTCCTCCAGTGTTCCTATTAGCGTTTACTAATAGTAAACGCTAATAGGAACAAGTGCTTCACCTGGAGGACATCAACATCCACTTGAGTTTATTGCGTTGACTACCCTTCTCGAAAATACGTGATGAACTGAAATTAATCAGAGACCGGGTAAATAAAAAGAGAAATTCGTTTCAACTTCTTGACTTTTTGGACTGCTTCTATACAGAAATGCACCAGACCACGACATCAGTACTTTCGCACAAAGCTTTTTTTTTCGTCATTGTTTTCGTTCGACGCGTGTTCTCGATTTACTACAAAAATGAAAATCGTGATTATCGGTGATCTCCGATGGGTGAAGGGGAGGTTCGTAGAACAAGCAAGGTGGAGTATGTAGTTTCAATTAAAATTTACGCCGCTCCGCATCTTCACGTTCACATCTTTTTTTTTCGTGTATCGTTGCCGTCGCTGTTGACAACATGGTCGCCGTCTTACATACAACTGTAGCAGCCTTTTCAAAATAGCATGGCTCTGCTTGTATAAAGTTGTGTCGGGGAAATCGCTTTTGTTCATGTCGGGGAACAGGAACACTAGATATAGTGCCAACATCGTCATCCTCGTCATTGTGATTGTCTTCAACCGGTTCCAATACTATTGTCGTGAAAAGCAGGTGGGGAGCAGAAGGATAAGGAAACATCCTGTCTGGGCGTTCCTGATCGTGGGGGTTGAAAGAAGTTCTAAGTAATGAAACTGTAACTACGTGTCCAAGTAGAGCTCACAGGGACACACTATCAATATCATCAAATACAAATAGGAAGAAATATAGAGGGAGGCGGCACTTCTACATCTACTACCATCATGACAGCTGCAGGCAAGGATCAGGATGACGCACTACCTCTGTCCCCTGTTGTCGGTCGTGACATTCTACTTTTATGTCGTGGCGCTCCCACGCACGCCGTCGTGCACCCGCCCGATCTCCTGCTTCCAAGTTTAAATGTGGAAAGCAAAGCTGCAGCCGCATCACCGGCAAGGACAAAAATGAGCAACGCTGGTCGCGCAGATGGAGACGAGTCAACAGCTGCGAAAGTAGTTGGAGAAGCACAAGCAGTGCCTGCTTTCTTCATGACGCCAAAAAGGGGCGACGCAGCTGCAAGGAAGCTGTCCGACGCCACTCCGTCGACCGTTGCATCGTCCTCGTCGACCTCGTTCGCGTCGCTTTCTCTTGAAGACCTGTCGTTCTCGCCCGCGCGATTAGAAGAGCCAAACACGTGCAGCTCTTCCGTAGAAGTGCTGCCAGGCGCAGTGGCAGTGGAAGATAAGAATGATACCACTTTCGCTCCTTTGGATTTCGATTTGGTGTCGGCGAGAAATTTAGAGCAAACCGAGGAAGCGAGCCATCAACTTCTGCCTCTCGTCGCCGAAGATATTAGCCAAGTCGTTGTAGAGTCTACAACGATTCGCCATCTTGCAGAGGTGACGGAGATGCAGATCATGCAGTTTCTGGATTGCCGCAGTCTGGCGTTTTACGAAGTCACCTCCAAGGACTCGCGGCGGCTGGCCATCGAGCTGTGGCGACTGCATTCTGACACGCTCGACCGCCTGTTCACGCAGTTAGAAGCAGTGGAGCTCCCGGACGCGATCACGAAAAAGGTAAGCTGGAAAAATAAGGAGAAGGCGAGGTATATCCGCAGACTGATCGCGGGCGTAAAGCGTGGGCTGGCAGAACGCGGATTCACAACCAGCTTCTCGGAGTATTTCGCAACGCACCAGTCAAATATCCAGATGGCCGTCATTGCGAAGCGGTACAGTAGTTTTCTTGACGAGAAGTACGAGAAGTTGATGATAGAATCATGGTGGTAATTCTTGATCATTGAACTTATTATCCTGTTCAACTACCCTCCAGGTGGATCTCGCTCGAGCCTGGTAGCGACCTTCTAGTATTAACGTTCTACTTTTTCTATTCTGAGAATATGAATACACAAGCAGGTATCTCCGCTGGTCTCTGGTCCGGGACTCCATGGTCTCCGCCCTTTTCTACCAGCGCCTGCAGACGCAGAACTTCGCTCGCTGGCTGCACCGGAACCGGCACGAGTGGCAGCGCATGCTGGGACAGGCGACCGACGCAAACGAGGATTACCGCCTCCTCGGGAATATTCTGGAACGAGCACGAGTAGTAGAGCCGGCGCGCAACATTCAGGCAGCGGGACGTCGTCTCGACGCCGACGTCCCAGACCTCGTACGAGAAGCAGTCGAAGCATATTATAACCACCATCACAACGAGAACGAGAATGACGATGGCATCCATGATGACCTTGAAGATATTGCAGATGAGGCCCAGGAAAATGTCGTCAACCGAGATGCCGGGACAGGACACGACTAGACAAACTACAGAGTCGGGAGCGATGAGTAGAACTTTGACTATTGTATAAAGATACTCTGCTCAAGTAGAAGTTGTAGTGGGACGAACACCAACATCAACCTGTGTCAATGCCTACTCGCTCCCACAGAAGTACATGGAGATGAAATAATTTGAAAAGTAGATGACGTCGTGCCTCAGACCACACGAACACCAAGCAACACGTAACCAACTATATTTATGGGAAACTCAACTGTACCTATAGAAATAAAAGTTCTTCTTGCTCCTTCTGTGAGCCGCTCATATTTCCTCAATCCTTGTACAATTTTTTGGAAACTTTTCATGAAGCACGATGTCGGTGGGAAAAATCATGCGCTTACCTAAGCAATCGGTGACGATGAAGGTGATATCGACACAGAATAGTGGATACGATCGCGTCGCCCTTGTCGTTGTTGATGATGTGCGTCCACTTCTCAACAAAAGCCAAATCATGACGCAGAATTTGTTTCTTGTGTTCGCCACTCATAGTCTATCCCTATCGCTGGGCCTGGGATGAGAAGTTGTTTTCGACTTCGTTGGTAGCAGTAGCAGAATCAGCAACATCGCCAGCATGTGCATGAATGTTTTTGATTTCAACATGGGTGGAAAGGCGGAATCAAGAATTATGAAGCAGCAGATTTCCCTCAAACACGATGGCAGACTCCCACTTCGATATCATAGGCGTAGTACCCTGATTTTCCCATCAATCTAAAATCACGCACGAGTTGTAGCGAGGGCAATTTCGATCTTATATATATGACATAGACATTCACATTTGACATCACTCACACGATGAAGATGATGATGAATAGTTTTCCTCAAATTATCATGAACTCTTGGTCACTCTCACTCCGCTCCTGCCTTCACACAAGAACGGTCGAAATGAGCAGGAAATTGAAAACGAGACACAGTATAAATGGAGTCGCTTACTACAAACCCACAGTAGAGAAAATCCCGACAAAATCGAGATGGAACAGAGACTGTTTTGAAAGTTTTGAAACGCGAACCATTTGTAAAAAAACATCACGAATTTCTTTCATCAGCAGGAGTACCGCTCCCATGCGGAGATGGGCCACACTGTCCACAGTTAGAACTTTTTGTAGCCAATTTTTGCTAAAAAAATCATCACGAAACGCAGCCTGCATGCCACGACTTCAGTGCTGAGCCGCTCCTTCACTGCACTACTAGCTTCTTCTCCATCTGACTTCCCGGCTGCTCGCCAAGAACTCGCTGCATTTGCTGCAGTTAGAAGAAGTCCACCGACCACACAACAGCGCAGCGACGTCGACGTGGTCCTGGTCGTGCTTCTCGTGAAAGAAAATCAGTAAACGACGTCCAACCTTTTTACGTAGAATAAACACATAGCATCTCAACTACAACCTTGCTCGACGACAGCTGACCGAACGAGGACTCAACAACTACTTCATCTACTTCGCTTCCCAATCAAGGCGAAGTCCTTCCACTCTCGTCTCGAAGCTCTTGTTCGTTGGACGAGATCTTTGTTCATCACACGAGCGGTATCTATCAGCGACGTCCTGAACAGCAGCAGCAGGAGCATCGTCATCATGTCAACAGCAAGCGGTGGCTTCGCCATTCTCGCGGACGCGTTCCGGTTCTACGTGACGGATGTTGTCCAGCACGAAATCCCGCTTTTTCTGCAGCAAATCAGCACCAGCCCCTTCCGCGACTGGCAGCAGTTGTGCGTGTTTACCGCCTTTTGGTGCATCGTGTATGTTTTCTCCGGGGTTCTGAACCGCGTGGCGTTGCTGAAAAACACCGCGTACCGAACGCTGAGCCGGATATCCAAGACAAAAACGTTGTTACTGTAAATTTGTAATGCGCAACATTGAAGAAGATTGCGTCTGTCATGCTTGGCATGCGTCGTAGGGTCCATCAATGGGCGTTTTCACGTACTATCTGCGCATAACAGGTGTTTGCTGTCATGCCAAACAGATTTGTAATGTTGTTCCTCCAAAACAGTTACACCTACAATGTTTTTTTCTTGGATGCCGGAACAAAAAGATTTACTACGACGGATGCGTGACGAGCGGGGTGATGGGGACGGTGACCGGGTGGTACGCTTTCTCCATCTGGCTCACGCCGAACGAGGCAAGCAAGGCCGACCGGGTGATGGGCCGGGACCCCCGCGTGGACACGGCGGCGCGCCTCATGTACACCTACTTCGTCGTCGCTCTGGTCGTGGACCACGTGCTGCGACCGCTGGTTTCGCGGCTCGAGGCCGTATCAAGTGCAAAAATGTCTGGGTCTGGAAGATTGGAACTTGTGATGCTAACTTTGGACTCTAGAAAAATCTGTATTGCATGACCAGCAGGAGCAGTGAGTCTAGTTTGTGCTACGCGGGGAGGGCGTTTGTCATGCGGAGTAGGCATCGGGAAGCCCTCTCAAGATCTGTGATGCGCGGTCGTGCATTACAGGCGTCCTGGGTCATGCAAAACATGCATGACAAATCTCAGAATCTTCCAGACCCAGACATTTTTACATTTGATAGGCCGACACTTGCGACAAACCCATGTACGCCGAAGCTTCCGTCGGCGACGACGCGGGGGCCTCTCCCTCCAACACCCCAACAGCTGCAGCCGGTGGGAATACAGACAAACAAAAGACCACTGCTTTTCCGAAAATTCCGGAGGCAGAAGTCGCCAAGGCGCGGAAACAAGAAGAACAGCATCTTCAAGGTGGAGGGCCCTCAACGACGGCGTCCAGTGCGACTTCCCCAACAGATTCCGCAGTGGAAGACAATGACGCGACCAGTGGAGAGCAGCAGGATAAAGATAAATCGAAATTGAAGCAAACACAGGCTGACGAAAAGAACAAAACAAAAACAGCAGTTGTTTCTGCAACAACTGCAAACAGTACTAAGGCCAAGAAGAAACCTCTGCTGACCGATGACGTGGCCTTTCTCCTGCACCACATCGCTGCCTTGGTCATGGTTGCCATCACGATGCACCCCTTCGCGCACTACCACACCCCGGCTTTGATAATCTGGGAGATCTCGTCGCCTTTTTTGAACTACCGGTTGGTCAGCCTCGCGTTTGGCCTGACCAGCGGCACCGTGTTCAACATCATGCAGGCGTTGTTCGTGATCACCTTCCTCCTCTTCAGGATTGTGATCGGCCTGCCCTCGGTGACGTTTCTGGCCGCGGACCTGGTGCGCAGCATCCTGTTTCGCCACCCGGGCACCTTCAAGCTCTGGGTGACCGGACTGCAGGTGCTGGGCCTCGGCCTGGCGGGCGGCGGGGCCGCGGGAACGGAGGGTGGCTACGTCGACCTGCGCTCCACCGACCCCAGAGTTCATCTCGCCCACATGAGCAGTTTCTCGGCGCCGACCGACGACACGGACCTGCCGCTGTTTCTCGCCCTGGGTGCGCTCACCGGAAACGTCCTGCTCACGTTTCTCAACTGCTTCTGGGGCTACAAAATCGTCGTGCGAGCGATCAAGCTGTACTTGCCCGGGCTCTTTCCGGCCGGAAAGAAAAAGGACAAAACTCAGTGAAGAACAGATCGGGTATAGAAGATCCACCGGCGGTCACCGACCGTCTGGTGGTACAACTGGTACGCCGCACCGCCTGCGATGCTGGCACCACGACCGCGTCCTGTCATACTAGTCGTTCTCGGTCACCCTCATTGAGACTGAAGTACAAATGGTGTATGACCTGCTCTGACTTAGGCAGGTGGTACAACTAGATCACCACCTTCACTACTCGCAACGCACGAGTAGAAGGATGAGCACATGAACAGCGGGCTTTTAGTTTTACACACAGAGCAACATGATGAGTTTAACATCCGCTTCGCCAAGGAAGAGTAGCGGGTGCTATCGTATGGAAGATGAACAACGAGAAAAGACTGTCTTATTTTGCCAAATCCGGTGATGTAAGCGAAAACTGGTGCGTTAATTTGGAAAGGAAATTTGGATAAATTTGATTCTTCATCCTACCTGTAGTCTGGGACAATGCTTTGCGTTGTCTCCACGGAATCGCATTCGACCCCCATGGAAGATGATAAACATGTTGTACGTGTTTTATCATTTTCGTGACCACAAGGGGCAGCCAGCTGTTCTCGTCCTCCTTGTCCTTTCGTTGTTCTCGAGAGTGCGAAATACGCACGAAAGATGGAAAATACAAAGTTCGCCTCTGGGACTGGGACTGGTTGATGGTTGTTTGAGTCTGCGACCTCCCGAATTGAAGATCAGTCGTTTTTTCGTTGATGACTTCTACTTCAACAACGTACTTAGATTCTTTTGACATTGACAGTGATCCTCAACATCCCTTTCTGTCGTGTTAAGCTAGACGCAGTCGTTTGGTGATGTGGTGAACGTCAGTGTCAGGTACTTGGTCATCCTGGTTTTTAATGTGGTAAACGTAAGTATCGATAACTACCGATCTTCACACTACTTCTTCGGGGGCGGTAATGCTGGCAACTCTAGTTCTCCAACAACAGAAGCAGTTCTTGTTGGTCCGTGCCGCTGCGCCGGTTACTTCGGTGTAAGAACTGACTAGCTATTGGTATCATTGGTCTTCACGACTACTTTTGGCAATCAAAATCACTCCATGTCCGGCCATCGTCCCGTGTACCACAACCAGCCTCAGTCGTTGTCTGTCGTCGTTTCTTCGACTCCGTCTTTTGCTTCTAGAGCCTGTAGTTCTTGCCGACGTGGCCACAAAAAGGTTGTTCGTTCGTCTCCCCGCCCAGAGCAGCATAATTCTGCTGTAGTCTACAGGACCAGGAGCACGACCTCAGGACGTCGAAGCTGCACCAGTCGACGAGGATCATCTTCACGACACAGCAAGAATCTTAGGGCGAAGAAAGCTGGTCGTACTAGTGCGGCTGTTCTACTCTCAGCACGACCCGCTACGTCCGCCCGATTCGCGCTCGCCTCGGCGTTTCTGCTCCTGGATGCGCGCACGCGAAACGATGGGGTGTTGGCCTTTGTCGGCGACGGCTTTAATGCGGTGGATCGCATCACGGACGACGAATATCTCGAGTTGAAGCGAAACCTGCGAGACAGTTGCAGCGACAGCAGTGCGGGGGGTGGTCATGGTGACGAAGATGCGGCTGCAGCTCCCAGCACCTCTTGGTTTGGCGGCGGAGCTGCGAGCAGGAGTAGTAGCTCCGGGCAGGAGCCGCAGAAGAAGACCACCTGGGTTCCACCACCGGGAACGATCAATCGGCTATTCGATTACCATGGGTCGGACCGCGGGTTCAAAAAACACATGTACGGCACAACGTATGACTACCTGTTCACACAGAGCAACGAACAGCGGTGCGCGGTGAGGCACCTTCTCGAGGTGGGGATCGGGTCAGTGAACCCGAGCTCCCCCGGCCACATGCTGGAGCACAAGGACCGGTCGGACTTCGCCTACAAGCCGGGGCCGTCGCTGCGGGTGTGGCGGGACGTGTTTCCCAACGCGCAGATCATCGGGTGGGACATTGATCCCGATGCCATGATTTACGGCGAGGAGCGGATCCAGACGTTCACCATTGACACGGTGAACAAGACGCAGGTAGACCTGTTTTTCTACAACCAGTTATGATCCACAAACAACAAGTAGAACCCATGATCGTCCCCATCGCAATTCATTTCTACAAGACCAAAGGCACAGGCTGTGCAGCTTCATGTTTGGCATGACGAACTGGATGGGGATCAGGGGTCGTGGTTCTGTTTTTTCCTGCTGGATACCAATTACCACAGAAAAAAACCCATCCACATCCAATTTGGCATGCTTAAGACGTATCAAATTCAAATCATGTGTTTGTCATGCAAAAAATGGATGTGGATGGCATGGGTTTCTTTCTGTGGATACCAATTCGACTGGGACTACGAGTCCTACGCCAAAGCGCGGTGGGGTCGGGCGGTGCGTAACCGCGCGAATTGGAAGGAAATTCTGTACGTGGCGGATCAGAGTGCGAGCGACCCGAGCAATCAGGTCGCGGAGCTGGAAACGCGGTGGGACCGGGCCGAACTAACCACGATGGACATCATTCTGGACGACGGACTGCACGTTCCGCTGGCCAATGACGCGACCATGAGTTTTTTGTGGCCCTACCTGAACCCGAAAAACGGGATGTACATCATCGAAGACCTGGACGGCCACCTCAGCGAACAGGCCAACCACTACCGGGCCAAGTTCGACCAGCGCTACACCTCCGTGCTTATGGTAGTGCAAGGTACAGAAGTCCTGGTGATGATAATTAACTAGTCTTTATATAATATGGGGCGTACGCCACTTCTTCCACCGTGATGTCCTCTACTTAATTACGTTATTCTTGTCCTTTCTTGTCTGGATAAAATTGAAGTTGCGAGGATTTCTCTGCAGGTACCACGGTTGCGTCGAATATTATTGCGATCAAGAAGACCCCCGAGTCGCCCGGACACGTCCCCATTACGGCGGCCCAACTGGACCCGAAAAATCAGCTGCAAGCCGCTCACTGCTGGAACCGGCTCGACTTTGCCCAGGCCGACTGGGAGGGCGTCGCGGTAAACCGCACCTTCGAAAACTGTTGTCTGTATGCAGCGGAGCGTGCAAGTTTTTTTACCCATACCATCGTAATCGTAGTAGAGGTAGACCACCACGTACTAGGTAGAAGTAGAAGTCGCAGGCCAAGACTATAGTTATACCACCCTTGATACAACTACAAGTCAATTCAGCAGTCTCGAAAGTCCTCGTGACCTGAGGGTGTATTTTGCCATGTCCGATATGGGTGGTAGTAAATGTTCAGATGTTGATGCAGTCGTGGTCGTGCTTATTATGCAGAGTCAACAATGTGGTCAGCGTCAATCTCAATTGCCATTCATTGCATGGAAATGGATCGTGCGGTTATGGTTATGCGTTATTTTCTGTGCATATTCTTGGGTCGCCAAACGCGCCCTCGCGCAAGGATTGCTACAAACCAACGGACGCGCACCCGACCTGGGAGCGCGACTTCTACTCGCACAACATCGACGGTAGTAACTGGCTCGAACTGTTCTACATGGCGACTTTGTGCTGCGCTCCGAGAATAGCGGCGCGGACAAAAGACGTGCACGTGCTCAAATATTTCCACGTGCCTACAGTTTCCGACCGGTTTCTTCCAAGCGGCGGTGCCAGTACGACTCTTAGGACAGATGAGGAAGCTGAAAACGACATGGAGATGCAGGCAGTGGTTAAGAAAGACGCGGACGGAGAAAGTAGTACGGTGGTTTCCCTGCCTTTGCCCGGCAGCCTGAAATCGCGACGAGCCTACAAAGGGACGCCGATACTGTAGCAAATGAATCTTGCGCCGCCGGAGGAGTAAACGAACAAGGTGCGGTCGTTCGTTTTGTTGATCTTGCAATGCTACTTGTGGTTTTGATCATCATGTCCTTTGCCACAACCGCTTATGCGGCAATTTTCATTTTTTTTGTGGGCGGCAGACTCCGCCGACTCGATCCAGTTCTTCTTCTTTTGAAAAACCCAATGAATAGAATTAAGTGCACCTAATCGCATTGGTAGCCACTTTGATGTGCTGTGAGCAGGGGTAGAAGGAAAGAAACGAGGTAAACAGTTCCTGCCTCACCAGGGCGCGGCGTTGATTGGAGGTGGAGGCTTTTGTAGTTTCTATACTAGGTGTATCTTGCTGTGGTCGGAGATAACAATCGAGAAAAATACAACGCTCGTACTCCAAGGGCCCCCGCCGCTATTTCACTAGCAATTCTCATTGAGCGGACGGATGATCTATCTTCGCGGGAGCGAGCGGTATACACATACAGAACCAGCGAACAAGGGACGATACAAAGTGAGTGTGGTATTTCATGTACGAGGGCTGGAAACCTAGTCTAGCCCGTAGCTATGAAGGGGTCGACTACACCCACGACGTCCTCGTGTGCGGCCCTTGCAGGAGCGAGGAATCAATTTGTATTCGAATTCTAAGATTCCACGTGTTGTGCTGCTCTAGTGTTTGTTGTATTTCGGTAACACTTTCAATTCTTATTCTCGTTGCGTCGACTTATTGCTCAGCACCTGGTGCAGCTTTCAGTGCATGCCCGTTCGCGTGAACAAGGAATAAAATGCAGCAGCGCACAAGTAGAGCACGTCAAGACCGCTCCAACACTTCCAGCGTGCCAGCGCCTCCCGGAAATGACACTTCCAACAGGCGCAAAGCGCAGGACCGAGCGACGCTATTGCGCATCGTTGCAAAGCTGGACTCGTTGCTGCAGCGGGTCGCGCAGTGGATGGCAGATCAAAAGATGGATCACAGCACCGAGGAAGACGAGAAGGGGGTGCACGACGCAATGAAGATGCAACCAGGCACAGGAGCTGTCGCAGCTGAGGACGTAAGAAGTAGATCTTCATCTTGATGTAGTTGTAGATCAAAGAATGGGTCGTGGCTCACTATGATGCGTAATATCGGGAAGTCCGCCAAAAACAGGTAACGTCCCGCTCACGCGAATGGCTCTCCGTCCCCGGCCTTGTCGAGCTCTTGAATACCAATATCGTATGCAAAATTACCCACATCTGTCTCCGCTGCAGAACTTTTTGTTTTTTTCCAATTGAATGTGCAGGCATGTGTCAAACACGCTACCGCTTGCTTCTACCGCACCTAGTGCTACTCACACTCTTACATGATATGCTTTTGCTGTATCTTTTTGCGTTGCGTTTACTTTATTTCGCATGTTGAAACTACTACTACAAATCAAGAAAGATGTGAGTTTTTTTTCATAGCATAGCCTAGCTGGCCACGCTAGACCGACGGATGCGCCGTATTCTGCTGGCGCAAGGCAGCGGTGATCAGCAGCGACTAGTTGCTGAGCAGCAGCGACAGATCCGCGCACAGTTGCGATTGGTCGTGAAGGACACCGGCGCGGAGCTTCCCCCAACGCCCGCGGAGGAAGAGTTCGTAACTCCGGCGGTTTTCCATCGCGGACAAGAACTGCAGCATGATAAGGCAGTAGAAGTAGAACCTTTTGAAAGAAAGCAAGATCATGATCATACATATCAAGACGAGCGGTATGGTGCCACCACCTACCGGCAGGCAAAGAACAAACTCGCAGCCGAGTCGACCTCACCAAAAGCGACGGCTGCGATGCTGAGCTACATGATGAGTGCTTCCAGTAGAGCGCGGGAACAGGTGGATCCGCGCTTGATGAGCCAGATACTCGCAGCCCATGGAGGCGGCCCTCCGCCTCCTCACGACAGAACCCAACCGACATCGTCGGCCACAGTGCAGAAGACAGGCTCTGCAGGAGGAGGTGTTCCTTCAGGGGAGCAGGCAAGAGGTGGGGACGAGCAAGTAGATCGTACCGATGTTCATCTTGATTCGCACCAATACCAAACAACCAACAGCGACAGTCAACGTGGGCGCCGACCGGCTGTTCCGCCGAGAAGTAGTGGAAGCACAAATCATGAGTACTTGCCAGCACAACGGCTGTTGAATAACCCGTCGGAGTCTCCACCGGTAGTTCCGGGCTCCTGCCGTGCAAAGTCATCTTCGTCCCCCTCTGGCTACGTGAGTGTCCCTCTACAACCACCGCCACGCGGGCTACAACAGAAGACGCTCTTCAAACCCGCCGCTCCGGATGTTTATCCAGGAAAAAACATCCATCCCCATCCAATTTGTCATGCAAAACATGCATAAAGTCCACTATTTGTCATGCAAAAAATGGATGGGGATGGGTGTTTTTTCTTGGATAATGTTACTGTCGACGCACAAGGCGGAGGACCGTCGCCAACAGCCGGACCTGCGTCCTCCGGTGTCTTCCGCTCGTTTGCACTTCCCGAACACCTCGCGTACCCGTCGAGGCAGGCGTTGCCGAGCGTTGTCTCCCCGGCCCTCGGCAATTTCACCTCATCGGTGGCTTTTGTACCTCCATTTTTTGTTGGGCAAGGAGATGAACATCAGCAAGAGCGTCACTCTTCCATAGGCCACCAGCAGCACCATCCCGGCGCAGTTCTTAGTCTTACCTCGCCTCTTCAACACCAGCACCAGAGGCCCAGCAGCACACCAGCCGCAAGCGTATTGTCAGGCCCTTTGGTGGATCCCCCGGACCCAAACGTCTGGCTGCGCATGCCCACGGAGGAAAAGGTTCAGAACGAGGCATTACTTGACAAGATCGAAGAGTGGCTCGGGAGCACGGGCAAAAACAGCACACGCCGGTGGAACCAATCTCAGCTGCAAAAACTCGCAGACTTCGCTAAAGGAAGAGACTTGACGGATCCCGAACGCATCTACAAGCAGTATATGGAAGAGAAAACGCGGCAAGCAGCTGCTACTTCCTACTATTGAAAGCCGATAGAAAGCTGCGCCGCACTTTAGTACCAAGTGGCACTGGTGCGCTTCTTGTATATGTTCAGCGACGACTTCTGTGTTCGAGTCACTAGCAAGGAGCGTCATCATCTTTCCATTCCTGCTCTCGCACTACCTGAAACTCCTTTTGAATTTGCACCCATACCACGACGCATGGCAACTTCGCTTGGGTCGAGTCAAGAGAAACATGGATCCGAATTTTCATCTTGTTGTTTATGTTTTATATTTTCTTTCTTGTTCGGGTCCAGAAAAAAAAAATAAAATATCACGCAAGGAGAAAAGTCAAAGCTGTTAAGGAGAAAAGTCCTGCCAAGGAGAAAAGTCCAGCCAAAAGAAAAAAGTCCGAGCGTGCAACAGCTCGCGCGGTGTGGGGACTGGTCCCGCTCTTTTTCGTGAGAAGTGGCATCGGAGAAAGTCACCGTGACAAATTTCGCCCCTAGCGTTCAAACTTTCTGTAGCGTGTCCCAACCTCCGCACTTGTTAGTCGGGATGATTATGTTGGGGGCGCACGAAGTAGGGCAGTTTTTGCGCCCCCGCACCAGTGCAAGGGTTTCCAACCAGGTATGAAAGTAATGGCGCACGGGTGCGCGTTTCGTCGATTTCTTGCGACGATACTTTTCAGGCCGCAGGATGTTTGGATCTATTTTCACCAAGAATCTGCGCGATTCATCGGCCCCCTTCTCAATTCCGAGAAGGGGGCGGATGGCGGATTCTGGCTGACGTTGCTCCCGGTCCCGCATCCCGAAGTCAAGGGGCTGGCTATCGGAAGCTTTGCTCGGAATGAAGATAGGCCTGGTGGTGGGTTTTGCGTTGTGTTTGGTTTTGCGCTTTTGCACCGACGCGGGCGGCGATGCCTCGTTGAAGTAAGAAAGGCGCAAACCCAGACCCGGCGCCCGCAAAAAGCGGAAGCCAGGGAGGGCCGCGAAAAAAATCTCCGCGCGCGCTGCGCGCGCGGAGAGAAGTTCTTGCAGCCGAGCCGCAGGCCGTGCGGGCTTCGAAATGAGCGAAGGGGGTTCGGCAAACTCAACTCCCCGAATTTGCCACGCGCGCAGCGCCTTCCTTGTGGGGTAACTTCTTCTCCGTGCGGCGCACGCGCGGCCCGGCCCCTCCCATTCATATGGAACGCCTAAAATTTTTCTCGCGCGCTGCGCGCGCTGGCTGCCCGTCCCCTCTTTGTTTCTCTTGGCCCGTTTTTTGCTCACGCGGGGGCCTCCTTGCTGCAGGGGACGACAAAAAAGTTGTCGCGCGCAACGCACACAGCCTTGGGCTTCCTTCTTTGGGGGGCAAGCCCGTGCAGAATCCGCTTTGCGCAAGCGGCCTTTGATGTCCGTGCTTGTGTGGTTGGAGGGCGCCTGGTATTTTTTCCGCGTACCAGGCACGCAGCCTAGCCTCGTCGCCTTGGGGGGGGGAGGGTCTGAAAGATCTCTTTCGCACACCGTGCACGCGGAAGCGCACCGAGCTGGCGCAATTTCCCCGGTGCGTCTATTTTCTCTGCGTGTGGGGGGAGCCTGCTCTGATTTGCTGCTAGCCCGGCGGAGATGGGGCAGCATGGCGTGCGCGCGGTGGTGCTGACTCTGCTTGCGCGGCACGGCAAAGGCGACGCGCGCGCGGCCCGGAATTTTCTCCGGACCCGCGGCCCTGTTCCCAAAACCGCAAAAAAAAACTTCTTCGCGCGCTGCCGCGCGCGCGTGCGAATTCCATTGGCCCGCTTGCCTGCGCCGCCGGCGAAGGCCACAAGCCGTACGCCCCCCCTGCTGTCCTAGGCCGTGTGGGCGTTGCTGAGCGATTTCGTTGTGGGGCCTTTGCCGGGCTGCAGCGCGTGGCACATGGGGTACCGGCTACCCGAGGGAGGCGCCGTGTGTTGCCCTAGGGTGGTACTGGGGGCGTGCCGCGAGTCCTTGGCGCGGCGCTTTTTTTTCGCTTTCTTACTGTCTTTTTTCCCGCAGTGCTGTGTTTAGCATAGTGTATTCTGGCTAAGGATACCCTGGGAACAGCTCACGCGGTGCCAACATAAGTCCCAGGCTGGCTGTGGAGGTGTTTTTGGTCTCGCGCAGAGAATGGCTTGGTGCAGGACGCTGGGCGTTTTTCCCGTCGCGCAGTGTTTAGCATAGGGTATTCTGGCTACCCTGGGCGCGGCTTGCCCAGGATAGGTGCGGGTCTGTAGGTCGATTTTTGCCTCTGAATGTAGCGGGAGGTCGCTGAGTGTAGCGTAGGGAGAGGCCCCGTAGCAGGGGCCTGTGCCCGGAGACCGTTTTTTTTGTGCCCTGAACGCATTCGCCCCTCGTTTTCTCTTTAAGAAGTCCGTTTTCCCATCATCTTCTTCACGATGTCGGGGCTTCTCGAGATTTCCTTCAGAAGGGGACATTTGGGAAATCCTTTCTCCTGGGCTTTTCGCATGATTTCCTTTGGGAAATCCCTTCTCCTGGGCTTTCCGCATGATTTCCTTTGGGAAATCCCTTCTCCTGGGCTTTCCGCGTGATTTCCTTTGGGAAATCCCTTCTCCTGGGTTTTCCGCGTGATTTCCTTTGGGAAATGCCTTCTCCTGGGCTTTCCGCATAATTTCTTTTAGGAAATCGCTCGCCCCTGGGCTTTCCGCGTTATAGGAAATCTCTTCCTTAGGAGCCGGCCGCTGATCTCCGCGTCAACACGTACTGGAAGCAAGCTCCTTCTGATCTCCACTGCGAAACAGAGCGGAGACGAGCTCGGTGGCTAGGGTCTGGGTGGGATAGGGCCTGTCATAAGTATCGCGGTTTCTCCTTTGATATGGATCAGAGGGTCCGCGATGTCGGACTTTTCTCCTTTGATATGGATCAGACGACTTTTCTCCTTTGATATGGATCAAAGGAGAAAAGTCCGGACTTTTCTCCTTGCAAAGGAGAAAAGTCCGCTGGATTGATACCAGAGCGAGCAGCTCCTGGTCCAAATCCTTCTGTTTTTGCTTCAAATCTTTCCGTTTTAGCATCAAATCCTTCTGCTTTGGCATCAAATCCTTCTGCTTTAGCATCAAATCCTTCTGCTTTAGCATCAATTCCTTCTGTTTTAGCGTCAATTCCTTCTGTTTTAGCATCAATTCCTTCTGTTTTTGCTTTTTTCTAAATATCACACATGTTGTGATATCAGCAGCGCAATCGACTTTTCTCCTTTGGTCCTGTGATATCACGTGATATCACGTGATATCAAAGGAGAAAAGTCTTTTTTCAAAGTTTAAAGACCCTTGTTCCGACAGTTCGTCCGAGCATCCATTATTTAAGTTGTGATAAGCCAGCATGTTTTATTTTGGTAGGACGAAAACGGCTCCCGCTCCTTTGCCTACTTAGCGATGAAGAGTACGCGATCGCGAACTGACTGAAATATACATGTAGATGTTAGCACCGCCGCACAAAAACAAAAAGCATAGAAAGAAGCAAGAAAAAAAACAGCATGACGGTAAACGCCAACTCGGACAGCTCTGCGCCCTCCTCGGCGCGCACGTTTGGTGTTTCAGAGGCTGGTGGGGATGGCCATGGCCAAGGACAAGAAGCACCTACCTCATCTGGTCCGAGCACGACAACCACAACGAATTCGAAAGCGAAGAGGACTTCAACCGGGCCACCTGTCTTGCCGAAGCCAAACGCGGGAGTAGTTCTTTCCTCCGCGTCCTCAGCTCCCTCTGCAAATGTCCATCAAGATAAACGCTACCCGAACGAGGACTTTGCAAATTCGCGAGCTGACGGCACTACTAGCGAATCACTGCCCTCGAGTAAGAAGATGATGGTGTCATCTATTCCCGCGCAAGACTACCTTTCGTGGGATGAGTATTTTATGTATACCGCAATGCTCTCCGCCGGCCGCGCAAAGGATCCGAGCACGCAGGTCGGCGCTTGTATCGTGAACGAAGACAACCGCATCATCGGGATTGGTTACAACGGGTTTCCGCGGATCTCCCCACCACCGTTCTCCCAATTCTGCAGGGAGTTGGTCTCTTGCTTGCTCGTCAAAGTGCAGGACAAGCTCGACGCACGGAGGACGAAGAATAGTGCAGCGGACCAGGCAGCAAAGGTCGAGGAGGAGCGCAAGAAAATTATCGAAAAGTCGGCTTTGAAGAAAAACGTGGAACAATCAGCAGGAACAAGAGAATCATCTTCACCAAGTGAAGTAGACAAGGACCTTGCCTGCACGCCGGTTGACGACGAGGTAGATGGTGGCAGAAAAGATGAAAACGACGACCAAAAGCCGCTGCGAGACCCGTACTCGCGGATGCTGTTCGCGTGCTACTGCTGCTTGGAAGCGGGTGCGGGCGCCTTTTCCTTCACCGTCGACGCGGACGCGACCGCTAGCACACCTGGTGATTTGCAGCGTGTGTGGTCGCGTTATTGGGGCGTGAATGACGCGGCTTTTCCCTGGGCGCGGGAGGCGGCGAAGGCCTCCGATACCAAGTATCCGTACGTGATGCACGCCGAGGCAAATGCTATTTTGAATAAAACCGTGCCGATCATTCCCGACCGGTCCAGTGACCGAACGTTGGTAAAAACAAATCAGCAAAACCAACAAGATGAAATCAAGCCTACCACCCGAATCTACACGAGCCTTTTCCCCTGCAATGAGTGCGCCAAATTGGTGATTCAGGCCGGGATTCGCGAGGTCGTGTACTTGTCCGACAAGCACGGAGCCACGGACAGTGCCAAGGCCGCGAAAAAGTTGTTCCAACTGGCGGGGGTGCGGTGCCGCGAATTTATCCCAGAATTTTTGCGCGACAAGACACACAACTCCAAGTGGTTCTTCCGGGGCGGCAGCCCGTTAGTCGCGGAAGGAGGAGGAGCAGGAGCGGGAAAATGTGTATCACTGGAAGAGCAAGAACGAGAAAGACGGGAAAGAGGCATAGCCGCGTGTGATCCGCTAGAGGAGTGTAAAAAGGCAATCGATCGGTGGAAGACGGTGTGTCCGATCACCGGACGGGGGATCGCGATGACAGAGCGAGCACGAACTTCTGGAGGCCGCGTAGGAAGCATTGGCAAAGATGAGATGAAAGTAGATTATCCAACAGAAATAGACGAACAAGATCGATCCATTTTGATGCCTTGGTGGAGACACAGCACAGCTTTGCTCTTCCTGACAGGGCTGAGCCTTGGAGCATTGTTGGCTGTATCCTCGGATAATCGGCAACATCGGACACAATATCTTCAATAATTATAAATCATCGTCGTGACATCAAAGTAGCATCGGGGCCTCGTCAGGGGGCTCCATAAAAAATGCAACATAATTCATCTAGTCATCTCGTTGTTCTTGTTGCCTTCTTGTTGCTAATGGCAATGCGTAATCGAGATTGGACAAGGTACTTAAGCCTAAAGATTAAGATGAAACAAATGCAAGCCCGCCATCCTAAAGATGAAACAGCAAAATGCAACGCGGCTATCCTGAGGGCGGCTAATGTTTTGTTCAAGCTGTTGAGGTTGACGAAAAAGAAGCTCTTCGAGTTGATGTGATGTTCGTGGGCGGTCGAAGAGCAGGAGGAGGCTCAGCCTCAAAATCATCTAGTAGAAAGGGTTTGAATAAAAAAAGAAAAATGCTTGTTTTTATTCCTTCTTCAGCAGCTACAGACTTCAAGTTTTTCGCTCCTACCAGCAGTTCTTTTTTCTAAGGCACGAGCCAAAGCTGCTCTGCCACGTAGTAGCTTTTTATTGAAATAGCGCTAGCCAACATGTGAGAAGAAAGCTCTACTTTCAAACGGTACCACATGACCATCATCAACAAACAAACAAACAATAAAAAATAACTTTAGCTTGACCTTAACTATTGAGTTTTTTTCGGGTATTGCGCTCTCCGCGCGCAGTGAAAAAAAATGCTCGGGCGAGCGATCGGTCGACGCACATCGATCGTCGGCCCCGCTGTACCAACGCGAGGAGGTGCTTCGAACCGAGACACCGCCACCATTCCCAACTTGCCCGCTTCAGGTTCGGGGTCGTGCTGTGTAAATGTAGTTGTCGTTGTCCATGTCCTGGCTAGCGGGGCATATATTATAGTAAATTTCCTGTACACGTACAAAGTGCCCGCTTTTCTTCTAATTAGAAAACGACGCAAAAAGATTGCAATGCAAAAAATTTGAAACCATGCATGACGATACGCACACAAAGGCACGCACCACGTACAACAGCCGGGGCGGCAGTAAAGGCCCTATGCTGTTGCTGGTGGTGCCTGTAGCCATATTAGCTAGCTAGAGGCTTTGCCGGGTTCCGCGCTAGATCCATGTACTCACCACCACGGGCCGCATTTCCGTGCGGTGTTGTGTGTTTTCCCTAAAGAAGGCGATCGCGCTCGAACAGCCAAGCCCGATGCTGTCGGCACGATTACAGCACAGCACAACACTCCCCACCTTCAGGCCCATGCTTTTCCCCTCTTCGTCTTTCCGGGCGTTAAAAGCGAAACCACGCGTCGCAAATCCATCGAGGGCGTCTGAGTCATCAGGGGCCTCCGGCTTCAGAGCGGTCTGTTGCCTCTCGTACGGCCTGGCCCGTAAATGTTTCAAAGCCGTGGCCGCTACTGGGCCGCTTGTCTTCGTCCAGATTGCTGCTTCCATGCCCCCGCGCCACCTGGTTGCGACATGCGGCAAGAGAGATGGGCCTACGGCGTTGTGTTTTCAAATGAGGGCTGGGTGGTTGGAGAGGGATGGTTGGAGAGGGTTGGTCGGAGAGGGGTGGTTGGAGAGGGCTGGCAGATATAAGTATTTTTTTCGAGCTTTTGACAGCATTGCATTCAAACGACGTCGAAATCACACACGTGATTTGTGTACCGTCAACGCAAGAAACACACACGCAAGAAAATGTCGCGGCTTTTTCTCGTTGGCGACGATCTCCGTGTCGGAGATCTCGCCACGCGGGTTGTCAAGCTGATCGGCCCAGGCGAGAAAGCGCCTCCGTGTGTGAACGCTGCAAAAGGCCAAAACTAGCCAGCTTATCGAGTTGGAAACTAGGGGGCCCAGGTTGCCCAAATGCATTACCATTAGCGGCTGCTTTCACAAGGTCGAGAACCAAAACAAATACAGCCGCCTATTGAGTAGTCTCTCACCCAAAACACAACCGCTTCAGGTTCGGGATCGTGCTGTGTAAATGTAATTGTCCTGGCTAGCGGAGCCTCGTACCTGCTACCCAGCGCCGGAGTGCGGGGTGAATTAGTGGAGCGCTCGCATGCCGAAGATGTCGGGCAGAAAGGAAGGAAGGAAGGGCGCAACTTGTGGTCGCTGACAGGTACACTCCATAACTTTTGCTCCTAAGCTTGCGAGGTTTTCAGAATGTGCAACTTTCTGGCTTTTGCTGTGTCGCGAAGATCGCCGGTGTTGTCTATGTGATTGCATCTCACCACCCATACGCTGCATCATACAAAAAATAAACTAAAAACAGCGGGATCTCCGTGCGTATGGACGATGCCGGGCTGGAAAGTTCGGCGTTTTCGGACGTTGTGCCCGAAGAGGTGTTCACGGAGACCAAAATGAAGGACTCCCATGTGCGGAGCAAGATTGATGATGATCTCCTTCTCGATCCTCGGTCCGGTAACTATAAGAGGTTCAACTGTTGACTTTAAAAACGGCTCTCGAAGAACTTTTCTCAAATAGCTACAAAACAATGCAAAGCAGTATGCATTTTGAATTAGCTACTTCAGCGGTTTATCTTTATGTAGGTAAGCTAGCTAGGCCTAGGTCTTTTCTCCTCTAGCTTACCTACATAAACCGCTGAGCTAGCTAGTGAAACAGAGCCAGTTTTTGTATGCGAAGCAGCTCTTTGAGAAAAATTCGAAAACCTTTTTAACGTCAACAGCTGACCCTCTTATAGTTGAACGCTTGACATAGTTAGCGGCGCAGCAAACCCACACGAACTCCTTGACGAGAGACGAGATATTTCCGGAAATCAACTGAAGGGCCACGTCGTGAACAAACACCCCCACCAGGTTGTCCATCTTGTCGGTACACAGTTGGGAAAAATGGGCATGCGTTACATCCCGGAACAGAAGGTGGACCTTCTCTTGGAAGATATCCGCGAGGGCAAGGACGTTTACGGCTGGGTGCGACCAGCGATCGAACATGCCTGCAAAAACCACACAATCAAAAAACGAGTAGTTGTGGTACACGGTCATGGTCACGGCGGACAAGTAGGAATGTTAGATGCAACGTAAGACTATGAAAAAGTGAAAGACGGGAAGATTGAGATTCACTTTACGCCCTTCGCTTTTTCAATCAGGGGCAATACATACGAACTCCATTACACGACCACGGATGATCATTTTAAGCTTGTGCTTGTCGATTCAAATTAAAGAAATATAAAATCTGTGATGATGTATCAGAAGCGACAATCTATAGACTATATCGCTTTGCAGCTCTTTACCTCACCCCCGACCTCACCACCTCTTTATCTACATAGGATAGATCAGAATCAAAGGCAAATAGAGAAGAGAAACAAGGCGAAATGGATCGGAATGGGCTGCGAGCCTTTGGCTTTGGCACCGTACCTTGACACATGAAGTGGAAACAACAAAAAATTTCAGTATAGGACAAAAAGAAAACAGAAAGAAAAAACAAATTAAAATCGAAGAAGATCCACCGTGTGGCCTGTAATCTGTAATTCATAGATACGTACTTATCTATCAGCGTCACCTGTGAGCAGCAGTCTAAAGCGAAAAGTCGTGATCCAAATCGATCATATCGCAGCAGGCAGGATCTGGCCTAAGTCAAATGCTCTGCAGGGAGATCCTCTTAGAGATGTATTTAGATGTGAGAGAGCACTCTTGTCTTGCTGTTGCTCCTTGATGCAGATGCAGATCATACACACCTAAATGAAAATGGATGAAAATCTTCTCGATCCCGTGGCGAAACTACTTAAGTACTTCTAGGGTTTTACAAGGACACAAGGACAAAAAAGCTCATGGTATTAATATTGATGAAAACACAAAATTCATCACAGTGGCTAAGCATTGCATTACACGTCTATTTTTTTTTTCTTCACGTTCACCACGACCACTGAATTTGGCACTACTAAATCCGTGCGGTTTGTTTGTTTGTTTGTTTCGCCTTGCTTTTAGCTTTACCTTGATCTATCTTTAAGAGGTGGGACCACATAGAGTAGTACAAGTACTTGCTACCACCGGTTCAATATACTCACTCCATAGTACACAGCCAAGAGTACTATCCCACGACCCTAATTGCAATACCAAAATGGCCGCGCAAGACATGATCTCCGCTGAGAATCAGCAGCCCACAGCGGAAGTTGTGGTGCAGCTGACCACAAAATTGAAGGACGAAAGCCTCCACGTGCCCGAAGAGCCCATCGTTGTCCCCGCGAACCTCGGTCGCTACAAGCTGTCCGAGCTGGTGAACCAGCTACTTGGTCGCGACAAGCCGGTTCCCTTCGATTTTCTGGTGACCACGAAGAAAGCAGTGGCCCCGCTGTTGAAGGAGAGCGGTAGCAATGAACAACAAGCTGCAGAAATCCAAAGCAAGACCGATGGTAAGCCAGCGGAGCAGGTCTTTCTGCGCCAAACGCTGCAGCACTTGCAGATCGAGTATGGGATTTCCTCCGAAAAAACGTTGGAAGTCGAGTACGTGCTTGCGCTCCCGCCGATGCAAACCAACGAGTCTGTATGCATTGCAAAACTATCGTACTAGTATAAATTGCATTACAAATTTTCCCAAGAACAAAAATGCAATTTGTCATGCTATTTCAGGTAGAAAGTTGGAGTTGTCATGCATATCTGCAATTAGTACGAGTGCGATACTTTTGCACAGGATAGTCTGAGGCCAGCGACGACTGGATAAGTTGCGTGCGGTACTGCGAAAAAAACAACCTCTGCGTCGTCTCCAGCTACGACGGAAGTTTGAAGGTATTTGACCTTCTGGACAACGGATCTACATCCGGTGCTGCGGAAAAAGACGGAGAAAACAAACAGGAGCAATCTTTGCAGCAAGTGTTTTCCGAGAGAATTTCTGAGGCGGGCATCACTTCTGTGGAGGTGATTGAAGAGGAGCAAAACGCGGTGAAAATCGTGCTCGCAGACAAGGATGGCGTAGTGTATTTCGGACGCGTTTGTGTGGAAAAAGAACAGGGCTCAACGAAAACAAGCAAAAACAAGACCTCTAGTACTTCCTCCTCAAATCCACTTTCTGAAAGAAAAGCAACTTTCGCGTTAATCTCCCGCTCGGAGGACGTTGTTGAAACCTCCCCCTGCGCCTACGAAAAAGCGGTAGAGTGCATTGCGGTTTCCGGGAAGAAGCAGCTTGTCGCCACGGGTGGCTGGGATTGGAGCCAAGGCGTGAAAATCTGGAACGTGCAGGAAGTTTTCGAGCCAAAAACTAACGCAACAACATCGGCCTCGCTGAAGCGGAAAAATGATAACGGGAACCAGAATGAGAACAGCGGAACAGCAACAGCCTCTTTTGCGGCCAAACCGGAGTTCACGGTGCAGACGAAAAATTTGAAGAACCGCGTGACGGGGCTAGTTTTCCTCGACGAGTGCAGCCTGCTGATTTCCTCCCTCGATGCCACGGTGTGCGTCGTCGATCTCGTTGCCAACACGGTCCTCGGCTCCGTGCTCCACACGGGTCTGGCCGTGCTGCAGGTGGATTACTCGAAAGAGGCCAACATCCTCGCGTGCGCGCACGAAAGCGGACGGATCAGTTTCTGGACGAAAAAGGTGAACAAGCAGGGATCATGTGGTGCACCAGCTACTGCGAACGACTTCAGCTTTGAAATGCTGGAGAATTTCCCGATGAACACCAAGTACCACAACGGCGCGATCAGCAGCATGCGGTTTCACGGACCGCACAAACTGCTGTCGGCCGGTCTCGACGGCGTCATTCGCGTCAACGATCCTCGCAGTAAAACCGCCCTGCAAACCATCAAGGTCGCGGAGGAGGCCGCCGCGCAGGTGAAGAAAGCAGTCAAGCCGTTTCCGTTGAAGATTACGTCCGTAAGGGCCTGCAGCTCCGCGGTGGGCGACGATGAAAAGGGGATCCGACTACTCAGTGGCGCGAGCGACGGGAAAGTCCGCTTGCATTTCCCCATGACGGGTAACAGTGCCGCGGACGAGGAGTAGGAGAAGTAGGACAAGTCTTTCCACAACGAACACCGCTTTGCTGTCTGGTCGCCATCGAAGGTTGACTACTTCGATGATGTTTTAGGGAAGTCGTGGTGCATCGCTCCTCCGATGAGAGATGACACAACTCACCACTTTCACAGATGTAGTTGAAAAACAGGCTCAGCAACTGGATCAACTGAAAAATGCGCACAATTGAAACCAATGGAGACAATTTGAAGACATGCAATCAAACATACATCTAAGCCCCTGTAGCTCCAGCTCGATTGGGAGGGGGGCTCCTCGCAGTCGATTGCCAAGCTGCTCCCAGTGAAGACTACGTTGTTCGTCCAAAACACACTGCCTGTTCTTTGATTTGAAACAAGCGGCGACTCAACACAACGAGTATGATAGCGAACTTCCTCCAAAGCAAATAAAAATAGATGCTGTTTCCGATACTTGTCGTTTTCTCGAAGATATGGTCATCTCATGGTTTACATCGATAATCATCAGAAGAAATTTCTGAAACTCTCGGAGTCGGTCTCGATGGCTGGCAGCGTAAACAAGAAATAAGTGTGTGGCTTTTGTTCTTTTTCTTCCTGGTGCTGAAGTGCTTAGATTTCCAGCTTTAGCTTTTCCTTTTCGTGGTCCAACCACCTTGGTGTTGGTTCCTCTTGTTGCCTACGATATGGCCACCTCGGTCCTCTCTACCCTGGGTGAATTTCTGTATGCTGCCGGGCCCGGCTTCGCGGGTCCTGGAACGGTACGGGAGCGCCATCCAAGTTGGGTCGTCGGACTTTCCTGTTTTTCCTTCTGGGTCAACGCGGCGCACTGCTACTTCGTCTGGAAAGACATTCTCTCCGGGGTCCTGTTCTTGCTTCAGGGGAGCGTGGCTTTCATCTCCGATTACCTGACTCTTTTAGGACGCGACGTTGAACGAACGTTAACCAGTGCTGAAGGAGATTCGACTGGTACTAGTACGGGTGTCGTCGGTACTAGCTCTACCACGATCTTCTCCTCCAGCGTGCGCGGCAACGAGCGGTCCCGCAAGAAGGTCCTGCTGGAGGAGCAACAGCATCAAGACCGAGATAGTATTGATGCTGGTGCAGCTAGCTCAAATGCCATGCCTGCTGTGTCCGACAGAATGCGAATGCGGCGGACGTTGCCAATCTTTACCCACCGCGTGCCGCTTTTCTGCTTCAATCACAAGCCGTTGATAAACCGGATCGACAAAGGCATAGCGTGTTGCATCATAGTCTGGATGCACGTGCTGGCTTGCCGGCACCTGCTCGCCTACCCACTGCTGACGGTGCCGCCGCTTGCGCTCTTCCTGGGCTACTCGCGACTGGCCACTACGCAGGACGACTGGATCTGCCGACACTCCGTGTGGCACGTCTTCGCAACATGTATATGTCGTGCGTAGCAGTTATATCAATTTACATGATCAAGCAAGAGGGTTGCACACTCCGACGTCGGGCTGGCTGCCCGATGTCGACCAGCTTCCGCTGGTTCTCTGTCCTCTATCTAGAATCTCCGCTTCGTCCGGGCTTGCCTGGACTCGGCGTTTTTTCCCCGCCCTCCCACCCAGCTGCTGCAGCTTCATTGCGAGATACCCTGCGGCACCCCCCGCAAGCCTCCCCAGATGTTCGGTGGGCCATGTCGTGTTCCACGGCTTGGCCCACCTTCACGTCCGGGGCGTGGCTCTGTGGGGTTTGAGAGCTTGGCTCGCGCGGCTTGCTACTTGTAGCTCGCTGTGCCGGCCGGGTTCTCTTCTTGCTCGCCAGTGTGACCGTCGCAGGGCGTCCCGCGACGAGGACTGCAGCGCGCGTCAGCACTGCCTTCGATTATCATCGTTTCCGCGCGCTTTCGCTCGTTGGGTGAATTGCGCCAGGAATGTGAATTTATATAAGTTAAAGCTTTCACAAAGTGTCATGTCATCGCAAGCTCGCACCGTAAACGTGAGGAGATGAAATAGAGTCCAGATCCGAAGGGTGTTGATGTACTTAATCGTCGTAGTGGACAGCAAAAATAATAGAAAACAGAAACACATTGACGACTTCAGGTCTCATCATTGTGTCGGTCCATTTCGCCTACCTCTACGAGCACGAGGTATGTCTCAGCCTCTACCAGACGGGAAAGCCAACTGCGAGAAGCGCGCTTGGCACCGGGCCAATCAAGAATTGCCTACTCGATCACCTTGGTTTGAACCGCGAAAAGGTGCTGAGTTTGCAACAGAGACTGGCGGATGGGGGAGGCTTGGATGGCTCTGAGACCGTCTCTGAGGGTGGAGAACTCTGGTCCCTGGTAGGACCCCTGGTATGGAACGCCGGCGCGCCTTTGACGGTTTTAGGAATCATTGTCGCCCTGGGAAGCTGAGACCCGCCGTGGAGGCCGTGGTCGTGTGTGGTTTTCTCAATTGTGGTGTACAATGGTGTCAGCGCATTCAAAGACAAAGTGTTTTCTGGTTCCACCATAGATTTCATTTCTACAGTGGTTCATCTGTTCATCATAAAATGAAAAGGAAGAGTCAAACAAGGTGAAAAAATGCAGCTGGTGCATACATGCCCTTCTTGCACTTGCGTATTCGTACGAAGGAGCGGTCTGTACTACACATTCATTCAAAGCCGAAAAGAAAATGCTTGCGCTTGGTTAATGTCCTACAGATTATTTTTGCAAGTAGTGCCCGCAGGCTGTTTTAGGAGCCGACGTTATCGCAATCGCATTCAATCTCATTCTCAAATTGGAAGCACAAGACCCCGCGATGCTTCGCTTTGAGATCGTGTCGATCTCTCGACAAAGTTGTCTTTAGTTTTACTAGAGGCACGCCTGGGATTATGGAAGAAGTGTGTTCATATTTTGTAATTACTAGAGGCACGTGCTTACTACTTGAATGTCACCACTGCGCTCTGTGATGTTGGGAGGTGGTTGCGAGTTTGAGTTACAAGTGTCGGAAGGACGACGCTTGAGCTATAGAGTGCGCTAGTTGCATTGCGCGAGCGCTTCGCGTACATGCTTCAGAAGATCGGGCGGCGCAGCCCGAGCCAGGGCGGCCCCCGCAAAGGGCTCCAGGCGGTCGCGGCGTTCTCTGTCTGGTGGCGCATTGCGGAGGATGTCCGCCGCATCTTCGGCGCGGGAAGTGTCGCGGGCCGCCTCGTGGTTTTCATCGAGGGCGACGCAGCAAAGCCCTACCCCTCCCGCCCCCAACTGGTACGCCAGCAGCTTTGGACCAGCTGGGGGCTTTCGGGAACCCCCTACGGCCGGTTGGCGGCGCGGTCACACATCGCGACGCCTTGCCGGGTCCGCGCAGCACGCGGGCTCGTTGCCCCGGCGGCACACACTCACGAGCGGCTCTGCGGAGGGCAGCAGGCGCCCCCCGCCTGATTTTGCGGCTGCGTACGAAATCGCGCGCCGCGGCGGCGCGGATTATGTGGCGCAGTATCCGGCCCGCCTCACCCCATGGGGCCGGCCTTCGACTACTAGCGCCGGCCCCGATCCGGGGTCGCTCGCGAATCCGACAGGGGCCCCACGTTGGAGCGGCATCACGCGGCGCCCGATGTACAACGCGGAGGGCGCCCAGCTTCTGGAGCTGGACAGCGCTACGGCCTTCGACGTCGCCTATCCGAACGCGGTGCGCATCGGCAGGCGCTGCGCCGAGGAGTTTCTGGCGGCCGGGGGCAGTGCTTGGATGGGGCTCGTTCGCCCGCCGTCCTTGGCCCTGCGCGCAGCGCGGGGGGATCTCCGGGGAAGCAGCCGGCAACCGCCGGCCGCCCCGAGCGCTCTGCGTGGTGGTTTGGTTGTGGATGCCCCCTAGGTGGGCGTGCCCAGGTAGCCAGCCGCAGAATTGCCAGCAACGCCAATCCGTGCCAGCCAGTAAGTATCTATGGCAGGCGCCCCCCGCCCGCGTTCGCTCGGCCGGGCCCGGCGTCAGTTGATTGTGGGCATAGCTGGCCACCCAGCTTGCCGGCCGCGCCGCGACGGCGGCTGCGCCTGCGGTTCGCAGTCAGTTTCCCTTCTTGGTCGAGTCTCTGACGCGGCGACGTGTTGTCGGTGGTGTCTGACCCCCGCTCCTTGTGACCGCCGATGAGTATCATAATCCTTCCATAAATATGAAGTCTATGCATTGTTCCGACTCCGAGAGCGTCGAGGGGTCCTCCAGTTTTTCCGAGGAAAGTGCTGATTCTGCAAGGCGGTTGCTCTCTCGCTTCTAGCCATGAATCAAAACACTGCGCCGAAGCTTGTCTGATCGTGAGTCTCTCTGTCTAGCGCCGTCGCTTCTGCTGCTCCTACCTGCGACAGCGATTAGTGCCGCTGCAGTTGTAGTTTCACGAAAGTATCAGCTGAGTGGTTGAGTGGAAGTGTCTGACCGAAGTACGAAAAGGGGCGCAAGAAGTGCAACGTCGGGTAGCCAGAGTTTACCAAGCCATGTCTGGTGCTCTTTCCAGCAAACTAACCCAAACTGTCTCCTCCCGCGGCGGCCAGCGTGGTCTGCAGTGTGGGCTCGATGCTTTCTCGTCTTCAAGCAGGACATCACTTCGAGCCACCTCCATCTCCTCCCGCGCAGCAGCAACGACCACTACAAGCCACCAGTTTACCCAGAGCGCGAACATGTCAACCCACCGTGTGGCGATTTTGGGTTTCGGTACGGTGGGGAAGGGTTTCGTGGAGATTATCAAGAAGAAGAACGCGATGCTCCAGCAGAAATTCGGCCTGGACGTCCAGGTTGTCGCGGTGTCGGACTTCAACAAAGGCTCCGTGTACGCTCCGGACGGACTGAACCTGCCGGAACTGCTGGAATGGGACGCCGCGGGGAAAAGTCTGAACGATTTCGGAAAGGACAAGGGATACAAGCACGAAATGGACTCACTGCAGACGTGCAAGGTATAGAAGAGGCACACGAAACAGAAATTACCAAGAATTTTACGCATGCAAATGAGTAGCATCCATGAGTGCAACATTGAACGAGAAGGGGCAGCCTTGTTTTTTGAATTCCGTCAGGACGTCGCGTGTGACAGTCTCCTCGAAATGACCTTCACGAACTTGGACGACGGGACGCCGGCGATTTCTCACGTCGAAACGTGTTTACAAAACGGAAAAAACGTCATAACGACCAACAAGGGGCCAGTCGTCTTCGCCTACGACGAATTGGACGCCCTCGCAAGGAAAAACGGGCTGCGATTCATGATTGAAGGTATTAATCAAGAGGCTTCAGAAGATCGCACAAGAGGCCGCTTACACATGAGGCTGTTCACCTTGATAGTTCCACCTTTTGGTAGTGGTGCTCCTGCCCCTCTAACAACATAATTCTTGTGCTTGGCCTTCATCATGATAACACCAAAAATAGCCTGAAACCCACTCAACAACTCAGGATCCATCGTCAGTGGCACCCCGGTCGTGAGTCTGATGCGAAACCTCCCGGCCTGTGAGTACACAGAGATTGGCGGGATTCTGAATGGGACGTGCAACTACATGCTTTCTTCGATGGAGTTCGATGGCGTGGAATACGACGCCGCTCTGAAAGAGGCTCAGCGCCTCGGCTACGCCGAGGCCAATCCGAGTTTCGATGTGGGCGGTGGCGACGCACGGGCGAAGGCAATTATTCTCTGCCGCATGTTGAAAGACCCGTTTCCGACCGACAAGATCGAGTTGGAGGTAATAGCGCACTTTGACCTTTTTTGTAGAAACAGGAACTCGAATTATGCCTTTCCATAGCAAATCCAAATCACCCTGAGCTTGCGTCTCCGTCGCAGGTGACGACTACTACCAGGTGGATATAGAAAGATTAGCTCTACTCCTGAACAAGTGAGCAGGGGCGGCCCCTGTAGTCATGCTCGTCATGACAATGCATTCCATTTTCATGATGCGCTCAATTCTGATTCTCTTTCCAGGGTATCGAGGGCGTCACCAAGGCAATGGTGGACGAGGCCAAGGCGAACGGGAAGCGGTACAAGCTGGTCTCCACGTTGAAATTCGACTCCTCGACGCAGAAAATTTCCAGCATCGCCGTCAAACCCACACTGCTGGACGTGAAAACGGACGCCCTGGCCAACGTCGGGGGTGCGTTGAACGCTTTGAACTTCAAAACCGACATGCTCGGCCCAGACTTGACCATCATTGGGCCGGGCGCGGGGAAGATCGAGACGGGCTATTCACTCTTCACCGACCTGATGTACCTCTGTAACCTCGGGAAGTCGTTTCCTTAAGAACCGCGAAATGCAGGTCGTATTGCTGCGTAGTCACTTCGTCATCAAATCGGAGATTTGGATTTCTAATATGGTCGCAGTAACTACGGAATCTTTCTACGAAGTTTACGACAGTGCGACGAGAAGGTGGTTGGCCTTTGATTCATTTTCTCTGTCTCTCCCTCTCTCATAATTTAAATTTTTGGTTTCTTGCTTCATCTATGGAAATCGCCTCTCCTTATATTTTTGGAAATCACAGTCGGTGACTGTGATTTCCGTTCTTTTATTTGTATGCACAAGAACTACTTCTTGCTGATTCGATTAAGAAACCGCTCCTGGTACCGGAGACTCACTTCTTCTTCGCAGCCAAAATTGCGACAGCGCCAGGCTTTACTTTTTCAACAAAGTTTTACTTTTTTTGCCCATTTTGCAACGCTCGAGTGGTGTAAACAAAATGATATCTTTCAACTACGTGACTGTCGCACTGGTTGTAGCTTGGCTGCGTCTAAAAAATAAATTACGAGTGCTAACACTGCAGCTGTGGAGGCACAGATGCACTACGCAAAATCATGCATCTGTGCTTTCTTTTTTGCCCAGTAGTGTCCTTTCCAGTGATAGTGAATTATCGTGTGTAAATAAAGCGGCTTTCCCACCGACTTTTTGTTTTCGTTTTCTGCACAGCAGAGCAGGTATCCTAGCTAGTAGTGGAAAAGGACAAAGCTAAGCGGGGCCATTGTGGATATCGAAATCGATATTGCTAATTAGCATTACAGAAATGCATGCGCTCTTTTCGGCTGGCACTTCATCTTCATATTGTGCTCCGGGGGTGACTGCAAGAACACGCGAAACAAGAACGCGAACTGGTATTAGAACAACTTGTTCGCAATTTGAAAGCCACCACGGTACCTGGACAAATATGATAAACTGAAACTCTGCAACGAGTTCCAAGGTCTGCCTCTCCTCTTATGAAGTCGAAGTCGTCCAATTCCAAACCAGTACTACCTTTTGCTCCAGTTCTAATATGTAAGACGCGAAGTCTGTGGGCTTTCGGATTTTTTTACTACCTTGCCCTGATCTTGTTATGTACCGCTATCCGTAGAGATGCGGTTGCGCTCCTATCCACCTTTCTCACTGCATGACAAACAAAACTGGAGTACATACAACACAGACGTTGTTTCACGTTCTGGCTCGAGCCGTGTTCTTCTAGCGGTTGAAACGCTAGAATTGGTTATAAGTATCCGTTAAAACCGTAACCGAATAAATGAAGGACACATACACGGACGAACGACAACGGTCTCGCTCACCCAAGGAGCGGCGTAAATCGGGTTCTTCTTCTCCGAAGCAAGCCTCTTGCCAGAACGGTGGATCTGGGTCCGTCCCGACAACCCGGATGGCGTCGATCACTAAGAGCGTTGCGGGAAAGCCGCTGGCACGCCCGTACTCGCGGTTGCGGCTCGCCCTGGTAAGACACGGGGAGTCGTGCAACAACGTGCATGAGAGCACGGGCGACGCACTCACCTACTGGAAGTACCGCAGTCCCGATCCGGACCTTACGGAACGCGGTCACCAGCAGGCGGCGCTGTTGGCGAAGCACCTTGCGGACGAGAAAAAGTCACAATTTTGGGGCATGCACCCAATCAGCGAGCTCTGGGTGTCGCCCGTAAAACGCTATCCAGGAAAAAACACCCATCCCCATCCAATTTGTCATGCAAAACATGCATAAAATCCACTATTTCTATTTGCCATGCAAAAAATGGATGGGGATGGGTGTTTTTTCCTGGATAGACGCGCCATGCAGACGATCCGTCCTTTGTCACAAACGAAAGTGCGGAGGAACGGCGGCCCTTATTTCGGCGAGTGGAAAACGGAAATGGGGATAAAAAGCGCGATCAACGGAGGCAACGCCCGCTACGTCGAGGAGGCAAACAGACTCTCTTGCTTCGAAAGAAGTACTTATCTAAAACGAGCTGCTTGATTTCAGAATTGTTTCTCTGTAAGAACTGCTGGCTTGTTAGTCTTGATTTTGATTTTCCATGATTTTTTGATGCATGAGACAAGACCAAGATTTCCAAAAGCTCGTCAAAATAACGAAAACAACAGCCGCTTCGCCAGCTGAGTATGCGAAAATGGAACCCCTTTTGCAGCTTCGAGCCTTCGAGGAGGGCGGTCTGTTCCAGCGGGAAGTTATCGTCGACGACAAAACCGGGGAGTTTTCTTTGACCGAGCAGAAAGCCGTGGGTGGGCTGACGAAGTCGCAAATCCAAAGAGATTTTCCGGGCTATCAGATCCCGAAAGAAGTCACGGAGAAGGGCTGGTACGTGCCGCAGACCACGCCAACCGAGACACACGCCGAATCCCGACACCGGGCGTACGAATTCGCCAAAATGCTGAAAAAGCGCGCCGCGGGGCTGGCGGCACCGGGCGCGGTGAGGCAGTCAGATAACATTGTCCTCGTCGCGCATTTCGATTTCATCACCCAGCTGCTCGCGTCTTTGTTGCATTTTGAATCCAAGGACCCCACGGTGAAGGAGCATGGCGCGCTGATGCTGCACAACGGCGTTTTAGACGGAATCTGGTTTCGACACTTCAACACCGGCGTCACCGTGGTGGACATTCTGGGTGGCACGGGCCAAGCGGGATATCAAATGCAAACATGTCTGGGTCTGGAAGAATGCAACTTGTGATGCTGCGTTTGGATTCCAAAAAAATCTGTATTGCATGAGTAGCAAAGGGAATGCAATTTTTACTACGCTGAGAAGGCATTTTCCATGCGGAATAGGCATCAAGATGCTCTCACAAAATCTGTATTGCTAGGGTATCCATCACAGACATCATGGCTCGTGCAAAACGTGCATGACAGGCGTCATAATCTTCCAGACCCAGACATTTTTGCATGTGATACGGGAATCGTGCTTGCAAATTCCATTGACCATCTACGCGACCACCCGGAACTGGTATCCGGATTCTCCTTAGGAAATGTCGCCGGAGTCGATACTGCAGTTCAGTAGTTCCGTTGACCGCTTCTTGATACGTTGCGACATCACTGCAACGATCTTCTGCTCCTCTGCGTTCTTTTTTCTTGTTGTGGCTGTTCTTCTGACCTTTGCCTGGACCAAGTATCACGATAGATTTTTCGTTTGGTTCTTGACCAAGTATCACGATAGACACGCAAATTGAACCGGCAAGGAATTATGGAAGGTGGAACAAACAAAACCAGAGCCATCCTTTTCATGTTTGTGTGCTTGTTTTGACCGCACTAGGATTTTCGATTCGCCTGATGAAGTATAGAAACTATCAACATCGTGAATGTGAAACTCGAAATTGCTCTCAGCATCGTAGTCGGTAATGGAGACAACATCGCAATGTGAATGCCATGAGCGTCTGAATCGCCATCGAAGTTCGAGAAACAAGCCCACGGTGCTCGAGCCAACAATCGCAATCGTCCAGGTCCCATTGTTGATTTCTCGATATAAAACGTGGTCACGGGGATGGCAAATGACTTCTTGTCCTTAGATCAGCGCTTGACCGACGTCGTACCTTTTTTATGCGGATCGCACATAGAAAGATATTAGACGAAAACGCGTCAGGACATCAAACACAAACAAGATATTAAACCGGCATCAACCCTAATCAAACACAAACAACTCCAAGAACATATGATGAAGCCACACGCAAACAGTAATGATGTAGCTCTCCGTCCCGCGCGACCTCTGCTCACGTTTCACAGCCTTACGGAGTTGCTCTCCCCGGCTGCTTCACGGGAAGCGCTTCTGACGTTGTTTCAGTATGTGTTTCTGTTTCTCCGGGAGGCGGTGCCCTCGCAGCAGGAACGCTTTGGAAATGCACTCAGCAAAATTAGCACCACCAGGAAGACCTTGCGCTGGGGGACCGCTTTGGAAGCCATATCGAGCATAATCGACGACGTAAAGCGATTTTGGCGGGAACGCAAAGCGCAGCTTGAAACCGCCAAAAAGTTGTCGATGCACAACAATACGGTACGCAAAGTTGCGAGGAAAGACGTTGGGACGACCACGTCGGTAGTGCCTGCAGCTACGTCTCATCTCATCAAACATGCAGCTCCTGTTCCTACCACAAGCCCCTTTCCGCTCCTGCTTCGTGCCATCGCCACGGCAGGTGATTTGTTCTACATGAGCTTGGAGCACGTGATCTCGCTCTCCGAGCTACGCCTGTTCCCTTTTCTGCCAAAGGGGCAATTGTCAAGCGAAGTATTGTATGGATTGCAAATAAAGTATCGCACTCCTCGTAGCGATTCCACTTATGCAAGACAAATCTGGACTCTTAGGTAAATCTAAATGATGTAAATCAGCATTTACCATCAATTCAATTTTTTCTTCTGGGAAAATTTGCAACGATATCTGTGTGTACTACGTGCGATACTTTTACCATGCATATCTTGGAGGTGGTCGATGGTGTCTCGGAGTTGGGCGACATCACCTGCTCCGTGTGCACCGTTCTGGCAAACGCGGTAGAGGAAAAAAACGAGCGGAACTACTTGAAAGCCACGACTTCATCTACGGTACCGCAGCTGGACAGCCCAGCTAAAAATGTCGCCAGGCGATCTGGAAGTGGCACGGGAAGTATAAGCACCACGGACGATTTCGTGCCTGGTGACGAGCAACACGACCGTCCACCGCAAGTAGAAGCAGGCATCGACGGTAGTACTACCGACCTAGATCTGCCGTTCGAAAGTGCTACGTCTTCCGGAGGTGAGGAGGCGGATGAGGAGGGGTGGAAGCGAGGTGGAGGACGTGACAAAATCAGCAATGATGATCGTGATCCACCCTACAGCAAATACAACTACCCAGACCAGCACGATTTCGATTTCCAACTCGATAGACGCCTCGTCGCTTTTCATCGTCAGCAGCAAACAGCGACGATTTCGAAATTGATTCGACGATGGGAGGTGTTTTCCCATTTGCTCTTCCTCCCTGTTTGGGCGTTCTGGATGACGAGTGCGCTGCGGCCAAAGACCGGACCCGTGGTCAAAGCGAAGCTTGCTGGGCTGCTCGGAATTCTGGCGCAATTGTGTCAGTTCCGTATCATGAGGTTGAAGCAAATACGGGCGCAAGTCTTGTCCTGTTAAATAACCAGCAGGGCGACCATAGTACTTTGTCAACACTACGAGCAGATCGAGAACTCTATCTCTCCAAAAGCTGCTTCTGTGCTTCTTTATCTTCTACTTTTTCACTATTGCGGTCTACTGGCAACTCGCCCTGCTGCTCCTGCAACCCCAGAGATGAGGAAAGTTGTATGATGAAAATGAACAGAATATTACACCATACAGACACGCGGCAGAACGACAAAAGCGCGCTTGCTGTTAGTCCCTGTTCGACGTCGCCTTCGCTTTTTTTCGTGTTGTGATCTTTGTCAAGCGATTGGTGTCATCTTCGGTTTTGTTTGCCAGCACCATACAACCGCCCCTTGTAAAAGTAGTTCACTCGTCTGGCGTTTGTCCTCGTTTGTCGTTCTTTATTCCGAGATTCCTCGTGCTTGTTTATGTTTATTCATTCGTTCTACTCATACTTCTCCCTCGTCGTATTGCATCTAATTGCTATCGTGCAACTGTGATTCGTTCTTGTCTTCGTCCTCATTGAGTTTTCCCTTTAGTGAATAGCAACAAGAAAAACACTTTGCACCACCACCATCCATAACACAAAGAGAACTTCTCCCAAGCAGCAGGTGCAAGTAAGCATCTCTTTTAGCGTATCCACCCACCGTTGCCCTCTCCTTTTGCATTTCGCGCATATTTCGAAGTCAAAATCAAAAAGGTCTCGAAAGTTTCATCTCTACTCTCATAGCATCTCGAAGAACACTTCGCACCACAAAAAAACTAAACAAGCACCATGGATGTCTTGGGCGCACTTTTCTGCCAGGAGATCCCGGGGAACTTCTTCCTCGACCTGATCTTTGGACGCGACGTAGACTGCGGCCCGCACATTGCGCTGTTCAACCTGCCGCTGCCCTTGTTCGTTCCCCTCGTCGTCGCCGTCGGGTCCATCTACATCACGATGACGGTTCTGCTGTCGCCGGACGAAAGCAGCTACGATGCCGTGAACAATGCCCTGAACGCCGCAGTCGAGGAGCCCGCGCGGGATTTTCAGACCTCCCGCGATACGGCGTTCCCGGCCGGCACCGACCGCAATTTCGTGACCACCGTGGCGCCGGATGCGACGTACGGCATGAAAACTGCGGGCGTGTTTGAGGCGACCGGGGCGGGCGCCCGCGACGCGGCGACGCTCGAGGGTCGCCGCAACCTCGGCCTGGGCGAGAAGACCAGCGGGCGGGGCGTCGTCCCGGGTGTGGGGCTCGGCATGAACCTCAAAAACGTCCACCGCCCCATCGGCTTCGATCCCACGCGGTCCGTGGGTGTCGCTGCCTAAGACCACGGGGTAGCAGTTTGTTGATGAGTGCTGTTGTCAAATAAATCTTCATGGCAGTACAAGAATAAGCTAAGACTCGTGCAGCAGCAGCCAGGCAGAGAAACTTTTAGCATCTTCCGATTCTTGCTCCGTCTGTCTCCGTGATAATCTTCTTCTCCGTCCCAGCTGCTGGTGCCCTCAACAGGCGTATTTCTATTTTTGAAGTCTCTTTCTTATTCTTTCTATCTCCGTCGAGCCGTGAAAACATAAAAATTTATCTTATGCAAAGTATGCCGCCAGAAATTAAGATAAGACATTAAGCAGAATCTTCCAAAGGATTTTTTTCCATACTCTCTTTTTTTGCAAAAAAACACTTCAATTTTTACCCGCCGGTATTCCCCCTTCCCCCTGCGTCCACTCGATATTGTACAGCCATTCCCAATGAAAAATATTTGCATGCTTCCGCGTTGGCGCTCCAAGCATACTCAGAAGACACCGCGAGCATGCAAAGAGAGTCACCACGTGGGTGAAATTTTTTCATACCGAGATGTACTACTGCCCACATCTACAGACACAGTACCTATGAGACATCCTCATCCATGACCATGGTTTATTTTCCCACTACCGCTGCATTATGATTATGTTTATGTTCTCTTGTATTTGGGGTGAGAATGTAAAAGAAAAAATTCTGTCTGCTATCGTCGGCAACATCTTCGCGCAAGATGCTTGCACAAGTCGGCCTTGATGTTCGAGCTCACAAACTGTTAAATAATTCACTGTCGATCCCGATTCGGGACCGTTCAGGTTCACGTGCTGACCCGTTATTGAGAGATACAGGAACAACGAAAAGCAAAAATAGATACGACCTGCGCCGCTTTCCATAGCCATTCTTGTCGGTCTAAAAAAACTAAAACTAAATCTAAACAACTTCAAAATTACGACGATGGTACTTCTTCATCTGCAGGAATGCCGGCAAGAATCAATGTACGAAATTGCCAGCTGCGTCATGATCAGATCGGTATTTTTGACGAGGACCCACAAGAAAGAAAAAGAACGAGATCTCAATAACTTCCGAAATACGCAATCGGCAGCACAAATCGACTCCAGCAAGATCAAAATCTTTCGATCCCGAAAATGTGCACCAAAAATTTTTCAACTTCAGGACCTCATTGACCACACCCTTTTTCAACAACTCCAAATCAAAATGATCTTGAATCTTTACCCGGATCTCCGCCACACGATGACCCGCCCGATAGTTCATTCTTAACGCAAAAGTTTTTTTTCCATCAGCCTCATATTTTTGCCCGATGGACGAACCAAGTCATCCCATTTTCATTTTTTGGAATTGTATCGAAAGTGACATGTTTGGCTTTCCATGAATTCCTAACAGGTCGAGGATGTAACGAAAAGGAGTAGTACTAGATCGCGTGATAGGTATAACGAAGAGGTGCTTGTTAGTGCAGAAGCTTCATGTAGAAGCTTGGTGCAAGAAGCCAAGGTGAAAAAAAGGAGTAGAAGAGTGCCCTGTTGTACTGCAACAGTACAACAACGGCAATCGATGATAAGAATTTAACCCGAAATCATCTTCTAGAAGACTAAAATATTAGAGATAGTAGAAATGCTTTGTAAGAGTAAGAACCATTCTTCATCATAGCCATAGGACACACCACCTCTTCGAATTTTATTTTTAGTAGTACAACAAGAAACGTCAATTTCTCAACTAACAGTAGTACCAATTTTGTGGCGCACATTGGTAACGAAAACGATACTCATTAAGTATCGATAAAATAACACGAACGGCATCTTCTGACTCTGTGTCCTTCCAAGATATAGAAAATTAAGAGTAGCCGAAAAACCAGAACCACAAGCAGTATAAAAAAAACGCTCAGGCCCTTGTAACAGCGCCGTCGACAAATTGGAAATCTGGATGTTGATCGGAGTCTATTTATTCACGCATCTTACGAGTTTTATTGCAAGGGCATCACTGTAGTTTTTATTTCGCGCATTGTTCATTTTTTCCCCACAAAATTAAAAACTTAAACAAAGAAGTAGCACTACCTCCCGTTGTTCCCCCAAACCAAGCGTGTGAAAGTAGTCTGACCTTCTTTATCTATAGCAAGCAGAACCTCCCACAACTACTATACAGTTTCGTTCAAGAAAGCTCAGCTGGGCTTTCCACACTACAGAAACGCGGGTATCGGAAAGAAGCCGCCACCACACAAAGTCGAAGCTGAAAGAATAGTGAATACTACAGCGGACGGAGTAGACATTCACTCTGACAATTCTACACTGCCAGGAACCGGAACGAGGTAAAGAGTACCTAATTTTGTACTTTAGACGGCGCGGCTTTCGGACTACAACCTGGAGTGGCGTGTCTCCTGTCAAGGTCAAAAATTGTACGCTGATTTTCAATCTCAGAAAGTGAAAGAAATATTTTGATCTATCACCCAAGCCTACCCCAGAGATACTTTTTACGTAAAAGTAACTTATTTAGACATCAATACAATACGTAGTACCCATCACACAATTTGATGCGTTTATATTTTCTACTACCATAGTACGGCAACTTAGAAGTATTGTTGCATTGTCCCTGGTGGCGCGCAAAATCATAATCAACGGGCTTGCTCGTGCTGGGTATTTTTAGCCAACGCCCCAGCATGAGTGCCCGCCTAGGATAACTTTAAACTTTCTTCGAGAAGTAGATCCGGCACAAAGAATTCAACGTACGAAAAAATCGAAGACGAAATGCCACGCACCGGCACAACGAACGTAGGAACGATCTTAGCTGTAGTGCTTAAGGCTGTGGTTTTCCTTCACGAGGATGCCCAAAAGTCACCAATCTTCGTCCGCGGGGCCTTCTTTATGAACTGCAAAAGTATCGTACTCGTGATGCATGACCAATTTTCTCAGCATGAGAAATAAAATTTGTCATGCTGATTTACCTTACGAAAAATATTTGTAATGCAATACGAGTGAAGATGGATGACGATGGGGAGACCTACCCACTAAGCAAAGTGGTCGACCCGGAATTGTCTGCAACGGCCGAGGAGGCGCTGGAGGCCGCACAGCAAGCTCGCACTGACGTGCTTGCGAGCTACCGCGAGCGGGTCGACGTCATCCGGGCGCAACGCGCGCAGCGAGCTGAGGCCCCCGCCCCGCCGCTCGGGGGTCTCGCACAGTGAAGTCGAAAAAAGGAAAGAATTTGTTCTGAAATTGAAATCAAGAGGTTCTTCACGTTGAAGTTCCTCAAATAGACTCCTCATTTTGGGTAGAAGTCTCGCGTACTACGCGAACACTGTAAACTGTAAACTGTAAACCTGCATTTATACGAGTACGATACTTTTGCACAGGATATTCTTGGTCCACCAGCAATCTCCGCCGGACTCGGACGACATATCCTGAGTAAAAACGTCCCCACACCATAGTCAAGATGGGGAATCGGCTAGACAAATCCACAATTTTTGGCTGTTTTGCATGACAAATTTGGATTCGTAGTGTAGTGCTGTTTGAGCTAGCTCAGCAGCATCACAGATCTAGCATACCATGCTGATTGGAGCATGACAAATTGCAAAACACGACTGGCAAATGCTTCTCATGGGGCTCCGCATGAGAAACATTTTCAGCATGCAGATTTGCATTACAACTATGGGGTGGGGACGTTTTGAAATAGGATACGACACCGAGGGTGGTTTGTCCCCGACGAGTGAGGATGGGGGAGGGAGTTCGTCGATGCAGGATCAGGATGATCATGATCCTGACGACTTTGCTCAACAAGAAGAGCAGCGCTCAAACAGCGCCGCGCGCGCAGCAACAAATTCGAACGCCGGACCAAACCCTGAGGACGAGGAGGTGGACACAGCTGCACTCTTTAGAAGTAGTACCGATAGTGACCGCGGCCCGGAGGAAGTTGCTGCAGAGGGCCAGCAGCGGAACAAGAACGTGTTTAACAACTGCAAGCCGGGATGTTGGCATCTTGTGCAAGAAAGCGGTGCAAGCCCGGACACCACCTGGTCGTTTCCTCTGGTGCTCAGTTTGGAAAAAAAGGAGCAGCCAGAAGATTTTTCTAGTTTGAGCACACTGCTGCGAGGAGGACCAACTTCGCAATCTGCGCAGGAGTCCTCTGCCGATCTCGATCATGAGACAGCTGCCCAATTAGTCGATGTGCGCCGGGCGACCCGCTTTCCGGCGATGTTCGAGTGCAGCGAAGAGGAGGACAAGAACAAGTTTATGAACGTTTTCGTCATCCCGCGCGAATTGGGCCTCAAAACAGGAGATCATGATATTGACATAGAGGATCATATGGCTGCACGACCTAACGTCTTTCTGAGACTTGTTTACGAAAGGCAGAGCGGAAACAAACACGCAGTGCATAAAAGTCTTCCGAACTCGAATTATGCGGTAGAGGAGAACAAGTGTCAGCACTACATTCCGCTTGGTGCTGGTACTAGAATATCCGTATCCGATAGGACCAAAGAGTTTCCAAAGTCTTCCGGGCAGCAGGAGCCGGAACACCAACACGCACATAATTGGAAGAGGACGATTTCGGAAGCGTCTACAAGTGCCGGCACAGTAGTTGCCGGCTCTTCACCGCCTCCAGCAGTGGACCAGAACAAAGCCGCATCGGATTCGGATCGGGGCATGATCTTTGAGCAGGAGTATGTCGTTGTAAATGCGCACGGACGTCGACAGCATTTCCACCACCAAAACGTGAGCGGCGCACAGGATCTCAGGCAAAAGATGTTCACGCAGAAGCTGCTAGACGCCGGGTGGAGCTTTTACCCCACAGACTTTCAGTTTCACAAAGTGGACCAAGAAAAAAGCAACCCGACTAGTACAGGAGGGACGACCAGTACCATGTCCATGGGGGGCTCTACTGCTGGTGGTGCTACACCTTCGTCTACTTCTGCTGAAGGTGATGAACCCAGCTTGATTAATCTCTTGACCTTGGACAATACGAGCGCAACAGCGTGGGCGCAGGACGTTTTCAACCGGTGTCAGCGGCACGCAGACGGCGTCGAGGGAGCGGCGAAGGTCGCTTTTGAAACGGCGGCCGCGCAACAGGGCTTGGATCGCGAAGATGTGCTGCCGCCACAGCTGCATTCGGTCGGATTCACTTGTCATCCGGTTGTACAAGACAACGTTGCGAACATAAAGACGGTACTTATTAAGCTCGAGTTTTTATAAATTATTCGTTATCGTTTTCATTTCTTTCTAAATGCGTGTTGCAGCTTCCACCAGCACTTTTGCGGCTCAGTTGTCTATCGAAAATGCTCCTATGAGAAGGAGCAGCTGCTGCTGCACCTAGTTCTACAGTTTTTTTACATTATTTGGCTCTTAGATGAAAATCACTCTCGTCCTCCTTCGAATTCGATTATACTTCTACACATCAGACCGACCTGGCCTACTCTTTTGCTACGATGACGGTGAAATCGCGTGGTGGCTTGCTTGACTACCGGCTGAATCCCGAGGTGTATCGTTCGCCATCCGCTAACTCTTTGACCGCGCTTTCCCGGATCGTCTTTGCCAGCGTGTCGAAGAAACTTAGCCCCACCAACGTGCACCAATTTGCTTGGCGGGGCAGAACGTCGCACCAGGATGGTTCGTCTCAAGTAGTACCAGGTGACAGCGATAGCAATGAGCCTGCCCCTCTCATGGTCGCTAAGTTTCAAATCGCGATTCTGTTGCCGCAGAACCATGGCGTTTGGAAGAATGGTTCCGGCACGAAGGATAGGGGTAAAAATGCTCATCATGGCCCGGCGGTGGACTACAATCGACATACAGAAGGTGGTCGGCAGCACCAACAGCAAGCTGTAGCATCGAACATGCAAAATGGGGTTAATGCTGGTGATGACATCACTTCGTCTTCTTCCAACCAGCAGCCGGCGCTCCATTTCATGAATCGCAGCGCTGCACTTGACGAGCAGGACCAAGACGAGGCGGAAGATGAGGACGACAGAACGGCCGACGATGACTCTTCTGGTACGACGAGGAGCACAGGAAAAGCAGCCGTCGGAGAGCACCTGGCCATGGCCGCGTATGCGGACGACGACATATTGCAACTCCACATGGAAAGCATCCGCACGACCCTGAACGACGACGAAGACGCCGGGAAAAGGGACTTGGAACTGCGACTCCTCGTCTCCTTCTGCAGCTTGTTGTTTCTCGCGCTCTTGCTCTCCACTGCCCACCAGGACCTACGGCGCAAGATTTTTCAGAACAAGAAGCAAGCCAATTCAACATCGCGGAGACTGTCGTGGTGGGATTTGCTGCGGCGGCAGTTCCGAACCCAGAAGCAAGTGCTAAGCAGCTATGAGAAAAGTTGTGCTTCTTCTTCTACCCAGCACGCCGGTGGCATTTCCAAGAACGCAATGGAGCAGTACCTGCAGGAGAATCCGGATGCAAAGGACGAGTGGGTGGAGATCCAGGAGGGGTGGGCGAAGGTGCAGGATGCGAGGAAAAATAAAACGAAAAATAAATCGAGTTCTAGTTCCCCCAAGAAGACGAAGGAGCGGGACGACACTTGTGCAGAAGTTGTTTCCAAAGAAGTCGACGAAGATGACGACGGTGTCAGTGAGAATGAGGAAAGCGGAGGTAGTACAACGGCGCGTGAAGACGAAGAGGACGATGTGGACAAAATCGTGGCGCGCGCGATGAATGTCGGTTCCACGACTTCGACGTCCCGCGCCGTCCCCTTGCGCGAAGAGCCGGAGGTCGTCCAGGACACGGCGCTCCGTGCGATGGGCCTGGAACACTCGAAGGAAGAAGCGGACGCCTTTCGCCGGCGCAAAAATAATTCTATTTCTCCGGGAAAGCGGCGGTACTCCGACTCGACCTTTCAGTTGGGTCAAGAAAGCTTCCGCCAGGCGTCTCGGGAGAGTGACCAAAATTCGGACCTGGACTTTGTGCCGTTCGCGATTTACGATCCGCGCCGGGACAGTGTCGAGAGCGACGAAGCGCTCGAAGGCGCCGCGGCTCAAGCGGAACGATACCAACAGCTCAGCGACCCGCGCCGGGACAGTGTCGGAACCGATGGCAGCGACCGGAGTCTGCAACAACACTTGACGCAAAGCGACCGGAGCTGCGACAACAATGACCTCGCTAACAGGAGTGGGTCCTCCTCGTCGTGGACAAACATACACAACTCCGGCTCGACAAACACGACTCGGTTTCCAACTAGTTCCTGGGAAGGTGCTGGCCCACACACTACAAACAGCAGCATGAATGGAAGCAGCAGCAGTAACAACAACCAGCACCTGTCGCAGACGAATTCCAATGCCAGCACAGCGTGCACCCTCCCGGCACCAGGGGGACCTCGCGGGGGAACAACTACTACGACGCAGCCGGCCTTTACATCACCTTCTCGTGCTGCGAATTATAACATGAGCAGCAGTAAGCCGTCGTCAAAGATATTAAACAGCCGACACAACTTTTACCACGATCAACATGATCTCGCGGATGCGACGTACTTTCCGAAGTACGGCCGCGCGGAGATCGAAAGCAAGCGCAGCATCGTGTTTGTGAACTGCACCTCCCGGCTATGCAAGAAAAAAACTGTGTAAGTGTAACTTTGTAATGCAGATCATGCAACAGAGTTACACCTGTCATGCCAGACAACCACGCAGTCCTCTTTTCATGTATGTTTTCCCTTACAAGCCACGCATGACAGGTTTTCGCTGTCATGTAGAGCAAACTTGTGATGCAGATGCTGTCAGCCACGGAAAGTTACACTAACGCAGTTCTTTTCTTGGATACCGGTTGCAGCAGAAAGAGTCTTGGATGTACACGATCCACTTCAAGTCCCAAGGCTATAACGTAAGCTTAATGATTGACGAGTACGTGAAGCGCCAGGAGCTGTTCCTGACGGACGAGTACGGCTACGGCAGTGGCTTCTCTTCTTCTCACTATCCCGCGGCGCCCGCCGAGAGAGTTCTTGCCGATGATGGCCTCGAGGAGAGAAATAATTACAATTACGTGGACGAAAACGCGATGTTGTGCGGGCATAACGACGACCGGAAGCCCCACCAGGGCCAGCTCGTCCTCGTCAATTTCGAGGACGGAAGTCCTCTTAGACCCGCAGCAGATGAAGAAGATGGTCCGAGCCCTGCGAATAAAAGTGCTGGGAGCATCAGCCCAGTCTCGCCGGGGAGAGTGCCGCACGGACGAAGCGCCTTCTTTCCGGATGAAGTGATGGACCGCCATATTGGTGTAACAGTCCGTGCTACAAAAGAACAGGAAGTAGATATCAGCCCAGTTGCAGGAAATAAAATGATTTTGTCAAGAGATGACCACATCGAGGACCAGCAGCCGTCGCTCGACAACATGTTCGTGGAACAAGACGAAATAAAACGTATGTCGCACCTGTCGTCCAATGAGGTCGTCGCGTTGGTGCCCCCGATACGGAGCCAGTCGCATTCGGCGGACTCGACGGAGACCATTCCGCCGATCATTCCGACCCCGGGGCTTTACCGTCAGGTTCTTAGCGGAGGGGGCATTGTTGAACAAGAACAAAACGGACAGCGGTCTTTTTCCTCGTCGATCGACGAATACCCCGACGCCAGTAAAATCGCGAACGCCCCCGAAAGCCTGGAAAATCGCGACAAAATCCCAACCGGCGGAATCGTAGGAGCGAGTGTGATTGGCAGAACAACTGACGTAGTGACAGGAAAAAATCCAGATGTCCCTCCGATGAGCAGGAAAAATGATTCTACGACAGTTTTTCCCCTTCCAAACGATCCACTTGTTGTAGAAGATGAGCAAAACCACCAGACCTCCAACCAGCACAAAGGCGCCGATGTTATTTCCACTGGTGTTGTTGTACCACCAGTAGATGTAGAAGTTGCTACGAAAAAAAACACGACAAACGGTGGCCAGGCAGATGCAGATGAGGTGAACCTGGACGACCACCAGCAACTGCAGATAGCGGCTTCCCGCAAAGACGCCAAGCGTACTGTGACCTTCGAGGAGAATACCTCCGGGTCAAATGACAGTGGCGGTTTTCGAAATGTGTATGCAAGAAAAAAACTGTGTAAGTGTAAGTCTGTGATGCAGAACATGCAACAGAGTTAGACCTGTCATGCCAGACAATCATGAAGTCCTCTTTTCATGTTTAGGTTTCAGGGTTTAGGACAACCTTACAAGCCACGCATGACAGGTTTGCTCTGTCATGTAGAGGAAATTTGTGATGCTGTCAGCCGAAGGTAGTTACACTAACACACTTTTTTTCTTGGATAATGTGAAAAACAGCTCGAATGTGGACCACATTCTCCCCCGAACCCTGTCGCTGCGCAGTAAGGAAAAGTCGAAATCTATTCTGAGTAAAAACATCCCCACCCCAGAGTTGTGATGCAAATCTGCATGCCAAAAAATGTCTCATACGAAGCCACATGAGGAGCTTTTTCTAGTCGTGTTTTGGGATTTGTGATGCTAGAAATAGCATGGTGTGCTAGATCTGTGATGTGCTAAAGTAGCCAAACAGGATTACACTACGAGGACAAACTTGTCATGCGAAACAACCAAAGTTGGCTGATCTGTCTAGCAGATTTTCCATCTTGACTCTGGTATGGGGACGTTTTTACTCAGGATAAAGTCTCTCACCCCAGTGTACGAGCGCATGCTCCGAGCCGTCCGGTGTCAGACCAAGGTTGGCAACCAACCGGAAAAAGACGTCGTGGTTCCGGATCACATCCAAAGGGTCTTTCATAAGGTGCACGATCACATCCAGAACGGGACCGTCTGCGTGGACTTGCTGGAAACCATCCTGTACCGGTTTGTAACCATCCAAACTGCCAATGAGTTCGACGACAGGGAGGCGGATATGGAACAAGAGGCAATGGAGTCGACGTATCACATCTTTTGCTTGATATCTCTTTGTTTCAGTCGATTTTTTGTTCTTGCCGCGGTCGACGACAAAAAAAACCAACAAATTGAAATTAATTTTATGAATGCTCCCTTCCGCTTCATCCGGTTTTTCTTTTTTATCAATTCTTCTTCCCGTTTGCCATGTAGTTCGTTGCGTGTAGCGGCCTATTCATATTCTGACTTATCACAGTATCAAAAACAGTGTTGCATGATGATCTTGTTTCTCCCCGTAGTAACTGCCCCGAATGAAAACAAAACTAAAACAGGTTCTCGATGTGGCTGGCAATGCAGAATCTGAATATGGCCCTCGGACAGGCCAAGGAGATGGATCGGAAGAAGTTAAACAATTGGGAAGAAGACAACAAAATGTCTCGCAACATGCGGGAGCGAAATTTCCAAAGGAGACTGCAATCTATCGAGCAAAAGAAGCGGCAGCGGGCTTTACGCGGCGGGGGAAACGGGTGGCGACATCGGACCACGTCCGAGGACGCCGGGCCCGTCGAACAGGAGGCTGTAACTCGAGAGATGTCGAGAGAAAGATCAAGATGAACTCTAACTACTACCGATATTAGGGGTTTCCGTTTCAGTTTCTTGTTCCTCAGATGTTCTTATTTAGCTCGTTTGATATTTCTTGCCAGCGACAGGAGGGCCTTCGCCTTCCCCCACCAAGCGAACTCTTAACCCTGCGGTCTACTCGGAGACGAGCCCGATCACTTTCTACTTGTTCGAAGTGTTGTATTTGGTGTATTGATGTGTAGGCGACATAGACAACAAGTATACAGCTGACTCTATTTTTAGGCTATCCTGTGACCGTTTCGCGCGTCACCAGTACCAGAGACGTTGCTCCATCCCTCGTTCGTAGTTTCTGGGATGTTGCAAGAAGTTCAAGTTGTACTATATTCGAAATCGAATGTAATGTTGATAGGATCATGAAGGGCCGACCACGTTGCCGTTTCTGCATACGATGGTTTTTGGCCCAATCTACTTAGACACACTGATGCTTCTCCAGGGGTAGTTGTATTGCCTAGGAACCACGCCACCTTCTGCCTTTTTCGTAAGCTGCAGACCAACAGTGGGCGGCAATGGTAATGGAGGCTTTGGCGCCAAAGCCAAGATGATGCTGTTCTTATTCACACATAATGCAAATGATTTAGACTTTTACTTTTGGGATTACGATGGCTTTTCGTTTTCCATGATCGAGCGAAGCCAACAGCAGCATTCGCTAAGTAACTTGGAAGAACCATGTGAAGGCAATGCCACAAATGACAACTACTTACAAGTAGAGACATAAACAAATAAAGATAGAACAGTGAAATAGAACTGCACTTGCAAGATGCGGAGGGGGTAGGTACATAACCACTATTTCACGTTCTTACGGCGGCAGGGTGGTGCTAGGCGTTTCGTGGAACAGAACATCTACACCACCAGTCACGCTCAACTATACAAGTACATCGAATCTTCAGGAAACCTGGTGTAAATGTAAAAAAAGATGACGCACCGTTGCCTATCGGTATCGAGTGGAACAAATAACGCGACACTTTCTTCAAGATTAGGCTGTTGAAAAGCTCAGATCAAAACGAAAACTGGTTGTGTGCATCTGCATCCGTTTGTTTTTTGAACTGCATGATTTCCGACTTCTTGCGCCGGAAGGTCTGCCAACACACCAACTAGGGCCCTTGCTAATCCCAGGGACAGCCTCGAAGTTGTGGTCGCACGACGTAGAAAAAAGGGGGACGCACAACATGCTCGAACAAGCACAATAAATGGTTTCTCGCAACTTCCAGTGGCGATCTTGATCAAATATTTGTAGAGACGCAGTACAGAACTAGACCCACTTCTGTGGTGGTATCCACAATTGACGATGAGCACTTGTCTTGAACTTGATCGGGTGGAATCGCTGTAAAAAATTTTCGACCTCCAATGTAATCATGTCATGTCTTCAAACAGCTACGAAGCCTTTCGTAGGATCGGGAAAACGTCGCGACTTGATTCTTCACGATGTTTTTCGCGCCATGCGGTGTTGAAATTAGATCGATGTGTTCTCTTCTTTCAAATGTCGATGTTGTGCAGCAGGTGCGTGTCATGGCTTGGGTAGTCTTCATTACATTTACTGCCGGTAGTCCTGCTCTATTGTTTTCGACATCGACAACATATTGTGTTACAACTTAGTACAAATGCAATGTCGGTGTGAATGTTGCGCCGTTGTTATTTACTGTTTCGTTCTCGTACCCACTTCCAGTGTCGCTCCGCAGCAGAAAGTGGAAGTGTAATCATGATTTCGGTCTTGTGTGCAAATTTATGAACCTGTGCTCTCTACGAAAAACTAAAACAGAAACACGCATCGTGTCATAATCATCCGCGGTGCACTGAGAAGAGTCTCGATGGCGAATACGGACACAACTCGGTCACTTCTCCGTTGCTTGGCTGAAGATTCTTGTTTTTTCTCGGAATTTCGTCCGTGCCGCCGATTTTTTTTGTCTGTTTCGCCTGATTCTGACTTTTTTCAGCGCACGAGATTGTGCCCTACTGTGTGACGTTGTAGACGCTCGGTTGTTGTAGAGTAGAAGGCATGCCATCGCTTCTGCTTTTTTATGTGTCTTGCATTTGTGCTTTATGTGTATGTTTTATCATTACCTGCCTCTCGATCTAAACGTGAACCGTGCCTTCTACATTTTGTTCTCCCGGAACTACAATTACATCTTCTTATCTTTGAAGTTTGTTTTCAGTAGTTGTGTCGCCTTCACCCTAGTAAGGCCGACGTGATGTAGTAACAAGAACGGATGAAGTGAAAAAGAGCTATCTCACCAGCAAGCATGGCCGAGGTTGGGCGACTGAGCCGAAAGGACGGCACCTTGTGGCGCAAGGAGATTCACCGACGGTATGGCGTAGCGGATTCAGTGAACGCGGATGCATCGGGTACGAACAGGAACACGATGAAAAACTACTAAAATCATAGGTAGCTGCTGTTGTCATGGCTGCACATTCATACGTATGTGATTTTGCCTTTTTATCTTCTCATCCGCCAAATAACAGAGGAGCGGCTTTTTTTTTACAACTTCTGCTACGCACCACTACGCGGCCCATTAGCACGCGAGAAAATCTACGACCTCTGTCCCAGGTTAAAACAGGAGACCTAAAGTTCGGGTGTGAATTTCTTCGCCCGGCTTCTGCTCCCTTCCTTGAGTTGCTGCGGTGTTGAAGTTCTCACTCATGCTCGACTGTGTAGGAGGGTTGATGTTGCCTCACCCCTCTAAGGTCTCAGGAGTCACGCTGCCACACTGTCTCCAAACCCACGCCGACAATACCAAAGAGCATTTTTGACAAGAATTAAAAAGCAACAAAGAAGCATACTGCAGGGGGAAGGGGAAAGGCTTGCTGCTACGTAAAAAGCGCAGCCGTGCATCTCAGAGGGCTTGCTTGGGGGAAGTTTCTGAATATTCTCATCATGCGTTTACTTTTTCGAGCCGGACTCGAAGTGAAAATACAAGTCAGCAACTACCCCCTTCTCTGCCTTCCTCCTGTAGCAATACTTCCAAAAAGAGCCCAGTAGGACCATCAACATCGCGCTGCGCCCAGTCATGCATGTCATGGCAAAACAGGATCCCAAAAGTTGCTTCTTCAAAACTCACGCAATTGTGATTCGAGATTTCCCGACCTTTAGGCTTAGTTTTTTAGGCGTGAGGGGCGGGGCAGTGGGCCACTCGGATCAGGTACAGAATCACCACCGAAAAAAGGAAGAGCAATGCAGCGCCTGTGCTGTTGCATCACTACAGTTGTCGACTCTCTTGCACAGCGAGATTGAAGGCAACTCGGTGGTGTGACTCGCCGCCTGCTGACCATGTGAACAACTGTAGCATGTCGCGACGAGAAGGGACAAGCAGTCTGGAGCCGAAAGGCGAAGGGGTCAGATGGCACTTACGAACCACGAATACGATGCCGCGATAGAACAAGGACGACGAGCCTGGATCACCTCTTTTTCCGATCTGAAGTTGTCTATGTGATATTTCGCTGCGTTATTTTTGTGATTTGTATTTAAAAAAAAAAAAAAAAAACCTCTGTCCCAGGTTACGAGCAAAAGAAGAAGGTCCAGGATGTCAGCACGGCCTCCCTGGACAAGTTTCTGCTATGCACTGCAAAAGTATCGTACTCGTATAAATGCATCACAAATTTCCTCAGCATGAGAAATAAAATTTGTAATGCGGATTTACTAGCTTAAGAAGATTTGTAATGCATGACTGCAATACGAGTGCGATACTTTTGCACAGGATATCTGCACGCGAGCAGCGACTTCGGCTTTCACTCGGAGGAGGTGCTCCAGGCCGTGCGGCAGGCTGCCGGGGACGACATCGCAACGTGGCGCGGCTTTGCCGTCCAGGCGGCCCGCATGGCCCCGATCTTCTTCGAGGAGGCTGTGGAGGCCGCGACCGTCCAGCTCGAAGCGGCGTGCATCATCCGGGAGCGAGAACCGAAGAAGATTCCCTTGGCCTGTTTCCGAAAGGGGCTCACGGATTTGTTGGAATTTTTGAAGGGGGAAAGAGAGGTATAAAAAGGAAATAAAGAAAGTTTTAGAAACCGATTGATGAGGACTAATTGGAATTTATCCCGGTGATCTTTTGTTGGGGGCACCAAGGACACAGCCATTGTTGTTTCTACAGACAGCGGTGGAGCAAGCGTTTTGTTTTTAGTAAAAAGCAAAGTGTTGCCATGTTGACAGCGCTTTTGTTCTTCTATCTTCAAGAAATCCAAATCCAGCTTCTTTGTTTTTCACTTTTCGTTTTCACCTCCTTCACACGATCCGATACTCTAGATTATCCGTCCCGTCCGGCTGACTTCCCCGAAAGGAGGCCGCGACCAGGAGGATTCGTTCATGCTGACGTCCACCTCGATTTTCTCCGACAAGGACCTCACCCGGAGCATGTACAACGAGCCCCCCTTCGAGCAGCAGCGCGCGGACAGGCTGCCGCCGCTCGGGGGCGGAGATTGTTCGTCTCTATCCAAAAAAACACCCATCCCCATCCAATATGTCATGCAAAACATGCATAATTTCCAATGTTTGCCAGGCAAAAAATGGATGGGGATGGGTGTTTTTTCCTGGATGATCTCTTCAGGATTTTCACAAGCTGTCGCGGTCGAAAAAAGGCGGGAAGCTGCAGGAACCAGAAACGTCGGTCTCGCTATCCACCGGGTTTGAGGGCTTCTCCATAAACGAGCGGGACAGCCTCTCGTGTGGCAACAAGCAGAAGGCGGTGACGACGTTTTACCACGCACCGCTGATGAAGAGCAAGAAGTACCGCACGGAAACTCAGCAAACACCCGGGTTGTCCCTGGTATATCCAAGAAAAAAACTGTGTTAGTGTAACTTTGTCTTGCAGATGTTGCAATACAGTTACACTTGTCATGCCGGATGTGCATCAGAGGCTATTTTAGTACGTGTTTTAGCATACTAGCTACGCATGACAAGTTTTCTGTCATGCAAAACAAATCTGTGATGCTGTTCCTGCAAAAAAGTTACACTTACACAGTTTTTTTCTTGCATATGGTCAACGGCGTGTTGACTAGATCCATCCAGGTGCAGGACCAGAGTCACGTCGTTTCCATCATCCCAGCAGGCGTATGCACTGCAAAAGTATCGTACTCGTACAAATGCAAGTCTTGCATTACAAATCTTATTTCCAAGGCAAATCTGCATTACAAATTTTATTTATCATGCTGAGGAAATTTGTAATGCATTTATACGAATACGATACTTTTGCACAGGATAAGGCGCGCACGACAGCAAACCTAAACCGGCGGTTGACGCAGCGAAAAATAAGAAGAAGCAGCGAGGTGAACAAGCGCGAACAGTGGCATCAGCCTCGAACATCAAAAACGATTTTTCTGCAGGTCAAGAACTACAACTACCAAAGTCAAGTTCCTTATCCTTGTCCACAGAGCAGGGCAAAAAAGAACTCCCCTCGCGAAACCCGGGCGGTCCGCCGGGGGTCCGGGTGGTTAAGAAAACGCGCGACTTGAACCGCATCGGCAGTGCGCGGGACTATCTGGAAGAGGCACTGCAGGACACCAGCTCTGGGCAGCTCTTCCACGTCATCAACAGCAAGCCTGCAGCAAAGAGCGAAAATCACTTTTCGCACAACAAAAGCCAAAACCTGGCCACCACATCTTCTAACTCGCAGAGGCTGCACCAAGCCCGGCCGATAACAAGTGCAAAAGCCAAAAGAGAAGATAATGATAAAGCTAAAGTAGCAGGCGTGCCTGGTGTCCACAACTTAGGATCATGTGCCGGCACGACTGCGGGAGCTACAGCAGCCAACCCCTTCGAAGAACCTAGGCCTGACGACGACGGCACTGTGTACCCTGCGGCGTCTACCAGTTTTTTTTCTAAGGACAACCATCATGACCAGAGCAAGAAGGTCCAGGTCGCGCAGACCGTCGCGCAAACCGCGGTGTCGAACTTGATTGCTGCCTTGCAGATCGGGCTGCCGCCGCCTCCCGTCGCAGTGGACGACTCTGACGAAGGCGGATTCTCCGATGTGTCATCTATCGCCCCGGAAGATGAGGAGGAGGGCAGCCACAACGTTGGAACAAATAGTTCTGTGAACAAAAAGGTGCACCACGACCAGAAACCCCCGGCTGTAGTAAGCCAGGACGATTTTGTCGACACGGAATTGGCCCGCCGCCCGAGCTTGATTTGCGCCAGTTTGGAGGCGCTCGCGAACAGAATCCGGTCTGGCGAAGACGTGAAAAAGGGCAGTAAGTCATCCAAAGATGTTGACACTGATGATTCTGACGAAACAGAAAAGTCTGAAGACGGCAAAGAGGAACAGGATAGCAGCTTTCCCGCGATGGATTTCCGGCGCCCGTCCCTCGTGTGCGCCAGCCTCGAAGCGTTAGCGAATCGAATCAGAAACGGCGAAGAGATTTCGAAGAACGCCCGCGATGGTGGAAATGAGGGTGAGGGGAAGGAAAATCACTCCGGGTCGGAGCAAGATGAAATAATAAAACCGCAGGACGGGGACGCGAGTGGTTTGAACCTGGATTTCCGACGACCCTCGCTGGTCTGCGCAAGCCTGGAAGCGTTGGCGAACCGCATTCGCAGCGGAGAACAGGTTGCTGGCGAGGTTGTGGAAGACGAGGAAGATGACGATGCAGGCTCGTCACCGTCGAAGGAAAGAAGCTCCTCGAAACAGGTGGAGTACTTGTACTTTTAGAAGTAAGCAATTTGCAAACGTAACATGTGAAAATGTATTGCCTGGAGCTTATGTGAGACGGTGGAACTGGGATTGAAGAAAGTATAGAACGATGCAGTGATTTTTTGTGGTCTTGATCTTGGCTGACAGACTGTTCAGCGTATCTTTTTTTTTGGACGAAACTACACATTATTACAGTCGCATTTAGTCTCCGCGGGCATTGAGGCACTGGCGAATCAGATTCGAAGAGGCAACGAGGAAAAGGAAAAGATCGACGATGCATTCAGTTTTCGTCGGCCCAGCGTCGTTTGTGCCAGTCTCGAAGAACTCGCCAACAGAATCCGCTGCGGCACAACCGAACGAGCTCCACCAGCACCGGACAATGATGATGAAGACGAAGACAGTGAGAAGAGCGAAAGGCAGCCTCCACCTGCAGAGGAAACGATAGCAGCACCTCCCGACCCCGAGCCATCGCTTTATGAACTGCAAAAGTATCGTACTCATATAAATGCATTACAAATTTCCTCAGCATGAGAAATAAAATTTGTAATGCAGATTTGCCTTGGGGGCAAGATTTGTAATGCAGGACTTGCATTTATACGAGTGCGATACTTTTGCACAGGATACGCTTTCTACTTCGACAAAAACGAGCAACAAACCGGAAGACCTCGTATGTAGTGAGGTCACCGAACGGTTCTAGCCGGGCAGTTTTCTTGCCATGTCCCGGCAAAAACGACCGGCAGTTTTCAAGCCTACAGAGAGTTTTTTTGCATGAAAAAGCTCCCAGCGTGCAAGCCTGTTTGGCTTTGTTGGCAACGAATCGCCTGCGGAAACTATCGGTCGCCGCTTGATAAAACGACGCAGGGGCGCCGGCAAAAGGGGCGCCCTTCTGAGGCGCCCACCGCCTTGGTTTCTGGCGATTTGGGGCTCCCAAAAGGGCTCTGAAAAAAACGCGCCCAAAAGCAGAACAGCGAAACCGCATGGCACGGCCGCGATCTCGGAGCATTTTGGGCGGCCGCGAAAGCGGTGGCCTTTTCGCCGGTTTCAGAGCCTGGGAAGCTTCGCAAAAAGCGCCGGCGCGAAAAATAGAAACGCAAAAAAGAAAAAGCGCGCGAGACGCGCGAAGCCAATCCGGATGCTATGGGCCCGATTTTCCTTCGGTTTTTGGGCGCCCCCCGTGGCGCCCGGATCGGCCCCATAGCGTCGGGGCTGGCTTCCGGACAGGAATTTGGGGAATTTGCCAAAAATCTGCCATGTTATTTTCAACCGGCCGCCATGCCGTGCGGCATAACCTTACGCGGGCCCAGAAAAAGCAAAGCCGTGACAAGGGCAACGCCAACGGTCGGCAAGAAAACGCCACCGACCTCACTACCTCCGCCCCGGCGGTTATATTTGGTAATTCCACTTTCTACTTCGACAAAAACGACCAACAAACCGGAAGAAGACCTCGTAATTCCACCTCAGGTCAGCACGACCGCCGACGTGATTGTGTCCCAGATATATGATGCTGCTCTTCGCCGGGTTTTCTCTGAAGATGCCCAGCTGGCCGCAGTAACTAGAAATCGCAAACCGAGCAACGCAAACACGACATCAAATAGCGCAGAAGATGCAAATACTCATCCACTCGTTGCAGTTGCAACTACCACTGCCGAAGATGATAAAGTGGAACGACAAGAACCAGATGCAGAGGAGCAGCTTTCGCCGGAGGACCTCGAGACCCTCGCGGAGCTGGAGCGCATTCATTCGCAGGAAGTCCGGGAGCGGTCCGCCAGCGGCGAGATCCAGGCCGCGGGGGGCTTTGTCGGCGGCACGCCCCTGCGGCAGTATCAAATGTAAAAATGCCTGGGTCTGGAAGATTGCATGTTTGTCATGCTTGTCTGGCATGACTCTTAAATCTGTCATGCACGTTGCCCAAGAGCCGCACGCGCACTTTTCTGTCACGCGGAGACGCAGTTTGTCATGCAGAATAGGCAACACCTACAAGCTCAGAAATTTGTCATGCTGAGCCAGCACTTGTGGCCCCCTCATACTACGCCACTCAGCATCACAAGTTTCCAGACCCAGACACTTTTGCAGTTCATAGGCAGCGTTCGAAGGCGAAAGACCGGTCAGCTTTGAACAGCCGGGCGAACATATCGCAAGAAAAAACTGTTTCACTGTAAACTTCTCATGCAGAAAATGTATCTCGCATAGTGTTTGTCTTGTTACACATGCAAGTGCAAGATGGAACCTTGCATGGCAAATTTTCTCTGTCGTGTAGAACAAACTTGTGATGCAATACTTGCAAAATCCATACAGTGAAGCAGTTTTTTCGTGGGATAGAACAGCAAGGAGTCCACGCACTCCTCCATGATGCTCCACCGGGTTTCCTCGAAAAACAGAAAACCGACCCTAGAGATGACGACTGAAGAAGTAGGAGCCCCCGGTGAGCAGCAAAATGTGGTTTTCCACGTGGACGAAGAACAAATCAATGCTGCAGCGGGAACGAGAACGAACGTGCAGATGGCGTCGTCCTCCTCGTCCTCTTCTTCAAATTGCGGTGGACGCAAGGATGAACAAATAGACGGAGCCACGATCGGCGCACCAGCTGCGGGCAGCAGCTCCGGTGAGGAAGGTGAGATTGACGATTTAGCAAGAACGATGGCGCCGCAAACAGAACTAGATGAAGATGCTGACGCAGCTATAGAGGACCCTGGTGCTCCTGCTGTAGCTGTTTACGGTGCTGGAATTAAACTACCAACATCCCAGCAAAGCAACAGTGTCAGTGAGATGAACCACCAGCTCGAACTACAAGACGACTACGACGACCTGGAACCTTCTGCGTCTCTGGAGGAGATGCGAGACCAAATCCGCACGTCAAAAATGCGCATGGCGAGACGCTCAAAGTCGAAAGAGCACACGACGTCTGCGCAGCGGACGGGAAACAGTACCAGCCACAGTGTCGACGAAGAAGAAGATGAGAGAACTAATGGCGAAATGGAAAATGGCCCATCAAACCAGGATGTTTTCCCGGAGGAGATGCAAAACCTGTCACGGCAGAGATCTCTGAAAGAACAAGAGGAGGAACTGGTCGAGGGCATGATGTCCGGCTGGACGAGCAATGGTACGAGCCGGAACCGCGAGCAGCGGCGGTCCAAGGGGAAAGAGCACTGCGCCCACGCGGCGATGCTGTCGAAGGAGCAGGCGGAACATAGCGCGGAGTTGGAGCATTCGTTAGAAGAAATGCGCGAAAATCTGGACAACGCCCGGAGGCAGAAGCGCTCGAAATCCAAGGAGCATTGCGTCGACGCCCAAAGGCTGAGCAAGGATTTAAGCAGCAAGGATTCTACGATGAATCGCGAATTGGAACAGTTGAGGCGCGAAGTGTCGTCAAGTATTGTCGATTTGTTTACGGGCCGTACCTCCACTTGTGTTAGTTGCAAATTGCATTTTTGCTTGTGCCTCTTGCACTGTGCCGACACGGACACAAACTCAAAGCTATGCGAATGAAATTTTCCGAACGACAGGTCGCGAAAACAGCCGCGCCGAGCAAGGATCCAACGGGAAACTGCAAACAAGGAAGAATAAAATCATTTGCAAACAGCAGAACCGCGTTTTGCACCCGAAGCTACCGGATCAGGAGATTCCGCAATCCGCTCCGACCGTGAGCTCCTTCATCGCCGAGCACAACAAAACCGAAGATGACAAGTGGTGCGAAAACGTGTTGCAAGTAGACCACACAGGACAACTACCGGATGACAGCGCGACCGGAGAGGAGGATGCCGAGATCGCTGATCGGTACTCATGATGTACTTCTAAATGTACATTTTGTCTAGTGCTGGGAGATGCACGAAAGGAGATCCGGAATAGGGGAAGGGCCCGTGGTGCCGTTGGTCGGGGAGGTGCCACAACATGAATGAAATAACTGCACTCACTACAAGAACCAAATCAATTTGCATTCAACAGGTACTGCATGTCCATGTCTATGGACGCAAAGGAGTGGAAAAAGCGGGACGCAGAGATGAAGCGAAATCCGGTGGAAGAGTGGAAACTGAAGCAGAAACTGAACCTCGAGTTGGACCCGAAGCAACTTGGCAGGAATGTGGAGGACACGGTGTGTGACTTCAAGAAAAAGAAACAGAACAAAACAGGAAAACTCATGTCCATGTCGAAAAATAACGGCTTAAAGGCGAAGAAAAGGCACGAGCAGGAGCATCAGTCTTTACCTCCCCGTGCAGCTGCGCAAACGAGTACCACCGGGAAAATCACCACGCTGCTCGAAACATCTACTTCGGACATTTTCAGCACTACATCTCCGGTCGTTAGCAAGGGCAGCAAAAATAAATCGTCCAAGACCAAATCCGCGTACTTGGCCTCGACCGGGGTGGACACTAGTGCTGTGGGAAACAAGAAGAAAAAGAAAAAAACTAAAATGCTGGACTCCATGCGGGACCGGGCCTCGGATTTGAACACAAGTTTCACATTTTCCGAGGCAGAAAGGTCCACAGACTGGGACGAGAAGAAGGAGCTCGGGGCATCCAAGAAAAAAACTTTGCTAGTGTAAATTTGTGATGCGGAACATACAAGATGATTGCGTCTGTCATGCTGGGCATGCATTGTAGGGTCCACTAAAGGGCGTTTTCCCGTACTATCTGCGCATGACAGGTTTTTGCTGTCATGCCAGACAAATTTGTAGTGCTGTTCCTCCAAAAAAGTTACACCTACAATGTTTTTTTCTTGGATACGGGGACAGCGTTGTGTACTCCTACCAGCTGGCGGCACAGATGTTCTACTTGCTGGCGCAGGTGGATGCTACGGTCGACGATTTGACAAGAAAACGGTACTGGCGACAGGCAATCTACTGGGCGAACAGGAGTAACGATAACGAATTGCTGGTAGAGAAAAACTTAAACTTATTGTTGCACGTCCTCCCATTTAGTGCCATTTCGCTCGGAAAATGCGGCTCATGCATCGTGGTCTTTTTCTAATTCTACATGCAGCTTCTGAAAGTTTCTCTCCCTCGCTCCATAGTTCATTTTTGTATAACCCGCCCTAACAAAAACAACCAGGTGCAAATCCGCGAGCACGAGGTGGAAGACAGCCTTTACTTCTTCGACTCCACTCACACCCTCCACTCCCCTTCTCACCGCGCGCTGTCGCCGAAGGAACGCAGAAAACACATGGACAAGAGCTTGTTGCACGGAAAGAATTTTCCGAAAATCACAGAGGTGGACATGCGACCAATCAGCTTCTCGCCGCCCAGCAAAGACAAGAAGAAGATAGTATCCTGTGCAAAAGTATCGTACTCGTAGTCATTGCATTTACGCATTACAAATCTCTTTCTCAAGGTAAATCAGCATTGCAAATTTAATTTGTAATGCTGAGCCAATTTGTATTGCGATTTGTACTGGTGCGATACCTTTGCAGTGCATAGATAGATTCGAAGGACAAAACGATGAGCCGCTCGTCCTCTTCCCCCACATCCTCGAAGGAAAGGAACGGGCCGCGGAACGCCAAAAAGCGGATGACTTTGCATCACGCAGCTTTCACTGGAAGTAGTTCTGGACAGCAACAACACCACGGTTCGATCGTGAACGCTTCGGGTGCGAGCTTCAACACGACTGCTAACGGAGGTGGGGAGGAGGGTAAAGAGCGCGCTGGGAGCAAGACCAAGGAGCCGCACAGATCGTTTGAACGGCGGAAAAACCTGATGCGGTTGGAAGAAGACGAAAGACATTTACAAGATTGTTTCCGAAGAATCAGGGCAGAGAAAACCAACTTGAAGTGGTTTCTGCACACGTATAATTATCGGGATTGTTTTTGCTAGCTGACGCTGACTTTTGGTTTTTGTTTCATTCTTGTCCAGTGGTTCGTCACGTAGAAGTGATGCGCTTATTTTGTTTTTGGTTGAATAATCTAATCTTCGAAGAACGCTTACTAGTGAACTTGCTGTACACTGTAGCTGGAAATTTAAATTACACGCTGCATTCGCATCGCAAAGCCGAGGCCGAAAACAAAAGAAGTACTTGATTTCTACAAAAACTGCAGGTACCACGATTACCTTTACGTGGACTCGAAGTATCACAGTGGTTATGCCGTGAAGATGCGAAAGCTCAAGGATACGCTCGAGCAAGAACAGCAGGCTGCGCTAAGTGCCACGGCAAACAGCGAAAGCCGGCTTCACCTGTTCAACAGCCACGGCACAGAGTTCGACCCACACAGTCCGCAGATGCAGCGCGAAAACTCGGATACGCGAAGCAAGTCCGAGGTCGACGGGAGCCAGGACGCTGTGTTCTCCGCTCGGGTAAGGAACAAGGTCCAGGCCGTGCGTGCCACGCAGCAGGCTGCCCGACTGACCACTCGGAAATCTACACGGTATAAGCAAAAGCATGATTTTCATTTTTACATAGAAAAGCTCATGAAAAAAAAAGAACACTGTTCCTTCGCGATGAAATTGAAAATGCGGCACGGCATTTTGACTCAGTTAAGTGCCTGTCATGGCACGCATGTTATGCTCCCCTTTTAGTTCCAGGAAATCAACGCAAAATCCTCAGGTCCGGCACAGGGATGCTGGCGGCGTTGTCCTCGACATCGACTAGCAGCGCGAACCGACCAGCCTCACACGTCGACCCCACCGAGTCGCAAGCTTCCGGAGCAGCATCGCAGTCACTTTCGAAAGAAAACAACTACACAAATAACTCCCTTGCTTCTCCAGTAATCCGAATCGTCCCGCCTGATAGCAACGACAACATGATAACGTCCTCGTCCCCCAACACTCCTATAGTCCCGGTGGGGGTTCCGAGTATCAGTTTCGGATCTTCAGCCGCACATTTGTCGAACTCTCCCGGGAAGAAAAAGCACGCCGCCAATGCTGTTTTCAAAGAGTTTCACGAGGCGGCAGCTTTGTCCCGTCGGAAATCTAGCGTCGAGGGCCTGATGGGGGTGGGAAGCGCTGCGATGGGCGCCGTGGCGGGGGCGATGAAGAGGCGCCAGTCTCTGCCCATTGCCGAGGAGAGCGAAATTCCGATTATGAAGAGGCGGAACAGCATCGAACAAGTGATGCAGGAAATGGATGAGAAAGAGAAGCAGAAGGAGCAGGATTTACAAACCAAGGCACAACTTGCGAAGAGGTAAGTAGTCGTCTTTGACTTCTTTGTCGCTTTCGAGTTTATTATTATTTTATGTGGGATTCTTTTGATCATGATTTTTTGTTTTTCACATAAGGGTCCGCTAGTACACATGAAGATGAACCTGTCCCTGGACATCGGAGCCGTATACTATTTTGTCAGAATGATCGGGAGGCAAGAAAAAGGTAAACTTGATTTCTTGTAGGCTTAGAAATATTCGCGATCGGGAATGAAATACAGAAGCTGCAAAATAAACCTGTCAGGCGTAAATCGATGGCCGCACAAGAGGCTTCGCCAAAAGCAAAGGACGTGCAGAGTACCATTCTCAGCTTAAAGGAGCAGCTCCAGAAATCTAAGCAAGTGGCTAATGCAGCGTATGACGGAAACTTTTGAACATACGACCTCCTGCAGTCGCACCGCCTAGAGTTGGCTTCGCTATTATCGTTCACGCAACGTATAATATATAACTTTCAGGTTTGTTTATGTTACTTTTCCAACGGTGTTTGTCAACGAGTTGTGAACAGAAAGTCAATACCACATCATCAATTTCTGATTTTCTTTGACCACAAGCAGAACAACAGACACAAGTGGAACCTTGAAGTCGTATCAATATGTCGAATCAACAGTCACGCCTAACTAGAACATTACGAACTAGAACTACGTCGACGCAGAGCAAAAGAGTTACTTCTACTTCAGCAGCAGCTTTTTTATTTTCTTTTCCTACAACTACAGTCACCGTGCGAAACCGAAAGCAAATCCAAATTTAATTGAAAAATACGATCAGATATCGCTTTGCATGCTAATCCTAAAGGACGACTTGAATAAAAGTACTAGCTGAGTACGGAATTGCAAAATTAAATTACGGCACACGAATAGAAGAGCGAGTCGTACTAGTGCGAAAAGCAAAAGAAAAGAGCTGAAAAAGCCAGTATCAATTGAAGGTAGACACACTCATTAACATTTTCGAAGTTGCAGAAGGCACAATTTGCATAGATAAGAACAGCTAGAGCCGAGAATACAATCGAATTTGAATCTAGGTAGTGCAGACCATATAGATTATTTTTAAGATGATAAATCATAAAGCTACATCAGTGCATAGGCATGAACTCGAAGGAAAAGATAGAAAATGAGGTTGTAAGATTTTCGATATTTTTTCGTCGGAGTTGCATCTCAGTGGCGTGTGCTGCCACCTGATCTCTGTTGTGCGTTTGCGCGTTGGTAGTTTCAAGTTCGTAAAAATTGTTCGTTTTTTTTTTCGTTCGGAGGCCGTCCGCGCTTTGTTCTTTCCGAAGCGCCCCTGAACATTTCTTGGCCTCGCCCGGTCTCCTGGAATTTGACATCGATAAAAAAAAGCCTCCTATTTTTAGTGCGATCTAACCAATTTTAATTTTTCAGCACTACAGTAGAAGTTTGGACTCGACGACTTTCCGATGAACATGCACGGCAGCTCGGACTGCATTGAGAATGATATATAGCGACATTTTATCGTGGCAACGGTTCACTTTGCATGCGCCTTGGTCTTTGACCACGCTTGAGATGCCTGCTAGCAGCTGCAGCGCCGTCGAGCTGGATAATATTGCTTTCCTTCAGACCTCGTCATTCTTGAGTGATTAGTAGGACCCAAGAAGTAGAAGCAGCTGCACAAAAGTATCTACAAGAAGGATTTTTGCCGAACCTCTTTTGCCCATCGCCAGGCACCTACAACTACGCTCGGGCAATTTCTTCACGTTAAGTACTACCCCCCATGAGAACCCATGGACACAATTGCGTCTTAACCTTAATCACCCAGCGCTTCCCTGTCGATCTCGATCTGTAAAAGATCAAGATAGACGCCGCCACCGGTGCAAAAGATAAATACAACAAGGGTAGGCTCCTTGTTCTGCAGAGCAGTGCCTTTCTCTAGCCTGGTGCGGGATCTTGACCGAAGCCAAAACCCAGTGCGCCCTCTGCTACTTACGACGATGGCGATCCACATGCAACTCTTCCGACGAAGTCGGATACCTCACTTCGCGAGGGTATTTCAAGGAGCCAAATTTGGGCTGCCGCACCCGGAGAAGGCCGACAAAGGGGGAGAAGACGCGATGCTGCTCACGTCGAAGATAATAGGCGTACTATTTTGTTGTACTATTTTCATTTTGCTTTTCTACGTATTTATTGGCATGTAAGTACTTCTGCTGCAGTTGCGAACAGTATGAATCACAGTAGGGAATTCTACTTCTTGGAGTGATGGACTACAGGAGGACACGACGCCCTTCGTCTCTCTCTACTTCTTACACTTTTCTATACTACAACACGCTCGTGCTTCTACAGGTCTCCGACGGCGTAGGTGGGTGGAGTCGCCGCGGCGTTGACGCCGGCGAGTACAGCCGGGCCTTGCTTTCCAACGTAGAGAAGGTAGCGGAAAAAAGCAATCTCTCGCAGCCCACCCGGATTTTGAGGAAGGCCTACGATAAGTGCCGGCACATTATGGGGTCGGCCACGGTCTGCTTGGTGACTTTGCAAAAAGACGACACGGTAATTGTTACGAACGTCGGCGACAGCGCCGCCATAATTGTGCGACCAAGCGAAAGAAGGATCTTGTTCAAAAGCGAAGAGCAGGTTCACGATTTCAACTTTCCGAAGCAGCTCGGCATGCACTCCGACGACGTATTTACAAATTGATGTTCTTCTGATTTAGATTTTGATTTTATTGGGCAGAAAAAATTTCAGTTGTTGCAAATCCTGTGGAAGAAGATCGAGGTTGACCATCCACTGCATGCTGAGTTAATAACTCACGCACACGACTTGTAGCATGATAGTAAATACTACGCCCAAGCAATATCAAGAGTAGAAGCAGAAGCTGTTCCATTCAAAGCTACGAACGACTCACTACAGATGCCGGAGCACGGGGATGTCCATTCCGTGAAAGTTCAAGAGGGCGACTTGATTCTGTGCGCAACCGACGGAATTTTTGATAACTTGTTCGACGAGGATATCCTGGAGCGCCTGTGTGGCCCGGCTACGGGAGCGGATGAAGCAGACGCGATGTCAACAGCCTCTACTACAAGTACTTCGACGCCCTCCGAGGAAGGAGCGGCATCAAGCAAAGCGTCAACCGGCTCCACTACTTCCAGCGAACAAGAGGCGGCAACACCAGCATCATCGGAAAATTCTGCGTCATCAACCACTGAACAAACAGCTATTTCAAACCTCGAGCAGAGGGCGCAGGACATCGTGAAGGCAGCATTTGTGCTGTCGCTTGACCCGCACTACAATTCACCTTTTGCCTCCAGGGAAAAGGAATGGCTGGAGAAACTACCCGCGGCTCTGCGGCCAAAGGGAAAGGGGTACGAAGGAGGAAAGCCGGATGACATTTCTGCGGTCCTCGTGGAAATTGTGGACAAGGGCGACGACGGAAAGCCATTCGCCCGACGAGTGTCTTTGTAAAGTTAGTACGAGGACTTCTAACTGGAGTAGTTCTAGTACTAAATGCTGCGGGAGAAAGTATAGTGCCATCTTCAGTGGCCGCTGTTGCTTTGTTTCAGGAACATCAAGGTGTTGGAGTCGTGTTTCTTGATAAAAAGAGCTGAGTGGCTACAACGAGATTGCACGCAGGCAAGCGCAAGCAGAAGAGAACCAGCACCCCGCACGTCGTGCTACAGACGCCCGAGCTTACTGTCGTGACTGAGTCCGGCTCATTGCACCTGCTTTGCAAGAACGAGCGCCACGCTCATGATTCCGCCAGGCGAAGACCGCTAAGCTAAGTTCTTTGCAAGAACAGGACCTGCGTTTACTAGTGGAGGTACGAATATTCGCCGGTGCAGGCCACGGCTGCAAACATGGAGATCTTCAAGTCTGCGAACAACATTTGCGTCGCACGTCGTGGTCCTCATTTCGCTGCAGCGCCTTGGGTTACCAGTCCTGCTATCGGCGGAGTACTAAATATGCGCCACCGCAGAAGCGGATGTTGAAGTACAAGCACAACTCGTCAAGCTCTACTCTAAGACTATACTGCGGCTCGCTTCGCTTCCCCTTCGGTACCAGCAGCGACAGGTTCTGGTAGATGTGTAGTTTCTACGGCTGTTCAAGGGCTCGAATGAAAACTAAGTCCTAAAGATGATGATGATGATGATGATGATGATGAGCCAGAGGAAATGCACATAAGATGAAGGACAATGCTTTACATCTTCGCTGTGAACTTTCTTTGGTGGGTCAAGTATGCTCTCCGCCTCTGCGCAGAAAAATGAAAAATCAAAAACATCGACGTCAGAGTTTTAAATCAAGTATGATCACCATCACGCAAACGAAGGCGCAATAGTGGATCGTGCCTTTTGCTTTTGTTCCAGTTGCAGTGAGTTCGATGTTCTTGTGCTCGAAGTCTCGTCTTCCGTTCAAAAAAGAGCAGATCTCTTTTTGCCTTGTTTTAATTGTGTGTTTTTTTTGCTTTTCGTCATGGTGTTTCCGTAAGCTTGTGGCTTGGCGTTCTCGACACTGAGTCTGAGTTCCTTTATTTACCGAAGAAAATTTTACTTGGCAGCACGCGTTGAAGTACGACTGCCGGCTCCAACATCCCTAGCTTGTGACCTCGGAGGTGTCAGTTTTAGAAGTCGTCTTTAGTGACAACGAACTCCTGTACCTGTAATCATAGATGACAGATAAGAAACCACTCTTATCCGGACGACTTAGTTTTATGCTTCGTATAGAGGCACAAAGTCCCAGTTCGTTTTCAGTTTATCCGAATTCTATTCATCAGCGGGCGACCACGGCGGCTGCAACCGTTATAGACTAAATTCTTACAGTATTTCCCGCTAACCGCAAATACTTAAACAAAGACCCGAAAGCCGCCAGGAAGAGGAAGAGCTCTTTATGTTTGATATAACAGTCCCCTTGTAGATAGAAGGACAAAGCCATCTTTCAACTCGTGCTACATCGATCACCTCGCCGAGATTTTTCTTCTTCTCTGTTAGTCTTACCAAGTACCGAGTCAGTCTCTCCTGTGTTTTCTGTAAGAAGTTTCAGTAGCAGAAACCGTGCTATTTCCGTCACCATTTTCAACCTTCCTCTTTTCCGTAGCTGCTGTGTCTGTTGTGATTTCTTGACTGAAAACGCACGAGAGGAGTGGGAGACACTTTGGAAAAAGCTGCAGCGACACTCCAGCAGCTAGCATACCACGCCGGGTGGAATAAGAGGAAGAGAATCTGGCACTGAGGCCTTTTTTGCACGGGTTCGCCTGTTGGGCCACGACTGGTACGAGGACCGCAAACAAGTCAAAGACTAAGATACTTCTTTAGCAGGAGCGCAGCAGGACGAGAAACAGAAACTAATTCATATTCATCTTCATTGTGTGAAGACATCAACAAACTATATTGGTGTGATGAAGAAGATGAAAAGCTCCTACGTAACAAGTGCCAGAAGTAATCATGCGATGAGTGGGGGGAGGAACAGCAACAGGAGGAAGAACTGTAGCTTTAGCTCTAGCTCAGAATAAACAAAGGGATAACTTCAGCAATCCGGAAACGCGACGAGGACGCTCTTCCCTAGTTAGTGTGTAATAACAATACTAGCACTAGGGTACTATACATATCACTTGTAATAGAGATCGTATACGATGTGCTAAGCTGTGACTGTGTGCGCAAATGGGCTGCGGAGCGTCTTCTACCACACCATCAACGACATCGGCGTCTTCCAACGCTGCAAGCAGGTTACTAGTGCAAGGAAGCGCAACGCTCCTCGATAAAAATTGCAGTAAACGCGAAGTTCTTCTAGATAGCACGTCTCCTGCTCGCCGAGGTGTAGTTGCTTCTTCCTCTTCCGGCTTCGTTCTGTCCTCATCTTCCGGTGGGCAGCTCGGCTCTTTTTTCAGCTCCCCACCGCCCCGCGGCCGTGGCAGTTGTACACACCGCGGCCGGCGAACGAGCACAACCAAAAAAGAAGAGGATTTCGATTCGCCGTGTGCAATTGTGAACGGAGAGGACTCGCGAAACGAAAAGAACGCATTTTTCCAGGATGACCGACTGGATGAAGGAGGTGAAGTGGAGCAGTTAATAGTGTACCCAAAAACTCACCAAAACCAACCATTTTTGTCCTCCCACGAACAACAAATTTTTACCACTCCATCCACTGTGCCGCCTCTGAGTACGACGCAATCCAAAGTAACGGGAGCTGGTGCCACCAGCACTGCTACAGCTATTCCTCTCGCAGGTGGTGCTCCCGTGGCCGTGCTGACAACTACATTTTCCAACTTGTATGAACAGTGCAGCACGCCGGAAGATCCGGAACACGAAAGCCGCAACGTCGTCAGCGTCCGCCTCAACCATGATGACCATCATGCTGACAAGAAGACGGGACGTTCTTTGAGTGACGAGATTGTGGAGATAACCAGCGACGACGAAGTCATCGACTCGACGACGCACCGAACTCCTGCCGGCGCTCCTGCCCCATCTTTAATACAGTCGCCGCCCGCAGCTGGTGGCCTTGCACCAGAACTCCTGCCAAAAAATTTTGTGGATCCGCAAAGAACAAGAAGTATCAATAGTATGACAAGCAGAAAAACAACGACCCAATCGTCCCAAAATGCTGCGGAAGGTCATCAACCTGCAGGTGACGAGCAAGACAAATCGGCACAGCAGCATCTGCATGGCGTCACTAATTTGTCAGCTGCTAGTAGGATGTCGAACTGGAGCTCTGGTTCTTCGGGTTCCTCTGCCATGCTCGGAGGAACATCTGGTGGCACAACGTCGTTTCTCAACCGCGGGTCCACTTTCTCGACCCTTTCCGGGCTTGGGCACCACCAGGAAGATCATAGCTTCGTGCCCTCGCCAGAACAGCAAGCAGGCGACCGGTATAATCGGGTGCACCAGCTCGAAGATGTAGATGAGAACAATGCTTCCACTTCTACCTCGTGCGGTCCAAACCAGAGAGATGAAACACATCTGTCTAATGAACTACTTGTCGCGACGAAGACTGATGGGGCGGATGAAGACGAAGAATTGATCATTTCTCATAGTGCCAGCGGTCCAGCACGTGTGCTCGTAGAGGGAAGAGCCACGACGACGACCTCATCATCTTCCAGGATAACAAGAACTGCGGCTGGCGCCACTGGGGCAGTGGATGATGTAGAGATTCTGGAAAACAACTACACAGAGGGGCCGGTGGCGCCCCCTTCGTCGTCGGCTGAAACGACCCCCGTCTTCCATCCCTTAGAGCCCTCTTCTGGCTCTACACTTCACCTTCAGGACGTGCAGGCCGCCCGGAGAAATCGCACGACGAGCATGGCGTCGGCCGCGCCGCCCACACCGTCCTCGTCTTCTTCGAGTAGCAACGCTAGTAACTCGAACAGAAACTGTTCTCTAGTACGTGGAACGGGCGGAGGACCACAACCACTTAATACAACCGCGTCCTCAGTGAATCAACATCATCAACAACAACTCCACGCGAGTATGCAGCTGCTGCGGCGGAATCATGTGAATAGGCGGAAGAGCTCCCTGTCTGTTGCAACCGCGACCTCGCTAAAAGTGCTGCTGGAGCAGGAAATCGAGCGGCAAAAGAAGCGGTCGGGCAGCAACGAGTCCTGTGCGCCGATCGCAATTGACCTACACCACTTGGAATTGGACCAGATTGCCGAAACCGATGAGGAGCAGGAGGTCCTGGAACGGGTTTTTGCCGCGGCAGACCGAGAGAACCAGGGTCGCTGCAGCCCGCGCGAGCTGCGCTTGCTCTTCCGGGTTTTGGGCATTCCGGCGAAGGATTTAGTGGAGCATTTCAATGAAGAAAATCTGATGCTCGCCGCCCCGGCGTCGAGCCCAGGTACTATGGTCGTGCAGACAGTGCAACACCCGACTGCGCCGCCGCAGTTGAGCAGTTCCTGTTCGGGATCCACGGGTGGTGCTCAGCCAACAGCATCTTCTTCATCGCACCAGCAATCAACTAGCGAGCAGCAGAGTGCAGAGTTGACACTTCAATTGAACGACAATCTGATGAGCGCCGTCCGGTGGGACCTGCGGCAATTTGAGCGGTGGGTGCCCCAAGATCTGGCTGAGGCCGTAGTGAACGCGCTGCGCGCAAGGCCCTTCGCACTAGACCACCCGTCTTTGCATACTCTTTGTGACCTGGTCGCCGTGCTCGACAGCCTGGATACGGAATACACCGGGGCTATTGATCCGTCAGAGCTGTCAACGGTATGTACAATCATGTTCGAGATGAGTGATATTTGTAGTGCCTGTGTTTTTTTTTCTCCGCTTTGATCTCCTTCGTTCTCGACGAATGGGCATGATGAGTCCTGATGATGATGTAGCTGTAGTTTTTCAAAAATCGAGTTTCTACTTTCTCCAAAAATTATCGGACAGATTTGCGAGAACCTGCATCTGAACCCGGCCGAAAATACGGGACTGGTAAACCTGGTTGGTTCTCCGGAAAAAGCCGCGGTTTCCACGGCGCCCGTGTCGATCGACAAGTTTCTGCAAACGCTGACGGCCGAGGAACTGACCGTGATCCACAAAAGACTTCCCGAGCTCGAGCTGGAACCGGGCTCGTTCCGCCGGGTCAGTGGCGAAATCTCTCGGGCGTTCACGAGTTCGGAAGCCACGAGCCACCGGTCGGTGATCGACCCGAGCCGCGGGGGAAATTTTTTGATGAACTGCCGCTTTTCCAAATCCAGGTCCAGCTCCAGAACTAGTACGAACCTACAGCTCGTCCAGACGCCCCGGGGCGGGTTGCTGCACAAAACCGGCTCCTTGACGGCGGATGAGCAACTCCACCTGGCGGACAGGGACCACAGAGGCTCCTCGAAGGACGCGCGGAGCAATTTTTTCGATGTCCTCGACCTGGACACGGCGGACGACCAGATGAACTTCGTGCTTCACGTGTTTGGCAATTTGCAGTGGAACTTGACAGTTGGCTCTACCTCCATCGGAATGAAATCTACTTCGAAAAATAACGCTGACGACGACGACGGGGGGTCCTCTTTGTTACACCCAACGATCTCCGATCCAGGAACGATGCACGGTCTGGTAGTGCCGCACTTGACCCACTTCATGCGGTCCTCTAGCACTTCCTCCGCATCCATTTTCCCCTTCGCATCGAGCTCGTGCTCGCGGCAGCCGCCGCCCGCCAACGACGCGACGGCGATCCTACGGGAGGTCAGGCTAGCGGAGACGGGCCTGCGTCAGTACTGCAGCGCGCTGCGCTTGGCGTACATCCCCAACGCGTATCTATCAAAAGGAAAAATCCCCCCACCCCATATCGAAATGGGAATCTGTGATGCGGGATTTGTGTACACAAATGATCGGCTTTGTCTTGCAATAGAGGACTGCAGACAGATACGAAGCCGGATTAGGGATGTTTTGGTGTAGGCGCCTAGCAAGGTATGGGCATTCTCTGTAGGCCAGACAGCATCACAAATTGCCTGCATAACGCGGCGGGGTTTTTTTATTTGTCTTCTTGCACTACTGAGACGATTTGTGGCCTCAAATCAGCATGACAAATTTTGAGAAGTATCCCGTTCTGGTATGGGGAGGGGGGATTTTTCCTCTCAATAGTATCACAACTATCACCACGCACTGAACACGCTGCATTTGTGCTCGCAGTACTTGTCGGGGACGAAAAGCGCGGGAAAAACCTTGCTGTACAGCCTCGAGGTATATCTTCACGCAGAGATAGGATTAGGAAAATCAACAAGTACAAGATTATCATATGTCAGTGCTTTTTTCCTCTACCAGGTCCTGATCCTCGCGCCAGTGAAACAAGCACAACACACTCACATCATTTGAACTACACCTGGCGAAGAGGAAGATGAACGCCGGTTGAAGTCTTGTAAGCCCCTTACTTTTCGTTTTCAGTGAAGATTCAATATACAGAGAACAATGACAATCATGAATGAAAATTTGTAAATCAAAACGAATAGGTGCTCACTTGTCTTTGTGCTGCTCTGGCGCACGACGTTGGCCACCGCGGCTTTACCAACCCGTTCGAAGTTGCCACGGGTTCGGAGCTTGCCATTTTCTACAATGATAACTCCGTCTTGGAAAATATGCACGCCTCTGTCGGTTTTTCGCACGCGGAGCGCTTCATCCTACCAAACTTGTTCCACGTAGTCGACGCGCAGGCAGCACATCCTGTTCCTGAGGCTGGTGGGGCGAGCTCCTCGAGCCGCTCTAGTGCCGGTTCTAGCTGCAATATTTCCAGCATCACTGCAGTCTCCGCTTCTCCGGCTGCAGCAGCCGAAAGAAGTTGTATAATCGAGGCTGAGCAGGCAGAGAAGAAAGACAATTCGGCTGAGCTTGTGCAAACCGAAGCGATAACAATAAACACATCAGCGAACAACGGCGCAGTACCAGACCAGCACAGCTTTTCCAAATCGTCATCGTCAGGGCCAAGCACCAGCAACCCCGTGAGAGCAGGAGGACCAAGGTACGAGAAGGTAGGTCGCGAAGTGTGGCGGCGGTTCCGCAAGATTTTTATCGAGAGTATTTTGGGCACGGATATGGTGCACCACGAAAAGCAAGTGAAGGCCGCTTCCATGCTCGCGACGCAGCGCAAGCACTCCATGATCAACTCGGCTACACCATTTTTTCCGCCCGGGGTTTCGAACGGTGCCAGCAGCGGAACTGCTCGGGCAACCGAAGCAGGAGGAGCTTCCTCTTCTACATCTTGCAACACGAACACCACAGCTGCAAATACTAAGCCACAAAAGGCTGCACCCTCATCCGCCGAGAACGATGACGTTGTTGTAGAAGCTTCCGCGTCCTCCGAAGATGCACTTCCTCCACGCGACGAGGACTCTAGTGGGTCTACAGGTGCAGCTGCATTGGAAGTTGTTGTGAGGAGCAAGGATAAGGAAATAACAAGCTGCGCAAAAAATATTAGGTCTTCTGTGATCAACACGACGACGCCAACAAGGGCGGACCACTCGACGTCCTCTTTCCACCTCGACGAGACCGGTCGGTCTCAGCTCGTGGAATTGGTGTTGCACACCGCGGACATCGGGAATGGGTGCCAGCCGCTCTCCGTCGCGTTACGGTGGAAGGACCGAATTCTCGAGGAATTTTCCAACCAGGCCGCGGAAGAGGCGAAGGTCGGTATCCCGGTGACGCCGTTCATGCTGAACCTGCACGACCCGATCGTGGCCGCGAAGAGCCAGATCGCCTTTGTCGGCTTCGTCGTTGCCCCGTTGATGCAGATTGTCAGCCCGCTGCTGGGGCTGGACACCTACATGGAGTGTATGTACTCCAACACCCAGTACTACCAAGACATCGTCAACGCGAATAACAAGCTGGGGCTGCAGCAAGCGGATACTCATAACTGTAATGGGAGCAGTTCTTGTTCATCTTCTGGCACAGCAGTTTCTGGTGCAGCTGTCGCCACAAAAAATACAACTAATACTAATACAGCAGGAGCCAGTTGCGCTGACACGTCGAAAAATGGAGGAACCAAGACGAAAAGTAGAGGAGCACCACCAGGCGCCGCGAGGACCACCACGAAGGGGCCGCTGAGCAAGACCTCGGACAACTGCAGCAAGGATGTTGCGCCACTAGCACTGGAAGAAGAACAAGAGGACAAGGTGTCAAATGCGGACAACAAGAACGGAGCAAACAGCAAAGCGACCACCACGACCACAGCGGCTTCCTCCGACGAGCAAGACGCAGTCACTATTTACGGACAGAACGACGCTGTTAATCACCACCAGGAAAATCAGCAGGAGTCTAGTTGTTCGCTTTACCCAGCACCGACAGGCTCGTCCTCAGCTTCCGCTCCGAGCAGCGTGACGAACGCGAAGAACTACAAAGTTGGACAAGAACTCGAGCAGAACTACGAACAACAGCTACAGCACGATCTCCACGACGAGAGCGGGAACCATAATCTTCAGGAGGCTACTTTATTTTCCCGGCATGGCACCAACGACAGCGACAGCTTTGATGTGTACAACATTTTTTCCCGGCATGGCACCAACTTATGTCTTCAACGGTCGTTAGCATACAGAAGGGTGAATTTGCAGTGAATTTGTATTGCGTGGCATGATGCATGAATTAATCTTCAGGTGCATGCGAAGAACTAGAACACGAGGACAACATACAAGAAGCCAGCGCGCCGCGTTGATGGGCTGCTTGGCTGGTGGCGCTTCCCTCCTGTGGACGCTTGCCGCTTGTTGCCCAAAGAGGCGCACCTGGTGGACTGCGAAGCAACGCAGGTGGCTTAGGGCGGTCTTACAACACGACGCTGCATGATCCGCAGACTCGATAGTGGCGGATCGACCGGGACGAGGGCTATGCCTGTAAAGGGGGTCAAAGGTACTAGCTCAACATGTCAAAATAGAGAAGTCGCGTCACGGGTTGTGGCTGCCTCGGCTTGGATATCTGGAGACAGGTTGCTACGGATGCTAGCATCGCCTGCTTTGCTCTGTAAGTAACCTCCTCCCAGCTGTGTTCCTGCCTCATCTTGGTCGGTTCCTCTAGTAGTCTTCTTTGACGTGACCCCCAGGTCAGGAATTCTCTTGGTGAATTTTGAGGCTTTGTCTTTTTGCGAAACTTTTTTGAAGCCCCAAACTCGGAGTTTCTCACGCGCTAGCGAATTTTGAACAGGCACCGGAACCCAAAATTCACCGGCGCCCTTTTCAAAATTCACCCGAAAACTCACCGAGCGCCCCTTTTCGACCGTGATAAGCAAACTTTGGCGCAGAAAAGTGCTCAAAAATGTGCACAGGTAGGCCCTGGGGAGTGGGGCCGAGGGGAAAAGACAAGCGCCCTCTGTTGCCCTCAGCCCGTCTATATTCTGCCGAAAAGGCCTGGGGAGTTCACGCGCCTGCCGGGTAGAGGCGTGAAAGCTCTCGGCCTGGTCCTTTCACTCGTTTTTTTGCGCCTTCTTCCCTAATTGCATGTGCTTCGCAGCCTTTCTTTTTAGCGTCTTTGCCGCGGCTGCTGCAGTGCTCTATGCGAGCACAGGGAGACGAATAGACATGGCCAAAGAACGGCACCCAGGCCATGCCTAGAAGCTGCCCGCCGCATAAGTAAGCCTTGACTTCTGCGGTGTGCAGAACCCACCTCCCAGAAGGGCAAGAAGGATAATGCCCCGGCGGACTCATCTGCAATCTGTCATGCAAAATTCACTACAAATTCGCCACTTCTCATGCTAACGGGTGTTAAAGCTGTAAGCACCAACGACAGCGACAGCTTTGATGTGTACAACATTTTTGACAGCTATTCATTGCGACGCGTTCCGATGAGATAAGTAAAAGCGGAACTTCGTGGAATTTTGCGTCTCGAAAATTGCCAGCAGGGCACTGCGTACCCCGCCCAGGCAATATTGCCCCATTGAGTAGACCTGCGCGATGTTTTGTAGCCCTGGCTCCCAGCTGTTCTTTGTGTTTTTTTTATTTATCGCTGTGTATTCTTTTCCAGGTGGGCCGATATTGTGTCGTGGGGCAGGAACGATAGCCGGAGTGGGCGCTTAAGCGCCAACAAGCAACAAGATAACACTTCGTGGGCTCTCCGGGCAATAACAATCGGAAGCCCTGCAGGCCTCTCCGTCAATATTACCATGTGCGCGGGGCCCGACAAGGGCCACAAATTCTGCGCCATTGGCCTGCGAATACGCCAGACGGAACAGACAGAAGCTCTCTTTTTGCCCTTTCGTGGCGAGGCCCCTTTCGTGGCGAGGATTCCTTTCGTGGCGAGGCCCCTGGCTACGTTCATTGGCCATCCTGCCTTTCAAGTGCCACCCCTTAGGAATTTGCTTGGAATTTGCTAGGAATTTGCTTGGAATTTTCTTGACTTTTTTTTGGAATTCTAAGCAATTTCTCTGCATTTTGTCTGGAATTTGTTTGGAATTTCGCTCAGAGAGTTCTGGAATTTCGTCATAGCGTCGTGACTGGCAAATTCCAGATAAATTCCAAATGAATTCCAGACAAATTTCTTACAAAAGAAAAACAAAAAGAAAATAAATTTCTGGCACATGTCAAACAGAGGGAACCCAGAGGACTAACACCTCCGACCTAGGTCGCGACCTAGGTCGCGACCCACCCGGAAGCAACCACAAGACAACACAAGAACTCTTCCAAAGTCCGGGACACAAGTGTCCGATATGGCACGACACCCAAGCGCCACACTCCGACAACGGGTGCCAGAATAGGGCCAGCAGGCGCAAAAGCTACAGCTTTGCCCTGCGTGGGTAGTTCGGGTCTAGGGCTGTGAATAATTGGCACAAGATATAAGCTTCAGGCTATGGGGATTCGACTACCCTCAACAGTACGGCGTTGTTGTCTGTTTCCTCACGCTTGCGTTTATCTTTAGGGGCCCCCATATTTGGACAGAACAAGACGCGGGTAGTCTACCGCGATAGCCTGCGCCCGAGAATGCGCCGATTTCTGTCCCTGCGAAAACATCTTTCACACAGCGACCGCGTGGCTGTTCGCTACGCTGCGGCTCCGGCGCTAAGAAGTTTTTTTTCCCCGAGAAATTCCACGAAATTCCGCTCAAATTCCCTCATCGTACGCGCTGACAGCGACAGCTTTGATGTGTACAACATTTTTGACAGCTGCACGTCGGGCGAAGAAAATAATTCGGAGATGAATGGGGAAGACTTTTCCGCAAACAGCCCGATGCTGCTCTTCGAAACAGCATGTGAAGATGGCGGAGGGATGCTGGCCGCAGGAGAGGGACCTCCAGGAGATCTGCGTGCAAGCGCAAGCAAAAGGCAGTCAAGTGGTGAGGGTGGCTGCACAGTGGCGTCTCCCACGGCAGTAATTGGCATGGAGGACGACACTGGGGCTTTCATCTGTAGTTCCGCAGCAGCGGAGAACAATGTTGACGGCGAATAAATATAAATGGCGAATATGGAATGCGGAAGTTCGCAAACGACAGTGCTGCAATGGAGCTTATAGCAATTTGAATTTGAACGAAAGCATAGTTCTTGTGCTCAAAAAATATTTTATGATGGAAGCACGAGTACGCTTCGGAGTCGGATCCTCCTCTGGAAAGGAAATACAGTTAGAAGGAAAAAGGCACTAAAGCTCGAAAGAATCAGAAACAAATCACAAAACTTAAGCAAATCAATTTGATAGGTTACTTCTTTAGACAAATCACAGATAGAATAATATATAGCCAGAGCAATTTTATGTCTTATGGATAAGGATATCAAGAAAAATGAACCTGTATCTACTTGTTGTCCGTTGTTGTAACAATTATGCCATGTACCTGTACAATAGCGTTAGCGTTTTTGAACTATTACTATGATCTCTGTGTGCTGTAGATAAAGTTTCAACATAAAAGCGATATGAGGCATCATGAGAAGAGCTGCGGAGACGAGAAACAGAAAAATGAAGTAGATTTGCAACGGCAAGTATCAACTTCCATGGCGCGCAGGAACATCAGCAGGTATCTCCACGCTCCGAAGTTGAGCTCGTCGGTTATCTTTACGATTACGAAGAGGCTTGGACTTGATCTTGCAATCTTGAGCAGGATCTCTCACTTTTCTTCTTTTTTCTACAAGAAATCTATGATACGCGGTAGTCACACTCACACTAGTTGCAATTTGTATAAAGATAAGACAGAGTAGGAGCATCGGCTTTAGTCGTGTGTAGGCATAAGTGAACAGAGTCCAAGCAAAGCCAGATGCGATGTAGAATTTTTTTTTGATGCATGTACATTACGCGCGTCTAGCACATTGGCCGTGGGCCAGTTGCCGACGGCTAGACGAAGCGGCGGATCCCAGCTGGGTGGCAGTGATGTTGATGTGAGGTTCACTGCGAGAAGAAATCCGAGTTGGCTCGTAGTTAGAAATAGCTTCGGTCTGGGCGAGTGAAACGTTATCCAATTTGTGCCCCTAAGACCCTAGCGAGAATTTTCTTACCGTGACTCCCCTCGGGATTGAGAACGTTAACCCAGGGTAGAGTCTTGCGATGCACTAAGCGTCGTAAACACAATTTGAATTTGAACTTACAACCGCTACAGCTGAAACTGTAGCTGCCGTAGTTAAAACGTGTGTCTTCGATAAGTATTCAGTAACTAAGTACAGAAATCGCGCCAGAGCTTGTATTGTCATGGGACGATGCAACTTCTACTTCTACTCGAGTAGTTTGCGCGATGGTAATGGTTCGCATGTAGTGCCTCGATGAAAATAATATGCCCATACGATACCGAAGCTCAGCCACCTAGAATTATTCGCATCAAACAGCCCAAATCAGGTGAAATTTCCTGAACAAGCTGCAGCACCAGCAGGAGGCTCGCTAGTGCTGTTGCAAGATGCCCTTTCACAGGAGCTTTGTGAGACAAATACATGAATCCCATCGGCACTACATCCGGCAGGGGTAGATGAGCTAGAAACCAAAACTACAGGAGCACTAGTGACCAGCCGTTTCAGTTCAAGTTCTGTTGGTTTGCGAAGTGCATCAACAGACACGACTCCAGGAGCGTTTTTTACTTCTTCCACCTACAATTTTACTTTTACTATTTTCTTTAATTTTAATACCACACTGTCTCCCCTTGTTCTCTGGCCACTCCTGCGGTTTTACTTGTACCGGGATTTTTGACTGTACGTAGGCCACAAGGTCGCACAAAGACGGTTGGAGAAGCAAATAAATTCTCATTTTTCTCCGGCAATGATGCTTTTGTTTTCCCTCTAAAAATTCTTGTTGTTGTCAACTGACTACCCTCGTCCAAATTTAAGTTTGCTTTTTCATAAGCGCTGCTTTGTGACTGAATTCCAGCGAGCGAACAGTGTCGACGATGGCGTGCTGGTGCCCTCCTATGACAAGAATTATATCCATATTGACTACAACTACTCAACTCCCTCCGTATACAAACAAGTACAACCGCCTTCGATAATTTTACTTAATTTCCACAGGAAGAGCATTACTTCAGCAGCAAAAAGAAAAACCTCCACGGCTATTAATTTTGAAAATCTATATAAGAACTCTCCACTCTTTACCTCGACCTCTCCGTTTCGTTTCCTTTGTTTCCCGCTGAGCTGCCATCATTGAATTTAAAAATCGAAATCCCCGGGACAATACCTGTCCAAATTGACCACGTATTAAAACCTCCTCATGTCCGATGCCGATCTTGATCTTCGTGACGCCCTTACAATCTTACTTTTACTTATACACCTGCACGTTTTTCCAGTGGGTTATTTTTCCGCTCCACCACGCTCGCGGGGTCAATGCCGTGTGCATGAAATTGAACCTTTTTCACCTTCTTGTGTGCCTGGTAACGAGCTCGCTGCCGGCCGTACAGCAGTGAAAGCAAATGAACGAAGAAGAAGACTTATGGGTATTGAGTAGAGTTACTAATCTTATACTCCGGTGAGAATCATCTAAATGTGTCAAATGAAGGCGGATTTGAAATGTTTTCAGAATGTGGAGCTGTCGCGGAAGAGAAAAAATGAACGAAGATGCAACAACTCCATCTTCAACTGCAAGTGGCATAGCTTATAAGCACCACGCGGTGCGCGTTTTTGGCTTTACTTGCTGATTTCCAGTACTTGCGTGGAGCATACCCCGGAAACCACGAACGCCACTGCAGTGTTTTATTTTGATCACACGCGACCGCACGAATCTCTGAACAGTGTGGTGCTCCTCGATGCGGCAGTTTCTTGGCGAGTCCAGCAGTATAAGCTTTTTTCACAATGTTGGACATCGAAATGAGTCAAAATTCACGGGGGCATTTTTTGGGCAGAATCTTGTTGTGCGTACTAGAATTAGAGTATGCAAAGGCAGAATTTTTCTGCCACCTCGTCTGCTGCTGCGTTTTTTTAGCAAACACGTCTTAGTGTCAGGGGTACTATATTTTTTATTGAAGTACAGACAGGGATTACTTTAACTTTTTTTTGGTTTTGCAGCAAACATCGAGGGTTGTACGAGAATGGTTGAGAAATATTTTTAGCTTCAGTTGCGTTTTCGATTCTTTTGAATCTTCCAGCTGAATTTGCTACAGCCAATTATTTCAAGATCGAGGGTGTATTTTACAAATGTCGACTGAAGAAGGTGAAGGTGAGGGCGGTGAAGTACACACTGGCTGAGTACGTTTGCAGCTTTGAAATTGAAAATAGTGTTTCATCTTCCAGCCTGGTGCTTTTCCTTGTCCTTGCTTATGTTTTTATGATTTTAGCCGAGCTTTTGTTTATTTTTTCTGTTTCGAACTTTTATTTTCCTACGACCACTCTGAACTCCTGCCATGATTATGATACTACAGGACTGCACCAGCAAGAAAAGTAAACTACAAGAGTTGGATATGATCACGTTGACGTTGGGGTTGGGATGTCCGATGTCTTCCGACGCGGATGCCGATTCACTTTCAGTTTGACGCTATTGCAATATCTATGGGGATCATAGCCGCATCCGTATTGTTCCGGACGCGGGTGCCTTTGCATCTCGACGATGGATGTACATTTTTATTTTCTTCAATTTGGGGAGCGAGAGCTGCAAAAATGAATTTCAACAAATGTCCGACCTTCATTCCACTTCGTAGTTACTTACTTGTTTTTGATTTTCGTAGATCATGACATGAGTTTTTAATGGGTCGATTTTATTAAGCGATACGTACTACAGATGACCTCGAGGTTAGTTTAGTGGTCCCTCGTTAAAATAAAATGGGTGTCAGTGATGTTGGCGAAGATACTAAACACTCGGGCAGCAGTGGTTTTTTTTTAATTTTTTGAGTGCGACCAACGGCAACGGAGGCACAGGCACCACGTAAGAATGTGAGTATACCAAGTATCAATTTCTTATCCTAGGAGAAGCCAGCGCGATCGCCTAGAAACAAAGCTCGCCCAGCGGATGAAAATCGTGCGCTCCCTGAAGCCGTTGTTCGTTTCTTCTTGTCCTTTCTTCTAGGCAGCTGCTACAGCTTCATCCGTATCTCGTCCTGTCTAGTAAACTGCTTCCCGTCCGAGCGAGCATCAATTACGGATCATGATATCAACCGGTGGAGGAGAGCTTCGAGTATCAAAATTTCGACTGGTACATCTGCACAAAGGCCACAGAAAAGTCTAGGTCGTGCTGACAGTGTCAGTTGTCATATGAGTGTGAAGATGTTGCAGTACTACAAGTAGAAGTAAAGATTTCTGCTACTTCTAGTTATCCTGTAGTACAACTTGATTCTGTTTCATCCGTTGCTCTCTTCTTGCAACCATGTTTCATCCGTTTCTTTGTTTTTGTGTCTCGTCCCAAAGATGCAAGTGCTCAGTAGTACTATGTAGACATATTATTTCCCGTAGGACTAGTAACTTTCGCCTCCCCATAAGCAACATCATCAGCACTGTAGTTACTGTTTGCAACTGCCTGCACCAACTTGACACAGCAGGGACGTGATGGCGCCGTTGAGGAGAAGCAACTCTCCTATCTGTTCTGTGAGCTCTGCCTCTGCCGCTGCCCTGGTGGATATTGCCAAACATGATGAAGAAGAGACCACTACAACAACAAATCTTGCGGTTTTCGATCCGACAAGACTAAGACATCAAGCCGACGCAGAATCACGACAATGTCCGCCGCCGACCGCCTTCCCGCTTTCCTACGCAACAGCAGTGAGACTCGGCAGAGTCGCATTGAAAAATCAGGACCGCGAGGGTCGTTCCAAGCATATCGCTATCGGGCAAGCGGAACACGACATATATCAACCGTCGTCGAGGCCCGCTCCTTCTCTTACCCGACTCATTGCCTACTACCTGGTCCACAGCTGGCGGTGTTTCGGGTACGTTCCCGCGTTTCTCTACGCGGCGAAGACCCAGCCATTCAAAGTCTTGCTGACCACCGCGATTCTCCAGGCGGTTCGGGCCAACAACCCCCGCGTCTCCTTCCTAGTGCACCTGTTTTGCTCCTACGGGTCGAGCAGAGAACCCAGATTTGTGAACGCGGCACGGAAGATATCCTGTGCAAAAGTATCGCACTCGTAGTAATCGCAGTCATGCATTACAAATCTCCATCCCAAGGCAAAACAGCGTCACAAATTCCAATTGTCATGCTGAGCTAATTTGTATTGCAATTACTACTAGTGCGATACTTTTGCAGTTCATAGAAGAAACTCTATGACAAAAACAGCGCGAAGCCGAGCCAGTACCTCGCGACCCTCCACCCCCACGGAATTCTGTGCTATCCAGGAAAAAAAGTACTTATGTAAGTGTAACTTTCTTTGAGAAACAGCATCACAAATTTGCTCTACATGACAGAGAAAACCTGTCATGCGTGGCGTGTAAGGGAAAACACACACGAAAAGAGGACTTCGTGGCTGTCTGGCATGACAGGCGTAACTCTGTTGCATGTTCTGCAACACAAAGTTACACTTACACAGTTTTTTTCTTGCATATGTGCTGCGGGTGGTTCAATTTGATATCCCGGCTTGCCCTGGATTGGTCGGCCACCGACCGGCTAGAGATCATGGACGGCCTGCCCGTGTTTCTCTGCTTCGCGCCGATGATCCAGCACTTGCCCCTCCACGGGGACATGTACATGCAGAACTGCGGGGACGCGAGCGGCAAGACGGTGCGGCGAGTTCTGCAGACCACGAGGAAGACGCCGGCCATCGCGCCGGGCGGCTTCAGCGAGTCGGCGTACTGTGGGTGGGACATGGAAAAGTACGAGGTCGCGTATCTGCTGCAGCGAACCGGGTTCGTCAAGATCGCGCTGGAGCAGAAGGTCGATTTATTGCCGGTGTACACCTTTGGCAACGACAACATGTACCTGACGTGGGATTTGTTCGGCACCCGGCAGCTGCGGGCGGAGTGGTCGCAGAAGATCGGACTGCCGCTCCTGTGGTGGAACGGAGCCGACCCCTTCGGGTGCACGAATTTACCGAAGACGGAGGACTTGGTGACGGTCGTGTTTGACCCGTTTGTGACGGAAAAGTATTGGAAGAGGCTGGAAGAGGTGTTTATTCGGGGAGACACTACCGCTACGAAGGCAACGAAAGGAGAAATAAAGGGAGTGCAGCCCGGCATGGGCGCGACGACCCAAAGCAAAAGCAAGAAGAGTAAAACGAAAACCGGTACAGTTACCAAAACAGCCTACGAAAAAGCGTTGCAGGCTGCTGTAGAAGAGTGCCACCGTGACTATTTGCAGTACCTGTGGCGGTGCTTCGAAGAGTACAAGCACGTGACACCAGCGTCGGCAAAAAAAGCTCTGGTCTTCGCCGGCCGGGGACAAAAACCGATCGTGCCGGATGTGGACTGGTTGAGAAAAGAGCAGCAAGCGCACAGAAACGTCAGTGAAGAGCAACACCGTCGTCATTTGGAAGAACGGCGAAGGGAAGCTACTACACGCACTGGAAGTCGTTCGGGTAAGAAAACGCGGCCGACGTCTCCGTCACGGTCTCCGAACAAAAGACCCCGTCCGCCGACTTCGTCGCCGCAAGATGAGAGTAACAGCGTCGCCGCGATTTCAGTGCTAGGCGCAGCAGGACCAGTGGGCAGCACCAGCAGCCGCGATCAAGCATTTCCAATCGCGGTTCGTATCTCCTCGACCAGCACATGTTCGAGCGACCGCGCGGAAGAATTTTTCACCCACCCGCATTCTATTGTGCGTTCTTTGAGCAAATATTAAACCGAAACACACCATCCTGCCATTCGCGTCTGCGTTTGAGTTGGTGAGGATTCATTCATGTTTCGTCTTCTATTTCACACTATCACTAGTTGTGAAGATCGAAAATCCACAAGTTCGGTGATGTCTGACCTGTGACTATGAGAATGAAATCGAAGATAGTAAAACAGAGGCATTGTACAATTGAGATTCTTTTGCTTTTGGTTTTACTTCTACTTCATTTGTATCAGTTTCCATCGTGTAACCAAAAAAAAACTTTTTTCTTATGTAACCAAAATAAAAAGACCTGGAAGAAGAGACGCTTCCTTGCGAATACAATCATCATCCACAGATTTTCATCTTGCCATGGAAGAGGATCTTTCCATCGAATCAATGAAACACTTCCTCCACCTGATATTGATATGGACCTAAATCGAAAAATCACGAACGATGCCATGGATCGATTTATTTTCATATTTTTGAGTTTTTCCTGAATCATGGTCATTTCTTTTTCTATCGTTATCGAAAATCAAATGAAATGAAGAAGATGGGATGTCATATTCCGGATCTGGAAGATGTCGAGATAGAGTCCATTTATAAGGTCAAGATGAAAAAGAATCCTATCCAAAATTTCGAATTCGTTGAGGTGATATTTCAAAGCATTATGAAAAATATAATAAAAATTTATTTGCAAAATATTCAAAGTAAGGGGGTATTCGAATATTCAATTTTGAGGGTATCCCACATATGATATTATATTATGAGAAATTTATGCAGAATTGAATTCCCATGATCATTCATTGTTTGTTTGTTTGTTGATGAAGGTCATGTGGAATCATTTGGAAATTGTTCTTTCCTCTCACAATTGCATTCCTCCTCTCATTTCGATTGGAATTTTTAAAGATCTGAAATTATCAAAGATTATATTCTTGATCTTCCCTTTGAAATTCTCAAAATTTCTTAATATATTCATATCTCCAAATGTAATTTATTGATTCGATTCATGATTTATCATTTTCGAATCTTGAGATGGAGAACAGAGATTTTTTGTGGAAAAATCGAATGTAATCGAGGATCATGATCTGAAAAAAATATTATAATGAATTCCATATTCCGAAAATTTAAATTCGATTCTCGATAGAAAAAAAAAAACGAAGAAATGAATGATTTTTTTTTTTGAGATTGGAAATAAATTCGATTTCCCATCCTTCCATCGAGATTCCCAAAATCTATCATGAAATATATTTGATTTTGAATCTCGGATGATACATATCATAAATTTAAATCCTATTCCGACATGATATGATCAAAAAGAAAGAACAACACACACAAAAAACAAGATGGACACAAGATTTTTTTTCAGACGATAAATAATGATGAGAATCAGATCGAAAAGATTCATTTCTATTGAGAATATATTGATCGAGGATGAATAATCATGGACCAGACCTGAGTCTGAGACAAATTTGAATCATACCCAGTCATGAGCCGGTCTATGAAGAGAGAAAGAATTGAAAATTTTTTGAAGATGAGTCGAGATGAAGCGCTAGAAGGAGGATTGCACAGATTGACATGCAAGAGCAGCAACATCAACATCTCTATATCTTTTTACTCTTGAAAAGAAAGTAGGGCGAGTCTTCTTCATAAACATCAGGTTGTTTCTGAAATCAAGGTTCGTCGATGTCCATGTAATCCTCGTTTATTTGTGAGCTCTCTTCCGGTGTGTGTTCCTTTTCGCCTTCCGCGTTCTTTTCGTTTTCCTCTGGCATCGGCATCGCATTGAACCCGCAGTAAATTTCAATCGCGTCGGTCATGGGCTCGTTGTTTTTCCGCCTGTGTTCGAACACGGCAGCAACTACGTCCAGCCAGGTGTCGGTCTCTCTGAGGAAACGAAAGCCATCGGCATCCCCATCTTCCGAATCCTCGAAGTCAATCTCTCCCGTTAGAGGATCTCTCTCCCGTTCTAACGCATGTGCGAGCACAAACTCCTCATCTGCAATTTCCCGTTTGCTTTTTTTGCCTTGGCCCGGAGGGAGCATTGCCTGCGCAGGCTCCGGCTCCGCCGCGTCCACAACCACAGCATGAAGAAAGTTCTGCCCTTCTTCTTCAGCAGCTGTTTTCTCCTCGTTAATTTCTCCGACATGTGAGTCGTCATTTTTTGGTGTAGCGTCACTTGGTGTAGATCTCGTCTCGTTCATTTCTTGCACCCAGAATTTCATCGTCTTCGAGCTTTGCGTATGCAGAACGACAAAGTTCTCGACCCGGGTCTGGAGGTCGCACCTTTCGACTTTTGCTTTCATAATAGCATCAGCCATTTCTTTTTCTTGATGACATGCGAAAAATCCACATGATGGAGGAAGACGAAGAGGGCTTACGCTTCTATTTTTAATATTATGAAAAAAAAAAATGCATTTTTGATTTTATCCTTTTGCTTCTCAAGACGCGGACATCTTTGCTACATCTACATGCGTATGCTGGCGGTCTGTTTTGATTCTGGGAAAGATACGCATCCAAGCTCACAACGTCGCAGCGGCGTAGTTTCCTTGGTCCGTTAAGCACTGGGTGCAGGGTGGCCGCCAGCGGGCAGGAGGTGCGGATTCTTTTGAACAATTTTTGAAACCGCATTTCTTTTCCATGTTCCTGGGCGATCTTCAATAGCAATTTGAGGTCCTCAACGAAGAGAGCCGCTTCTTCTTTTGTGTCGAAGAAGACGTCAAGGTTTCTGGGACGACCGACGTCGTGCTCGTAGTGAGTCATCCGCACGACTACCTGGGTCTCGCTGGCGTCCTCCATCGCGAAGACTCGTCGCTTGCGTTCGAATACTAAACCATCCTCGTCCTCCCTAATAACTTCGCACGGATTCTGTAACCCCGTCGGGATGCGCCAAGTTTCGTTTCGATCCAAATCCCAGTCAGAGCAGAGGTCAGTGGAACCATGAATTCTTTCGTCGATTATGAAACTCTCGTCGGCCACAGTAATCGTGCGAATGTGAACGCTGTCCTTATCCTTCAACTCCTCGATTGGCGGCACTTCTTCGTCCTCCCCAGGGGTCCAGTAGACGCGGCCCCTGTTGTTCTTGCTCGCCGGTTTCTTCAGCAAATTGAAATTGCTGCCGAAAGAGAGAATGAAAGGTCCGACGTTTTCATTGGAAAATTCGTTGTCCAAGAGCGTGCCAAGTGTCACTTCCGCACCGGGTTCGTTTCGGTCCTCCGTGATAAACAAGTCGACCAGCTGCCCAGACAGTAAGGATACTTCGAAGCCCAAGGTGGCAGAAGAGTACAGCTCCCACCGACACCCATCGTCATCCCGATCTCCCTGGTACTCATCCTCATCCCAATAAGGGTGCTCACAGGCAGCTTTGGCTTTGAACCGACGAGTAAAACGGAATCTGGCTGTGTGTCCGCAGCAGTCTGGTCCGTCGTCGCGCTCGTTCCAGACCGGCCCCTTGCCGTCTCGGGTTGTTTCATTCAGTGGCGTGGCTTGCTGTAGTGTAGTGCGTGTTGGATTGTGTTGCCCGGAAGTTTGAACTCTTTTTCAAAATCCCTGCCGGCCTGCCGGATCGACTCCGCTTCGGAAACAGCGGCCTCTTGTTCCAAAGCGCGGCGCGATACGAGATCGGGCTCGGCCCTGGACTTGACCTTTTCGGACGCCACAGATTTTCCCACGGCGTAAGGAGCCTCAAGTTCAAGCAGGTCGTCAAGCGAAAGGTGGGAGCGGCTGCATTCTATGTCCGGAACGACAAACGGGGCAGCGACACCCGCCGCGATTTGTACACCTCCGCCGTTGAGGACACGAAAGAGTACATTGAGGCCGTAGTGCGCTTCAACAACGTCTGAAAGAATTTTCTTTGCAGTTTCGTGGATCCGGCGACAAGCAAACTGCAACGGATACAACGGTAGTATCGGAACCTCCGCATCGGTCGGGGGCTTGGGAGCGAAGTGTTCGTGCTGGATTTGCGCAACATATCTGATTTTTTGCCTGAAAAGCTCGCTTTCATCTAGCTTGCGCAATTCTTTCGATAATCCACAGCCGAGGCCGACTCGCGAGCCTAAGAACTGCAAGAATTTTACTCGGTTCAAAACCAAACTGACTTTTGGGTCGACTTCGAGGTCGAGACTGCTATCTTCGTCTCCGTCATCTTGCGACCTGTTCCGCGAGAGTGGTGTTGTCTCCATTTCCGTGCCTTCCCGCTCCGAGTCACGGAGGAACGATGAATCCAGAAGACCAACATCAAAATCCTCATCGTCATCACCGACATCAAGAATATCGTGTCCGGAAGCACCAGCGGAAACGCTTTCATCTACTAGCAGGGTGTCACGATGCTCGGCTCCGCCCGAGGGGGAGACCTTGTCCGAACCTGTTTCGGGAGAAGAGCAGCCTGCTTCTGGTGTTGCTGTCTTGCTATGGACGCCGGACCCGCCAACGGTGATTGAATCCCCTTGGGAGACGGTGAAGACCAATGGTAAAATTTCGAGGGCGGCGCCGTTTTCATCCTGGACCTTCTTTGTCTCTATAGGTGCTTCTATGGCCACGTTGTTCGGGTCACTTTCACTTCCGTGTTCAAGTTTATTCGCCGCTGCCCCATTATAGGAGGAGAGCATCTTCTGCACGAACTCATCGTAGTCTTGTCCACCGGTGGCAATTTTGAAAGCAGACCGTGACAGGAACAGTCCGTCTTCGTGCACTGTAAAACATTTGCTATTCTGCTGCTGCTCGGGGCCGTCGTCAACACCAACAGGAGCACGCTTTTGGTTTTTGTGTAATGTGCGGGTCGACTGCTCCGGCGTGGTCAGAAGCGCGCCGGTCGATTTAGACGCGGCCATCTCGTCGTGCGGTTGTCGTTTTTCAAAGCTAGATAAAAGGGGCGCTTCGGCCATTTTGGAATTACTTGCTTACTCACTTTTCGAAGATGACGATATAGTAGATGCGTGTTCTTTATGTCAAAGCAATCAAATCAGTAGATTCTGCGCAGTAGAGAGCAGCAAGCAAACGGCGTTGACACAGATCTGTAAAAAACTGACGTCGAGGCCCTCGGCGACCCGACATACTTGCATCGCACTGAGACAGACAACAGATCATCGCAATCAAAGTCAATCAATATTTTTGAAGAAGAAGATGTCCACTCTTTTTTACGCTTATGTATGATCCGCATCCGGCGTTTTTCGTTAGAACTTCTTGTGTTCATCAACAGTTTTCAACTGGAAAGGCACAAACGCAGCATGTACTTACATGATGAACGCGCAGCATTGAAATTCAAAAGCATTGAAGTTCCCTCAAGCCGAGACCTTATATCGAAGGGAAGCATCAAGTTGATCTGTTTGTATACGCAATGCCTGAGAAGTGTACATGTGTCGATATCTTTGCAGAATCCGCTTGACTTTATCAATTCAGTAAGCGATTTCTGTCAGAGTTTCGAGTCCGCAAACCTAACAATGCCAGTCCTTTCTATTCCTGTATCTCTATGTGATTCATGAAAAGTAGTTGCGCTTTCCGTTGTATACCCGCGCATCTTTTCGAATCGGTTTCCACCATAATCTTCACCACTGAATCCAGGCAGTCCCTTCAGAGGGATTTTGCTCCTCTGAAATGTGCCGATACCCTTGCCAACGATGACCTCCTGTGCTTTCTTTTCGCCGCGTTCTGCAGCACTGCCCTGCGGCTCCTGGTCCTGCACCGCACAGCTCCACAGCGTCGCTTCCGCTGTAATCAGATTCGTGGTCGCGTTTATCACCAAACCCCTGGCTTCCAACTGCATGCCCTTGTCTTCCGGTCGCACCGGGCGCATTAAGTAAAGCGAAAAGCTCGTGGTCAGCAGAAACACCTCGCGCTCGTAACTCTGCGCCGCAAAATACGCCGCGTCGTCGAGAAGTTTGAAGTAAACGGAACCGTGAAGCTGTTTCCCAGTATGGCACAGGTCTTGGCGGTTCGTGGTCGGCATCCTCAAGACTGTTTTTCCTTTCCCGATTGCCATGCGGTGAAGGTTTATGAGCCCGGAAATCGGCGCTGCAGCATACCCTCGCTCTAAAGACCGGTAATGCGCCTCGTCCTCGAGGGAAGTAGCTTCAGGTCCAGCAGAAAGAGGTGGAGCCATGGAGCGCAGTTGAGTAAAGTATTACGTCTTCCTACACAGAAAAAGAGTAGAACTCATCACAAATGAAGCAACGTAACTGCGTGTTGGTGTGAGCAGGTTTAGTGAGTCCCTGCAAATAGAAACCACAAGAAATACTAGCACTACGGGGCTTAAGCTGCAACCCTGCTTGATGTATTCTTCATCCAAGGGTAGAGGGGGCTACGATCACTGACGAATATTGAAACGACAGAGCGATCAGACGAGTATGCTGGATGTCTTGTTAAGCGAAATTTCTTGAGAAAACCGAACTGGCTAGACATAGAGATTCGGTCGACTTGGTTGTTCCTCTTGGCGACGGGCGACGGAAGGAAAAAACCGAACACAGCGAGTTCGTGAAATATAGTTGTTGTCGCTTTTGGTGACTTCGTAATCGTATTTGTCGAAAATAACGGCCAACAGAAAAAAGCAACATGATCGGGAGCTTTATGCATGTCCCAAGAACACTCTCTGCAGAGGCTAGCCCTCTCCCGAACAAGGCACGATGGATCGCCGTCCCAGGTTTATCTTTTTTTTTCAGAATTTGCACTTTACTTTTATTACCGCTATTCCCACACCGGAGAAGGTTCAGACTTCAGGATCGTTGTGAAACCAAATAAACAAGGTGACACAATATGTCTTCAGACTAAAATTTGAGTGTGATCAACATCATTTGAAAAAAAGTGAAAAGCATCGTATTTGTATGTGCTGTGTTCGATCATGTAAAGCAAAAACCTCGTCTCTAATTACGTCGTCAATAGCCAAGTCTTTTTCTATGCAGTGTGATGGAAATGCAACATGTTTCAAAAATAAAAGATTCGTACACAACTTCCATGTATGTATTCTGGATGTATTGACGCTTTCTCTTTATCTGAGTATGAATTGTTTATTTCGTTCGTGGCATTTTTGCGTGACACTGAAAATAATGGGCGAATCTTATCCCGCTAGAGGAGATGGACACCGCAGCTAGGCTCTTACTTAGTGTGACATGAGTGCAATTGAGATCACTTTTTATGAAAATTGAAAAAACAGAAACACGTCAGAAAGAGGAATTGAAAAATATCAGGTGAGATGAAAGCACTCCTCCAGAAGCGTTATTTATGAGACCATACGGACGATGAAGTTGACGCATAAAAGCAATTGATGAATTTATTCTGTTCGACGTTATCGCCTTAGAACGTGGTTGATGTCACAGAATTTTAGAGACAGATATGAAGATCAACAAACGTAGACTTTTATCAGATATGTTTTTCGTATATTCGCACCGAATCTCTTTTGTCATTCAGTCATTTGAACATGATATTATTTAGCAAAATACTTACTTCCGCATTTCGACCAGGACCCGTTGGTAACGCGAATTTCCCGTCGCGCACAGCTTCAAGAAGGCGCGCTGCTTGCTGTCCAGGCAGAACTTCCGCAATTTGACGTAGGAATCCAGAAACGCCGTTGCGTCCGTGACCTCTTCATGCTTCGACACAAACAAATCGAACAGCCGGTCGTCCGCGACGGAGTTGCCGAGCTGCAAAATTTCGTCCAGAATGTGCAGCAAATAGGGCGACTTCTTCCAGTTGCGCTCGAACGAAAGACGGCTCACCTGCTGGTTGAGCAGGTCTTGGTCATGCTGAGGGTGAATACCCGCAGTCGTGCCGCGCGGAGCGGACGTGTTATTCGGACCATGGTTGTTCATCACAGCAGAAGGTCCAGCACCACCATTCACGTTGTCGCTCAAGTGCGAACGGCGGCGACTGGACAAGTGCGCCTCCAGCTGTTCCCAGTGCGCCGTGTCGTTGCACAAAACGTGCAAAATGTTCTGAAATTCCTCGGTCAAGACCAGCACTTCATCCTCCAGAGAGCCAAACATTTGGACTTGCTGATCGCCCGTGTGCTGACCTCCAAGCGCTTGCTGGTCTTGAGCGAGTACTTCGTCGGCATCTACGGAAGTGCTGTACTTGGCTGCATTGTTGTTCTTCATCGTGCCCGGTGCGACGAGTGTAATAGTTTGGTCGCCAGTTTGACCACCAGCAGGTTTGTTCGCAGCACCAGACACAGTCGTCGGCAAAGCTCTGTTGCTGTCAAAGAAGTCGGCGATGAAATTCAGCACAAGCAACAGTCCGACAATCAGCAACCCGGCGAACCAGAAGATCAGCCACATCTGCTCCCGAAACAGCGCTTGCGTGTCGTAGGTGCCGGAATTCAGAAAAACCATCTTCAGCAGTGCCAGCAGCGCAGAGCTGGAGCGGGAAAACCGGGCAATCGCGTCTTCCGCCGTGTTCTCGTCGAAGTGATAGGTCGCGCCAGCACTTGTCGTTCCTGCATTGGCATTCGCGACATCGACATCCGCAGCAACATCCCCCCGGATTTCGTAGTTCCTGCCCACCGCGGCCACGGTGACCAGCGTTGCAGTCGTGAAAAACGTGAAGAACACCATGATCCAGCTGACTAACGATGCAGCCGTTCTCCAGACGCGTTTCGTCCCGGCGTAAAGCGCCTCGGAGAGTGTGAACAGCCGCAAAATTCGGACGAGCCGCAGCAGGTACAGAACGGCGAACAAGTGGTAGTAGTTGTGGTCCATCAAGTAGGCGAATTGGGTCCTCGTCGTGAACACTCCGTCCTCGCAGAGCACCAGTGGCACGATCAGCTCGGTGGACCAGGCGAGGACAAGAATGATTAAATCAAAAAATCCAGGAAACGTCGAGCAAACATTCTTCCAGTCCTGCGCGTTGCAGCGGAGAAGGAATTCCAGGTGGTAAAGGATGAAAAAGGTGAGATCCAAGCCGCGGAACGCGTAGTGCGCGGGTTCCGGGAGCTGCTCGATCGGCCAGTCGTACTCCACCAGCAAGGAAAGCATGTTCAACACGACAACCACGCAGCACAGAGTTTCAAACCAAGACTGCCAGAAGATGTTTAGGGCGCAGAAATCGGAAAAATGCTGCATCATTTGCGAGGACGTGGAGGGCTGGTTATGGTTGTACTGCTGTTGACGCTGGTTGTTGTCCAGCTGCTGCCTCTTTTTCACCATCATCATGTTGGCCCCCGCGCGGGGATTCTGACTCAAATGCTGGTCCATCATCATGTTCATGTCACGCGGCGGACTCCGCTCATTCAAGTAAAACTTGTTCGGATTCGGATTGTTCATCTGGAACTGCTGTTGCGGGCTGGCAGTATTGGAGTGCACGACCCCCGTCGTCGTGGCAGCTGACATCACCATTCCGGAAGGTGGCGGGCGTTGCTCGTGCGACCCCTCCACGTACTTGAAGCCGAAGCGGTCGCGCACAAAGTCAAAATCGTTATTGTTGTTCACGTACTGCGGGACGATGGCAGACTTCAAATTCCGGGTGGCCAGCTTCTTGTCCAAATCCGTGCGCATCCGGAGCTGCGCGACCGACTTCGCGTTGTAGCACCGAGCCGCTTCGGCTTGCAAGGCTTGCAGAAATGTTTGGTACGCGAGATTCGCGGTCAGCGCCACGGTGCTCAGCGCCCCGGAAGACTGCTGGCGACTGTACATCTCGTTGTTCTCGGGGTCGTCGTAAAGGAAATCGTCCCGGTCATCGTAAAAGTTTCCGTAGGGGGCGTGGTCGTCGCTCCGGTTGCGGTTCAACATCTTTTGCGAGGGTTGCTGCAGCTGTTCCTGATGTCCACCAGCGCCGCTGTTGTTCCGACTGCTCCGCTTGCTGCGGCTCTTTTTGTCCAGTCGGAGCGTTTGCGCGACCGCTTGCAGCAAGCTGCTGGCCGTGGTCGGGGGGGAGGAACTGCTTTCCTTGTCCGCGTCGGCTTGCTTCTCGTGGCGCTCGCGCTCCGCGCGCGCGGCCTGAAACAGCTTTTCGTCGGCTCCGAGAGCTACAGTCCCGTTTTGTTCTTTCAAATGATCCCGACGGGAATCGCGCTCACGATTCGACGGAGATGATTTCTTCGTAGTACCGCTCCCGTTGCGGCGGTAATCCATCGGCGTTTCGTGCCGATTGGTCAGCAGCAGTGGCGCGTCAGAAACCTGGCTCTCCGGGGTGCTCGGCTTGTTTTCGTAAGCCGCAAGATGAGCACTCTGATTCATTTGCGCGCCCAGGGCAGGTTGATGTTCCTGATGCGAGGAGCCGCCCCGACGCGGCTTGATGTCATCATGCATAGAAGAAGTTCCTCCCACAGTCGACGAATGATTTTGATTATTCACAACATCATGGACCACCATGTCGTTTTCCTTTTCCGGCGTGCGCGGCAGCTGAAAGTTGCCCGGCGGCGGGGTGCCCAGCGGTGTGTTGTACAACCCCCGCTCGGATTTCCAGCGCTGCCACTCCGCTTCCACGTCAACTTTGGGCCGCTGCTCCTCCTTAGCGTAGATTCCGGCAATGTTGGCACTGCTTTTGTTCTTCGACAGACCGGAACTACTCGGGCTCGCGCCGGAAGACGACATCGCTGCAGCCCGAGACCGCGGCGACTCGCTTTTCGCACGACGGGGCGAGTCGGTCTTGTTGTGCGGGCTGGTTGCAGTCAAGCCTGCTCCCGTCTTGTTCACACCGCCGCTGTTCGAAAGTTTCTTCACGAGGAACGTGCTGGAGCTGGGGTTCTTGTTTCCAGCATCAATTCCACCCTGTTTCGCGTTTCCGACCGCTTTATCGCGACTGGACATCGAAGAATCCGTGTTGGGATCGAATTTGAACGCGATCTCCTTGGCGCCCGTCTGCTTGAACAAAATGTCGCGAGACGAGCGGAAAAACAAAAAATCCTCTCGGTTGGCGTTCACAACCTTGCCGTCCACCAGAAAACCGGTCGGTTGCTGGTACTGCGCATTCAACGTCTGCTGCGGCTTGGGAGTCCCGCCAGTCGTAGCAGAGGGAGCGGTGGCCGCCGGACCGGCAAGGTTGCTGTTTTGAAACGAACTGTTGAACACCATTTTTGAAAAGGGATTTAGAAAAAAAGAAAAAAATTGAAACTGAATAAACTAGAAATAAGGCTGAGTAAGCTTGTTACGGGCTTTGGTAGAGACTACTCGACTCCTGTACTTGATGATTCCTTGTGATGAAAAATAAAAGCAGACGTTGAAATTACGGATGTCCGTGTAGAAGTTCTCTTTCTTTTGTGTTATTGCGCTTGCTCAAAATAAGCTGTTTTGTGCTTAGTATTATGTGAAAACGAGTCGAGTGCGTTCTAGCACGTGACTACACGGAGAAATTGGTAGTAGAGACGAGTGAAAAGGAAAACGTTTACGTAAGAAGTTTAAGTTGTAAAGTGACGAGATTGCTTGATCTATCTGGTAAGTATTTTTGCAGTCGGTATTGTATAAACGTATTGACTTTGCTTCAGCTTTCGGTTTTGAATTTGATACCTTTTCGTCTTTGTGAAATGATTGAAACGAGAATCCGAGCTAAAGTCGGTTTCTACTTGGCTTTAAGTACAGGAGCGTTTGGTGTGCTTTTTATGTGGGTGCCTGAAAGAAAAAATCACGAATCACGAAATTTTTCTGCAGAAGGAGCGCGCTTCAGTTTTTCCAGTCACGATGTTGACGATGAAAATGCGTGTTCCAAACAAGATAATCTTGCAGCTTCACGAGAGGGAGATGATGACCGATTTTTTCGATTCATGGTTTAGTGCGGCTACTGACCAGTGCGCCACAGCGTGTTTGCACCAACAAGGTGGTAGAGCTTGTAGAATGTACTTAAACTTAAAGCATGCGCTCGTCCGTCTCTCATGCTATCCACTCGATATCCACAACCACTTCGCATAGTCAACGCTCACTCGACTCTGGCTCGTCTTAACTGTAACTAAGTTTCTCTCCTGGTATTTCTCAAAATGACAGTTTTGAAATTTTGATAATACAGCACCAGCATATCAGAAGTAGCAACATGCATATTGCGCTTGCCATTCACATTCCGGCGTTGAGCGTCACCGTAAGTGACGTGTTCGTGCGGTTATTTCATCTGCGACTCACACGAGTTTTCTTTTCATCGTTTCAAAATCGTACTTCATCTATCTCCCTCGAAAAATCTCTACCGTTCTTGTGGACGTGACCATTTCGTCAATCGTGTCCATGCGCCAGGTGTGAAATTTGCTGGGCCGGGACACCCTTATCACGTACGTTTTGTGTGGGGCTGACTGCTGCCGCAGGGTGAGCTTGTACTTGTTCGTTTCGTAGTTTTCCCCGTGAAACACGTCCTCCGGCCGACGTTCCACGCCGCGAGACTCCAATTCCGCGTACATCTCCGCCATCAGAGTCTGCACACGCAGCGCCTCCACGTAGAGGAACCTGGAGGTGTGGGGATAGCTTTTACGTGTATTTCTATTTGCAAAACTAGAACTACAACATAGTGTTGCAGAAACATCAGCTGGTCCACCACAACAATGCGTATTCTACATCCTCCAGTCACTCGATGCAGAAGGAGTACTAAAGTGATGTAGCGCTTCATTCACATTCACATTCTCGCTAGTATATGTTACTACCCCTGATGTGCGACGAAGGCGGCCGGCGCGATGTACACCGGCCACAGGACCGTTCCCTGCAGGACGCTGGCGACGCAGCCGACGAAGGTCGCCGCCGCGAATAACGCGCCGATGCCAAACCGCGGCACGAAGAACCGCAGGGTCATGAATCCTAACGAGAGCGATCCCAGAACGAGCAAGATCTGGTTGCTCAAATTCTGCAACTCCTCTTCAAACGCCCTTCTGCGCTCTGCTTCCTCCTCTTCGGTAGGTGGCGGCTCCTGTTTCGGCTCCTCCGGGGGCTGTTGCTGGTAGTTGTTTGCATTCGGATTATTTCCTTGGCTGGTGCTCCCGGAAGCATGGTCAGTCCTTGCGGACGACGCAGCGTCTTCTTGGTTTTGTTGCTTCCCCCCTTCACTCGCTGCGCTGAATAGGCGTGAGTGTGGTCGTCCTGGTTTCTTATGGGTTCTTTGACTCACAAGTCGCGGAGGCGGTAAATGTATTGAAGCAGCATCTGGCGGTAACTCCCTGGATGTTGTACTGGTGGCAGCGATACAACTTAGAGCAGGTATGCTCAAACTAGAACAATAGCTTCTCCTCGGGGCGTCGTGCGCGCAGTGCTGCCGTGTTGAACTAGAGGATGTAGACATGGACGACGCCGAATGAGATGATCCGCAAGAAGTGTCGGAGTTGCACGTGACGAAGTTCCAATTTCTACCCCGCACCAGATGCGATTTATCGCTCTCCAAGAGGCTCCGCAGGCTTCTGATATGGCGCCTTGCGTCGATCTGGATCTGGCCCCCGTTCGATCGGCGACCATGATCAAGCGCGCGCCTCAACATGGCTTTCGTTTTCCGCCGCGAGAAAAAATGTGCTTGATGGCGGAAGAGTAACGATGGCGCCACAACTACTTAGACTTACGATAAAGAGCTAACGAGCATGATGATGAGTGGAAAATCAGGGTAACTAATCTTGCAACTGAAAGCACGGTTTATGCACACACACTTGGCATTCTAAACGCGCAGTACCCTGCTGCTCGTCTAATCTTTTTCCATACCGAAGTTGGCGAGCGTGGTGCACTTGCGTCAGCGCTAGATAAAAAAGTCCGCGAACATTCCGAAAACTTTCTCAACGCCTAGCAGCATCGAATCACGCAAAGCAACAACGAGATCACAATCAGTCACAAATTGCGGATCTGAAAAAGCATCATCTGACCATGTCCTCGCAACACCTTTTGTATGATCTGTAGGCGAATCAGAACAAAAAGCTGGCCGCTCGCGATGGCACTGGCGTCACAAATAACAATTCATCGGAGTTGTCCACCGCGTTCACTTGGCAACTAGACGTCGAGGAAGTTTACGTGCTTCAGCTCCTGTCAGTCTACATCTACCTTTCAACGACCGGTCTATGCGATAAAAATCCTTGGTCAGAAATCCGTCCCACCCGCCGCTGGGTTCATCTCAAAATATACGGATTTTGTGTGACTTGCGTGGTCCAAGGCTTCCTCGCCGAATTCCCGTCCGAATCCGCTTTCCTTGTAGCCGCCCACGGGCACGTTGGGCGCGTAAATGTTGTACGTGTTACACCAGACGATACCGCTCTGCAGCTTGCTCGCGACGTAGTGCGCGCGCTTCAGGTCTCGGGTGAAGAAACCGCTCGCGAGGCCGTACGGTGTGTTGTTCGCACGGAAGAGAACCTCCTCGGTATCGGAAAATTTGAACACCGAGGCTACTGGGCCAAAAACCTCTTCTTTCGCCAATGTGTGGTCATCTTGCACATCCGCGAAAATGGTTGGTCGCATGAACGCGAGGGGGTTCAGGTGCGGCGCCAGCCCCGTGGGAGCCTCGTTGCCACCCGTGACCAGCGTTGCGCCCTCCTGCTGGGCTTTGGTGATGGCGTCGCGGACCTGTGGTGGTGGATACGAGTGTATAAGATCCAAAACTGCGATCCAATGCATTCTATTTTGGTATTGATCAAACCAAAAGATACAAATTAGAGAGGGCCACAACGAACTTAGTACAACGTAGGACGTACCGAATCCGCATGCCCCACGTCCACCAGCGCGCCAATCTGCGTCTGCGGGTCCTGCGGGTCGCCTACGCGGAGCGCGTCGGAGTGCTGGATAAACGCCGCCAGAAACTCGTCGTAGATGTTCTCGTGCACGAATATCCTGGTGCCGTTGGTGCAAATCTCACCGGCGGAGTAAAAGTTTGCGATCATGGCCGCTTTCACAGCGGGGATGATGTCCGCGTCCTCGAAGACGATCAGTGGCGATTTGCCACCCAGTTCCAACGTGCAGGGTTTGATTGTGTTGGCCGCCATTTTGAGAATCTTTTGTCCCACGGGGGTGCTGCCGGTAAAGGAAATCTTGTCGACGCCCGGGTGTTCGCAGAGCGCGGAACCCTGCTCCGAGCCGCCTTGAACCACGTTGAAAACGCCGTCAGGCAACCCAGCTTCCGTGAACAAGCTCGCGAGGCCCATGGTATTTATCGGAGTTTTAGAACTCGGCTTCATCACGATGCTGTTGCCTGTGGATAATTTCGGGTGAGAGCAAATTGCCCGGCAGGTTGTTGCGCATGATAGATAAACCAAAACAGGTATAGATACTGTGTCAAGTTTAACGAAAAAAACATGAAAAATCACCTGCCGCCAAGAGTATGCTTGCTTTGTAAAGCGCCATGTTGAAGGGGTAGTTCCAGGCTACTATGGCGGCGCACACGCCGTACGGCTCGCGTAGGCACTGCGCGAAACTGCCATTTTATCAAATGTAAAAATGTCTGGGTCTGGAAGAATGCAAGTTTGTCATGCTCGTCTGGCATGACTCGGGAATCTGTGTTGCACAGGCACGAAAAAGCCCTCTTACCTGTCATGCAGAAACGCAGTTTGCCATGCGGAATACGTAAGACATGGCAGCCAAGAAATTTGTCATGCATAGCTGCGTATTGCAGTGCGTCTATCATTCATTTTTAGCATTACAAGTTTCCAGACCCAGACATTTTTGCACTTGATACATTTTCCAGCGGTATGATTTTTCCCTCGTGCGTGCTCGATGAGATACCTAAAAGCGGAATTTCGTGGAATTTTGCGTCTCGAAAATTGGCAGCAGGCACTACGTCCCTCGCCCGGGCAACATTGCCTTTGCCTTGCCCCACTGGGTAGAAGACCTGCGCGATGTTTTCTCGCCCTGGCTCCCAGCCGTTCATCTTTGTGTATTTTTTATTCTCGGCGTGCCCTTTTTTCCAGGTGCGCCGATTTTGTGTCCTGGGCCAGAAACGATACCCGGGGGGAGCGCGTAAGATCCAACTCGCACCAAGATAAAGCTTCGCGGGCTCTCAGGACAATAACAATTGCAAGCCATGCAGCGCCTCCCCTTCAATATTACCATATGCGTGGGGTCCGACAAGGGCCCCAGAGGACTAACACGACCTCCGACCTAGGTCGCGACCCACCCGGAAGCAACCCAAGACAACACAACTCTTCCAAAATCCGGGACACAAATATCCGATATGGCACTACACCCAAGCGGCACATTGCACTACCGGGCGCCAGAATAGGGGCAACAGGCGAAAAAGCTACAGCTCTCGAGCGGGTAGTCTACCCCGATAACCTGCGCCAGAGAACACGCCGGCTGCTGTCCCTGCGGAAAAATCTTTCACACAGCGACCGCACGGCTGTTAGCTACGCTCCTTGTCCGGCGCTGAGAATTTTTTTTTCTCCGAGAAATTCCACGAAATTCCACCCAAATTCCCTCATCGGATATGGAACTGTCAGGATCGAAATTGGCAAAATCGAATAAAAACTTGTGATGCATAAAATGCATGACGCGAAATACGTGTGTTGCAGAGCAGGCAAGTGAGGCCGATTGTAAGTCTGTTTGGGGTTCTAGCTCGAGCTGCTAGGGCAGCATGAGAGAATCAGTGTTATTTGCCTAAGCAGCATTACAAACTGGATTTAGGCACCACCAAAATTTGTGATGCGCCACTTAGAAACTGGGTTCGGACTGGAATCCATTTTATGCATGACAAATCATTTCGATTTTGTCAATTTCGATTCTGACACTTCCATATCGGATGCGCCAGCGGTATGATTTTTCCCTCGTGCGCGCTCGATGTATGGATCTGTCAGGATTGAAATCGTCAAAGTTGAAATAGTTTGTGATGCGTAAAATGCAAGGCATAGAGTGTCTGTCTTGCCAGGATGGCAAGTGAGGCAGATTGTGAGCCTATTCAGGGTTTGGGATAGAGCTGCAAAAGGAGCATGACAAGAGCAGTCTTCTGTGCCCAAACAGCATGACAAATTGGATTCCGGTGCTCCGAAAACTTGTCATGCGCCACTTGGAAATTGGTCTTCCAACTGGTATCCATTTTATGCATGAGAAATCATTTCAACTTTGTCGATTTCAAACCTGACGCTTCCATACGATGCGAGGTTGGCGTAGTACTCCAGGGTTTCTATTCCCGCCTCCACATGCGCTGCCGTCGTTTCTGCGATGCAGTGCCCGCTGTCTCTCGTCTCCATCACCGAGATTTCTTGCTTGTTCTGCCGCAGGATTTGCGCTGCCCGGTGCATCACTTTGCTCCTTTCCATGCCCGTCATGCTCGACCACTGCTTGAAGCCCGCGCGCGCAGACTCCACGGCGTCGGACACTTCGGAGGGCGTGGTTTCTGAGTTTGGGTTTAGAGTTTTTAAGCAGGTGCGAGCATTGTAGTAGTTGTGAACTTGAACTTGATGCTATCGATGTTTCATGAAAAACAAGCTGAGATGAACTCTTCACACCTACCATGTATTGTGGCGATCTCTTCATCGGTCGCCGGATTTGTGGAAACAAACGTGTCTCCCTCTCCGAACCTTTCCGCGCCGTCAATGTAGTGGCCTACTTTCAGCGCTTTCGAGCTCATGGAGCGGATGCCCCGATGTGCGATTCTGCCTGGTGCAGTCCACGGGGAGGAGGAGCGCGCTGACGAGAGCTGGCGGGAAGCGACAGGACCTCGTCTGCACACATGGTGCATCAGCGCAGAACTAGACTGTGACAACGCCGCCATAGCTAGGGTGAGTTGCTCGCTGGAAAAGAGTACTTCAAGACTCAGCCTAAACCTAATAAATATCACTGGGCGCTAAATAAATCAAACTCAAACGACATTCGACGAATATAGTGTTTGAAAAACGAAATACCCGAATGATATTCTTTATGAAAAGCGCAAACTGGAGCTTAGCTCACTTCACTGCAAAAGGCTGATCTGTCAAGGTCAGTGCAAAAAAAAAGCAGATCGCGTAGTGAGTGCGAGAACAGCCACCAAACAAATGATCAAATAAAACTGCGTATTGAGTATCAGTCACTGAGATCTAGTTGGAGCCATGGGAGCGACGTTTGATCTACTCTACGAGAGAGTTGGACCGAACGGCTTGGTCGATTCCGTTTGGGTTTGGTGCCTCCGCAAAATCCTAATCCTGCAGACTTCACCAAAACTTTTTTCCGAGGAGAGGAGCTGCAACAGCGGTAAACCAGAACACTCTGCTTTTGCCCTATCTATGCAAAGTGCCCGGCGTCAATCACCAGAATTTTTTTCCTTGAAAGAAACGCCCTGCTGTGTTAAACTTGACAGTATCGTACAAATCTACCGAAGTAGACCATTCGGCGGTAGAAATTTACGGTCATTGTTTTTGTCGCCAGTTCCGCTTCATTGTTGCTTGTTGCCTACCACAAACAGGAGTTAGTATCACCTCGCGGTCCGGCCATAGTAGTTCGCTGCTATTGAAAGCGCCACTGCAGTGACGGCCGTAGTGAGCGAGGCGATGGCAATCAAGTTCGTTCTTTGCATTTCTTGTTCCAGCATCACTTTTAGCTGCGTTTGAATGTATTTGCCTATCACGTGCGCCTCCACATTTACTCGCCCTCCTACTGGTTTTTTCGGCAGGGTAATGGCCTGCACGGTGTGGGGTATCAGCATTACCTGGGAGTGTTGTTGAAAGCCACAAATTGGAGGTTTTGGTGTGCTTGTACTAGTTGTACTTATTTCTACCGACGGCACACACGACAGTGAAAGGGAATCCCTCGAGGAATGTTCAGAGAGATGATATCACAGTGCGATAACAAGCATGAACATGTAAGAAAGTATCTACCTGAAAACTTTCCTTCTTCACATTGCATACAGTCAAACTAGCTCCGCCGATCGCGACGTAACCCTTCTCGACGATGAGGGGTCGGAGTTTGTGTGGCATTTTGAACGTCACCCACAAGTTGTCCCTATCCTGCTCCTTGGCGAGTATCGTTAAAGTATCATCCACGTGGCCCTGCACATCGTGTCCGGATATATCTTGCCCGACAGTGCAGGCTTTTTCCAAATTTACCGGGCTGTTTTCTACCAGATCGCCGAGCATCGTCACGTCCAGAGTGTGGCCTGCCGCTTGGACCTAGATTTGTTATTTTCGTTTCGGAACCTATCACAAGTGTCCGTCGCATTAGACACTTTGGCAGCTACGCGCAATTACCGAGTACTGTCGATAGAAGATCAATGCCCTTGTAGTTCATCCAGCGGCAAGCAGAGCGACGCAAACCATACCTGAAACGACTTCTTCGGCAGGTCGAATGAGACAACGGTGAGACATACGCCCTCCACACATATGCTTTCGCCCACATAGGTTTTGTCGCTTATTATCTTGTCCGAGGCTTTTATCGTGAACGTGCACGAATTTCCAATAGAGCCGTCCCAGAGCTTAACCTCCTTGGCGCGCTCCAATTTGGACACGGTGCCCATGTCTTGCACAATGCCGGTGAAGCCCATTTTGGTTTTTTTATAGGCGTGATTAAACTAGCAAAGAGAAAGAAGTTGAGAGCGAGGCAAAGGCACAAAAAAATGAAATCACAGATCACACGAGCGACACCCAGATGAAGCCTTGTGGGTGTGTGTGGGGTATGCTCATGTGCGACTGCGAGCTGCTCCCTTTGTTACGGTTGTGAGGGACTAGAAGTACCAATGGGTAACTGTCGGGAGTAGAAAGGACACAAAGATATATCACAGATATGCACGGTGTGCAGTGTTCGTTCCTGTTGTTTTGATGCGTGGTAGTTCGTGCTTTCTTTGGACCACACGAATTCAATTCAACCTTCCCTCTCGATCCGTGCATCTGTATGGGACTGCGAGATCATCCTTGTCACGAAAAATATTGAAATTCCAACTGCGAAGGAACCTGAGGCGTCCGCTTTGACCGAGTCATTAGAAACCAGTGGACTTCTTGTGAAAATCAAAATTCGATCCGTCCTCCTTTAAGTGCATGAAAATTCATAACAAGTACAGAACTCAAACACCTGGCGATGGGTGAACCACATCGAGTTCGTCGCCAGGCTGCTTTTTGCATCCATTAGTACGATTGGTCCAACTCCAATGAATCTGCTTCAGAGGTGCCGGGCAGGCATTCGGGCACAACTGACATTGCTTCGGCGCGACCGTTCAGTCGGCCGCGGCGTGGCAGCTAGCTTTGCTAATAGGCGGCGAAGCTAATATGCGCCACGAAGATATATGATGGCGACCTGCTCGGACCGGTAAGACCCGACGCGCAAGGCACGCCAAATAATTAATCGATCTACGTCGCTGGAAAGAGGCGGCGCCGGAGTGCGCGTTAATGAGGGAGCCAACACACACCACCCCCGCTCGGGCGAAACAAGGGCGCCCCCCGTCTGCCTTTCGTGCCGGGGGCCGCAGCGCCCGGGGCAAATTGCGCCCAAAAAGCGGGGCGGGGCCGAGGGCGGACGCGGGCGCGCCGCCGGCTGGCAAAATCGCCCGCCGCCGCCTGCAATCAAACAAGCAGGCGCCGGCAAATGCCTGCCCGCGGGGCCTCCGGCCCGGGCGCGGGCCACGGGGCGTCTTTGAACATGCGCCCGCGCCGGCCGCGGAGTTTGGCGCGGCCCTTCGCCTTCGCTTTTGCCTTCGGCCTACCGCCACCATTGGCCTTGGGGGAGCGAGGCCTGACAGGATCCAATAGGCGCCGGGGGGTCGGAGTTGGCTTGTTGTTCACCGCCGCCCGGCGCAAGCTCGGCCGGCCGACAACCCGGCCGGGTAAAACTTCCGCGGCGCCCCGCGCTGCCCCTTCCCCCTCGCGCCTGCAGCAAGGCTGCCGCCCGCCCCGGCGCGAACACCCGGAAGCACCAACCCCAAACAGCCTCGGCGCCGCGGGGCGGGCCCCGGTGCTGCGGCGAGCAATCACGGGGGCAAGCAACTACAAGTCCTTGCGCTTCAGGTGCCCCCACATGGTGCGCAGCCCTTCCTTTTTGGCATCGAGCCGCGCCAACTCGCTCGCGTCGATTATTATGCTTTCTTCGCCGTCTTGGCGGCGTTGAGTCTTTCTCGTACTTTCATGGCCGACAGCTACGGACTCAAGCTGTTGCCTTTTTTGTAGATGCGGTCGGACTCTGGGGCACTTGGCGTACGACTTTACGTCTGCGACGAAGGAAGGCCGTCGGCTTTTCCTGGCGCAAGTATGCGGATCCCCATTTTTTGCCCCCACTGGCAAAGTTGGCGGGCGCACGACTCTGGCCGTGCGCCAGCCCGAGCAAAAGGCGGGGGGCCGCGGGGGGGCGCCCCCGCCGGTGGCGTCTTCGCGGCTTTCGTTTCCCCCGCCGAACGCCACTGCGCGCCACTAGGCCAAAGAAAGAATGAAACAGCTTGAGGGCGGTGGCGTTCAGTTTTTATGTGCCTGCCCCGCACAGCCTGGTGGTTCGGGATTTGTCGAGCCGGGGCCGGACCACCGAGCCCCGACGCTACATCTGGCCCCCCGCGCCCCCGGGTCGGGCCGAGCGCGCTGCTTTTGCCGTGCTGGAAGATGGAACCGGGGCTCTTTCCACTTTTGGCCTTGATGCTCTCCTCGGAGAAGGGGCGCGGCCGGCCGTTGTTCGGGGTGGCATTGTCGGCAGTGCTGGCGGCGTGAAGGAACATCGACGGCTTCGGCGGTGCGAATGCCTCCGATATGACGCACGGCGCGCCGCGCCGGCACTCCACAAATCCCAGGAACACGGGGCCGCGTTCCCCGGGCGGGGCTCGGTCGCCGGTCCCGCCAGGCCCTGGCGCTGGGGCGCGACGCCAGAAGATAAGGCCCGCGCGCGCCATTCCGCGGCTGTGCCGCTTACTTTTCTAGGCTTGGCGGGCCTCCTTTTCGGGCACAGTTGCACGGCGTCCAGGTTGATGCGCATCGCCCTCAGACAGGTGGCGCGCCTGAAGGCCCCAGGTGCCTTCGTCGCTCTTTCTCCAGCACAGCGCTGCGATTTCGTACTCGTTCGGGAGCACATTGAATGGTAGCGCGTCGCCCAAACATAAACGCGTCTGCTCTTCTCGTACTCGGAAAGCATCCCCGGCAAAAGACGACGAAATGCTAAGCAGACACCAGGAAAAAAGCAAAGCTTGGCGCTTGCAGATCTGCCAACTTGGCGGGCGAACAGTCTCTTGCAACACCGAAAAACGCGAAACGCGAAAGCGGTTTTTGTATAGGATTGCTACCTCTGAGAGCATACGCCAACAACGGACAACTCCGGTGTGGGCGTTGGGTCGATGAAACCTAGACAAAGACTTATTCGCAGCGTTCTGTAGTCGTGACGATCGTATTTATACTAACATCTTCATGATGTTCCGAATCCTTTAAAATCATCATTCACTGCGTCGCCAGCAGCTGACTAACTTCATCCTTTCCATCCCTTTCCGAATCGTAAACCTTTTCCAAGACTTCCGTCGCCACAGTGTCGTCCGGTTCCACCAAATTAGTCCGCATCGCGTACTCCATGCTGTCCAGCGCGAAGTGTGGAAAGTCTCCCGGTCGGAAGAACGTTTCCGGCGACTCGTACAGTTCCTCTAACTTGTAAAACTTCCGTATCTCGGGCGTGAAGATGTGCACGGCTATCGGGCCGAGCCGCGCTTGAATCCACTGGTCGTGCCGCTGCTGCGAGCAGAACGGCCGCACAAAGGGGATCTCCAAGGCGCGCACAGTCTTGAACAGCAAGCGCCCCATGCGCACGGCGTGCTCGCTCGTCTGCCCCGTCGCGGTAATCACGTAACTGCCCACGTCCCGCCGCCCGCATTCCTCTAAATTCACAATCCGCACGTCCGTTGCCTCCTCCTGCAGCAGCAGGTCCCGCAAAAGCTCCGGGGAAGGGAGAACCCCCTTCTGGAAGTCCTCCGGGCGAACGCGGACCTTCTGGGCTCGATTCGTGTCCTCGAAGTCGTTCTGCAAATCATCCGTCATGGACCACAAGTGCCCCTTAGGCGGCCGGACCACCGGCTCCTGGAAGTACGCCCAGTCCTCTTCCGTGTTCGTCGTCATGTCGCGCGTTTCCCGCTCGAAGTAGTACTGCTGCGCTTTTTTCAAGAGTCGCTCTCGGTTCTCCTGGAGAAACAGCTGCGCCGGCGTCATCTTCGCGGTTTGCTCCACTGTTGGAATTTCGTCCTCGCTGTAATCGGGACTGTCAGGTGTAGAAGTTGCCGTGTCAACATCCTGTTCCGATCTCTTGCTTTTCAGAAACTTGTCGGAAAAGTAATCAAGCGAATCTCGCACCTCCTCGTGAATCGCCGCCTCGGCACGCGGCCTAGCCGGTTCATCGCGTTCACCTGTGGTTGCTGATTTGCTTTTCGCAGTAAAACCTTTTCCCCCCGACGCCGCGTCTACGTCATCATCATCCACCCCATCAGCAGAAGCGCAGGGCAAGCCGGTTTGAGGATCAAGGAGTCGTCCGAACTGGTCAACCAGCTCGATGTCATCTTCCCCTTCTGGTACATTTTGTGCAGCTGCGGCTCGAGAAGTTTCAGATGCAGTTTCTACTCCGACAGCCTCTTCCTGAGGTGAAACATGACTGTGATCATCAGCGGCACAGCCTACGCCGCCCTTCCGTCCCCTTTTTTTCCTACCAGTACCGGACGACGTGGATGCGAAGCTGCTGCTCTCCGAGATGACTTCCTCAAACAGCCTCTTTTCGCTTGCTTCCTGTGCTGTCGGAATGTAGCTGTCCCTGTCAACTGCGGAAAGCGGTCTTCTGCTCAAGCCTCTAACAACACCAGCAGTCGAGTGTTGATGTTCGTTCAGCCCTCCAGAATCTCGTCCCGCTTGATACAGCAGCAATTCCGCATCGAGATCCATGACGTCCTCATCTGCAGTTTCGTTTGTCGACGACGACGATCCACCGCTGTCATAATTGGTGATAGCGGATGAATGTGCGCCGGGAGCTTGTCCCTGATTTTTGTTCCGTCGGATCTCCTCTGTCAGGGATTCAATTTGCGCAAAACCGCGCGGAAGGCTGCTGCTCGACGAGGAGGTGCTGTTTGCGCTGCGCTGCACGCTCTGAGAGTCGTGCAGCATGCTCGGAAGCGTTGGCGACGCGAGAAGTGCTGGCCGACTTCTTGATGTAAATCTTCCATCAGCTGGAAACCGGGACGCGGAAGAAACGAGCCGCCGGTTAGGAGCTTGGTGCGCGCTCTTGCCGCGAAGATAGAGCATCCTCGTCGCGGCAATTCACTTGTTTTCGAGTAGGTAAAAGAATGGCTCAGAGGACGCATCAATTATGGATAGAAAATTGATGTCCAGAAGGGGCGTATGACGGTATTCTGTAGCGTAGACCAAACATCAGGATCGACAAATGTATTTCGGTCAACACAGAATGAGATCGTGAAGGACAAGGCAGATAAAAAGCGAAAGGGAACGCGCTGGAAAAATGCTCCCACTTCTACGACAAAGCTGCAAAGTTGCTTGCTTGCAACTTGCGATGGCGTCTTCTGCTCCTTTATTCCTATCCTAGGCTAGAAAGAAACGATAACGAATGGAGATTTCGATTCACACAAACAAGCACACAGTGTGCAAGAACCTGTTTCGCCTTCATTTTCGTTCGCTTTCACGGTGTTGACTAGAAGTGATTGACTAAAAGAAGTGACAGTGTGACGACTATTTCTCAATTTTCATTTTGATACTTGTAGCTGAAACGAGTGCGACGTCAAGACATTGGGCTTGCGTGGAGTGCGAGCCTCCACTTCGCCGGCGCGCCCGGTCTGCTATACATTTGCCATGACGCCGAGTGCGATTTTCTGCAGCGGCGTCTTCGGCCCATCCACGATTTCCTCGCGCGTTTTGTGGCCGAAGACACTCAAAACTTCGCTGGCCTTCGGAAATCGAAGCGACTTGCCACGAAGGGTCTCGAAAAGCGTCGGAGCTAGGGCTTTCTTCTTTACCGTTGTTTCTTCTGCGGGAGGGTGACATGTAGCGTCTGCAGCCTGATGAATTGATCAATCTTTTCTTTTTCCCTGTTGAGAATCTGCAAACAAGCTATCGCAAAAGGAAACGGGACACAGACTTGCAATGCCAGTATGTGAAGAAAAACAACCTTCACAATTTCTCAAAACATCCTTTACCAATGCTCCCGGTTTGTCCAGTAATGAATCCCTGCTGCCCTTCAGCCAACACGTGAACTCTACCCCAACCGTGACCGACCAGAACTTACATGCCGGAATCAATCTGCACACCTCTGCACACAGTGCGGCGCTTTCGCTCGCGAAGTGGTCGGAATGCGAACAGTCGTCCTGAAAACAGCCCTTCTGAATTCCGAAATGCGCGAGATTCAGAAAGATCCCTTGTCCCTTGACGTACTTGTTCTGATGCACGCACTTTGGCCACAGGGTCAAATCTTCCTCTTCGCTGCACTCCAAAGTTTGCTTCACATACACGTCCCATTCGCTGGTCGCGTCAAAGTACTTCGTGCTACCCTCGATCTGCAGTGCGATCAGCCGTCTCAACGGCCCTTTGGCGTTCGCGGAAACCGTCAGACTTTCGACGAAGAGGCCCTGTTCCGCGCCTTGGGTGTTCACGACGCGGATTGGGTCGCCGGGTTGGGCGACGAGCTCTAGATCCGCTGGTCGCTTCTGAATCCACTCCTGCGCGCACGCAGGCGGGCCGGACTTGCTCGTCTCGGCTTGCTCTTTAGAAGCTAACGCATTACTAGTCGTCCCAAAGGCGAGTTTTTCCATTTCGAGCGTGATCAAATTCTCCTTGTGGTAGTGCTGGAAGGACTCTTTCGTTTTCAGAATCGACGAGAAGGACACACGGTCGAACGCTCTTTTGTTCTTGAACGTCGCTGGTACCATCTCCGGACCGAGCGAGACGCCGGAGTAGATTTTCTTCGGCGTGCTGATCGCGGGCAAAAGGTCGGCGTGCGCGGTTACGTTCTGTTTTGCAGCTAATTCAGATGAAACTGCGCTGGTCTTCGCGTTTGCCTCTACGTCGACCAGACTGTGGAGCTTCTGCTTCAGCAAATCCATGTCCTTTTCCATCTGCTCGTAGACGCGTAAATACTGCTTCACCAGTCGCGCCTTCACCTCCAAGGGGTCTTCACCCTCATACAAAAGCAAAACGACTTTCCGCAAACTGTGTACCTTGAACGGCTGCTTCAAGTACTCGTCCAATCTGTTTGTCAACGCATGTAGATCGGGCGCCGGGTCCTTCGTTGTCATCTGCGCCAGCTGCTGCGCCAACGCACGGATAGTATCCCTCTTCACGAATTCCTTGGGCATGGGACAACACCTTTCGTACGTGTAGCTGCTGCCGTCGAAACACTCGTTGGTGCCCCCGATGGCTGGTGTTGCTGTCGACCCGGCACCAGCTCCCTTCCCGGCACCGGCTTCGTGCACACCGAATGGGTCACCCTGCCCGACTCCGTTGCAACACTTGTGAAAGGTGTACTGCTGGCCGTTCCAGCACCTGCCGGGGTCGAAGTCCTGCACTTGCAGCTCCGTCTTCATCAGTTCGTATCGCGTTTCGCTCAGAATCTCCTCCCACTGGGCCCACTTCTGCTTCAGAACCTGCTCCGCCTGGAGCTGCGCCTTGGCGTCCGCGTGCTCGGCTTCGACACGGACCTGGTGCCGGCGGCTATCCAGAATGGAGGAGAGCGCTTTCAACTTACACATCTCCTCAAACCGCTGGAACAGCGGCCAGTGACGCAGCTTGTGACGGTAGGCGTGAGTCATGCGCCGGCCGAATCTGTAAGGATTGCGACTGTGGAACAATGCCGGCCATTTATTTTGAGGTAAAACAAAACGGAACAGCAAGAGCAAGCTGCACTTAACATAAAAATTTGAAAAACTTAACAATACCGCTTCAGCGGATGCACTTCCCCCTCTTCTTCCAAGAACACATCTGGATTCCGTTTTATCAGTTCGCGCACCGAGTCGACCAACTCCTGCTTGTCCACCACCAGCCCAAAATCGAACCGCGGAATGTGCACGTTGGGGTCGTAGTTGCGTTTTTCCAGGAACCGAATCGTTTCCTTCAGCTTTCCCAAGCTCCAGTTTTCGATCTGTAAAGGTTCCAACTTCTCCCCGTCGTTGATCTGGATTTCTACCTGGTCCTTGAGCGTAAACCGCAATCTCCCATCGAAGGAGATCGACTGCGTGTACTCGACCTGCGAACACTCCAGCCACACCCGCGGGACCTCCCAGGGCTCTCCGACTTCCACTTTGTTCACCTCCAACCCTAAGCGGGAAACCCGCTGCTGAAACGGTGCGAACGCACTGATTTCGACCTGCGCGGCAATCTGCTGCAAGAGAAAGGCAAGGAAGGTGAGGGTCTGCTCCACTTTGGTCCGTTTGATTTTCATCACCGGTTGGTCGTTGGCGTCTGCGGTTCCAGCAACCTGCCGAGGCTTCAACAAATCCTTCATATTCGTATTCAATTTCTGGAAGACGTGAAAGGGCGCGATTGGATCCACGGTCGCAAACGCCGGCTCGCCGGGGACGACGGTCGTGAGCAGCATCGCAATGTCCTCGGCGTCCAACAGCGGTTCCTGGCTCAAATCCGAGCTGTGGCCGCCGAGCAAGTACAGATGACCGGTCTCGGTGTCAAATTCCATGCCTTCGATGTGGGAAAAGGAATTCCCGTCCTCGAGAAACGTATCGACCAGTCGGTAGGAGGCGAGGTAACGCTTCGACACCTCGTCGATTTCCTGATCGTCAGCAGTTGTGCTCGAGCCACCTGCTACGGTCCCGGCGGAAGTAGATGTAGAGTCTTTTACCTCTTGCCCAACTTCTTCCTCCATTTCTTCTACCAATACCGTCTCCCCCTCTGTAGTTTCTGCGTTCTCTCCTCCTGTCGAAGTCGATGCGTCTGACACCGTATCTCCCACTTCCGTTATCTCGACGAAAAACGACGACCCGGCTTGTCGTTCCGCCGCGGACCGGCGCCGTTTTTGCTTGTCCAGGCGGCTCTCGTTCTCCAACACGGAAAAGAAACCGTTGTTGTCGAAGTAGTTCGCGAGAAATTTCGGCCGCATGGTCTCCTCCATGATTGCGAATCCAGACTCGACGCTCGACGTTGTGGCCACCTGGTTCAGCAAATTGCCGTCTTCCACTGTCGACGACTTTTCCCCGTCCTCCATGACCAGCGCTGCCTCCATGGCATCGTACCGGGAAGCGTCGAAATCGAACGAGTGCTGGAGCAAATCCGCCTCGTACTTCGCGAAGAGCAACTCCTTTTTCGAGAGAGGTGCGACAATCGGGTCCAAGGCCATCACGGAGGACAGATATGAAAGTGCACAACTCCCCCTCCCCCTCATTTGCAATGCAAAACCCCTAATCCAGGCTGTTCGGTTCCTCTTGGCACTATTTGCATGACAAGTTCTGGTAGCCCAAATAGTACTATACTCCAGCGCCAATTTGTCATGCAAAACCGGCAGTCTGACTGCTGCTTGTATAATTGCCGCTCATGCTATACAGAAAAAGGGGAGGGGGAGTTGTGCACTGTCATAACAAAAACGCCTCCTGCAGCCGCCCGGTCAGAACGTCCGCGAACAGCATGTCGCCGATCAAAATCGCCGGCGGGTGCCACACGGGAAAAAATTGCTGCAGATTGCGAAATATGCATGGCAAAAGTATCTTATTAGTATATAATTGCATCACAATTTTTTTCAAGAAAAAAAATGGAATTTGTAATGCTGATTTACATATAAAAGGCATATTTGTCATGGTGCATGATAGCAATTACTACGAGTGCGATACTTTTGCACAGGATACGAAACGCAACGAACTGCTTCACCAGCTTCTCCACGTCGCCTAACTGCCCATAATTCCGGAGCAACGAGGTTCGAACCCGCAACGCGGTGCGCATCAAGACGAACCGGACGTTCGGCGCGACGAGATGGGCGGCGATCTGCATCGCGGTGTCCAGCATCTCCAGACTCGCCTTCTTCAAAGCGTAAATCATCGCCACCTGCCGCATTTCCGCGGAGGCTTGCAGCAATTCCGGGATCAAGAAATCCTGCTGCCAGTCGTCGTTCCCGCAGTGTTCGTCTAGATTTTGCAAGGCTTTGTAGAACCAAAAGCCCGCCTGGAGAAAAGACCCGACGACCTGGCTCTGCATGTCGCAGTAGGGGACGAGGTCGAGGTAGCCCAAACCTATTTTCACCGGGTCCCACTCCGTTTCGTTGAACTGGTTCCACTCGTCGCCCCACTCCCTTATCATCCCTGTTTCGTAGCTCATGTACGGGCGGAGCGCGAGTCCCGGAAAGCTCAGGTGCGGAAAGACCGGCGTGGTCGGCGGGTCGTGAAGGGGCTCCAGGGTCTCGAGGGTTTCGGTATTTTCTTCCACTAGAATCCTTTGGAGTTGCAGTGTCTCGGAGAGTTCCGCGATTGCCTTTGCGGCGGACTCGTGCAGTTCGGGGAAGCCGGCGCCCTGCCACAACATCTCCTCGAGCTGCTTCAAGGACCACATCAGAGGAGAGGCGGCGCTGAAAAAAGTAATATGTCAGCTCATGTTCAGTAAAGACCTGGTGTAGTTCTAGTTCCACTTTCAGCTCGAAAATCAATCGGGTGCTCGCTTCTTTAGGCGAGCGAGTAACTGTTTGGACGTACTATCTATGCTCCTGCTTGTAAATAGCTGGTGAATAGTGTTTCAACTTATCACCACCAGAGCTCGAAGAAACAAAACCCTTCTTAGCTGTGAACCAACGAGCTCGGGGAGTAGTCTGGGAGAAGGAAAGCCGAAGCCTTGAATCAACCCAGGCTTCAGAAAGGCGCAGCACTACCTCCTCATCCGTACTGCACCGATCAACCTCCGCACAACCACAAGGTCCAAAACAAGCCGCCTCTGCTTGCCCTTCCTTGCGTCAGAACAGGCTCCATAAAAATGACAGGTCCTAAGCAAGACGCCTCTTCTTGCCCTTCCTGCCTACACCACTTGAGTCGAAACTCTAGTAGCGGTACGCAAACGCCACCGGGAAACACAGGAAAACACGGAGTTATGCCCTGCATCGCCCAGTTGCCTCCCTAAAACCCTTGACCCTACCCTGAAACCCTTGCTCCCCCCGACCGAGACTTAAAAAAAAAAAAAAGAACCCGAAAGCTATCGACCCTTTTTCCCTGCTCTCCCCCCCCCAAATGATTTCCCTTAGCCGGCTCCAGAGCACAGAGCGGTTAGGGCAGAGATTGTTGTGGTTTTATACGAGCAAAACAAGCGCTAACCTAACCTACTTGCTTCTGTCGAATGTTTTTAGTCTTAAATGTCTTCTGTCGAATGTTTTTAGTCTTAAATGTAGGTTGCGCTCCAGGTCCTTCTGGAGCCCGGCAATGCCGCTTAACTGTGTTTTTTGTTTAAAATAGAATGTTTTTTCCTTGCACATTTAAAAGTTGAATCAGAACAAGATCATGTACTAGACAGATGATATTGATAACTCCGACGTTCGCATAGCCATATTAGGTGGTCGTCAATGAAGACGTTATGATTCTCTTTTTGGTTTACTCCGTATTAGGCTTAGGCACCAACAAAAAAAGCAGGTATGTTGAAAGAAAAACAACTACCTCTCTCGCCTCCACATTCCTCAACTTTTCCTTAACCCCGTCCAACTGCTTACACAACCTCCCATTCTCCGCCAACAAATTCGAAATCTGCTGGGATAATTCCAGTTCTCGGTCCGTGAAGTACTGTTTTGTGTAGTTCAGCTCCTCCAGGACACTCAGGTCAGTTGGCCCGAGCCGCAATTTCCGCGCCGTAGACAACGGCGAGGTCGCCACCGGCCGCGTGGTGGCCGGCGCGGCACCGGTGGGTTGGTTCGTCTTGTTCGGCATGGGGAGAAAGGAATTCGGCCGGGACAACGCGCTCGTGGGGGTTCTTGGGGAGCGGGGGACTCCCGGTGTCGCAGCGGTGGTGGGTGGTCGTGGACTGCGAGAGAGTCGGGCCGCGGAAGTAGAAGGGGTGGCAGCTGCTGCACCGGAGGACGAGGACGTCGGGGCCGCGGGGTTTAACCCGCCTCGACCACGACTACTACCGGGAAGCATTTTGATGTGTCGGTAGTTTGTCTTCTTATAATTTGGGGTTCAAAAAAAAAAAGGTTTTGCCGTAGTTTTGAACAAGGTACGACAGGACCTTGAGCCAAAAAAAAATCATTCAGCTCGAAAATCAACATGTGTGCTCGCCTCTAGGTGGGCGAGAAACTGTCTGGGCACTGTCGAGATTTCTGCGAGTAAATGTCTGCTTCAGAGCGAAACTCTAAAACATCTTGCAAGGCGAGGCACCACCCGTTTTAGCGGTGACCGGCCTCGCAATTGGAGTCAGCCAAAGCAACCTCCTCATCAGCAATGGCATACAGAACAGGTCAGCGGCTTGCTGCCTGTTCAGCCCCCGACAACCTTCGGGAAGTATCTCAGCGTGAGATCTTTCGAAGTCAGGCAGAAACGCAAGACCTTAGGTTCCGGAGAACCAGACAAGCTACAACAAAATGTCGTAGCCCGGTAACCTAGACGCCGCTGAACTTCCTGGGGAACCGAAGTTATGTCCAGGTCGAAAATCAAAAATAGAAACTCTAATGCTATTTCATCAAAAAGAACGCTCCTTAACGTTCCTGTCTGCCGGGCTATAAGTACTTCTTTTTCTCCGCATCCCTAACTTGTGGAGTTTTCGCCGCGTCGCGCGCCTCCGCCCGCTTTTTGCTCAGACACGTCCTGTGCCGCTTGTGCTCGAATTCCTTTTCTTCCTTCTTCTCCTGTTTCTCCCTCGGTATGAGCGCCCGCTCTTTCGCAACCTTGTCCCGTTTTTCCTTCTCTGCCTGCTCGCGGGACCTCCTCCGCTTTGTTTTATACGACGGTTCGTCGTCTTGCGCAGCTGTTCTCCATTTTCGCTTGGACTTCTTCTTGTTTTTCGCCGCCATTTTGCTTTTGAACGCTCTGACCCCGATGGGCGCGTTGTACTTCGCCTGCTGAATTCCGAGGAGCCCGCTGAGACCTTGCACGAGCTTCCTGTCGACGTCCGCGGCCTCCGTGAAGTTCGCTTTCGTCTGCGCGTGCGTCGCGAGCTTCTCCCGCACGAACTGCTCCAAACCGACCAAAGCACAGGGGTCGAGCGGGAACGCCGCGTCGACGACCTTGGAATACTGAAACTCGTTGAACCGATCGGAAAGCAAGCCGTACGTGTTCTGGTTCCGCTGTTTGCAGTGCGGATCCGACATTTGCACTTCCGTGAGCTGGATGCTCTCCTCCAACTGCGCGACATCCACGCCACCGCCACCGCCTTCCGCCGCCAGGATGGCCTCGAGCTGCTTTGCGGCATCGGGGTTCCCTTCTTTTCTCGCGCGCTCCAGCAGTTCCAGTTCTTCGGACCGGGCGATGCTTTTGAGTTCCCGCGCGAAGGAAAACAGGCGTGACTTGGTGCTCGTGTCGCCAGCGATGATTTTGCCGCAAGGGGAGCAAGGTCGCGACCGGCGGGTTGAGGAGGAGCCGGCATCGCCGGTCTCTTCATCGACTGTGGGGCAAGTGTACGATCGCCCGTCCCACTGCACGCTGGCAATCTCTTCCAAAGCGCGGGCCATCTCGAGAAGGGAGTCCGCCTCGACTGATGTTTGGAAAAAAATCAGTTCTCGTGTTGCTATGCATCGAGTAACTACGGGAAAAGTGTGGCACTACACATGCATCATCGCGATAGAAACAACGAACGCCAAGCTCAGATCTCTGAATACTGCTTAATCATCAAGCCAATACGCGCAGCGTCCTTCACCCCGCAGGCCTGCAGCGCCAAGTGCATTCTCCGATGAATAACGCGCTTGCTCGACGCCGACAAGGTTGCGTTTTGCGCGTGCACAGAGGACCACACCAACCTGTTCGCCGGGTGCGTTTCCTCCAACAAAACCTCGTTCAGAGCGTCGTCGAAGGCCATCTGTGTGTTGCCCTCGAACACTTCATCGGGGTCATCGAACCGGATTGAGTTCTCGATCGCCTCTTCTTGCCAGCCCTTCATGGACTTGTAGATGTCCTCCGACAGCCTTTTCCCGGCTGACAATTGCCTTCCTTCCTCCACGTGCTCCTCGCTCCTGCTATCGGCGAAGTCGTCCTCGGAGCCGATTTTTTCGCCCTTCATCAATGCATCCTTCGCGAGATTCAGCATGCGCATCTGCATCTCCAGTTGCGCATTCTTCCCGTACAGGTTCTGATTTATCCGCAGCGCCAGGCGTCTGTAAGCCTTCCGAATCGAGTCCGCATCGGTCTTCTGCCCACCCGCCTCTCGGATTAAGCGGTCGCGAGCGAAACCGATTTCTGCGGTTTCCATGCGCGAAAAGGCGCTGGCGGAGACGAAAAGATGATTGAGGTTGGGAGCAATTGGTCCCAGCAGCAGAAGTGCTGCGCGGAAAATTTTGCAGCACGAACACATGGTGCCTGGAAGCGTCTTATTTTCCCTGGTGCCCCCGGAGCGTCTCATGATTCGCCTTCGGTGACTGGGAGAAGAATTGAGGCCCGAGTCACACGGGGTCCGTCGACAAACGGCTTCTCCTCGTGACCTGTTGGTACTGCGTGTCAAGTTTGTTCTGTCGTCGGACGCTCAAGATCCGCTTGCCGTCGTTGCATCATACCGTTTTTGACTGCGCACGAATCCACGTGGGTCAGAACGTAGCATTGCCGTGTCCACTGAAACGGCTCGAGCCATCCTCTTTTACTTTGTTCTCAAGGTCCAACAAAAAAAGCTCACTCAAAGCGATCTCATCACAGACTTCGATTCATTGCATACTTTTACTTGTACGACGCTCTCAAAAAATAACACAAGAAACTAACAAAAGCAAAAGGGCTGCAGGAGGGCAACTCGCAAAGCACAAAGAAAAAGATCTGATCTTGCGCACATGCGGAATCAACAGCACACATGCTCATGTGGACGAATACACAGACGATCACATCGAATATTCTGCAACGGGTTCACCGACACGGACAATTGGATCGACAAAAGATGACAAATAATCGTGATCTAAATGACACTCGTGGGAGGTATGACCAGATTCTGTACCAGTTTGAGTTTGTGCTAGATCAATTTCTAGGACCGACGTTGACACCAAGCAAGGTTTCGACGTGCACTTCTTCAAGAAAAAGCCGAAGGAGACAAATGAGTGTTCGTCGGCGTCCCTCTTCGAGATTTGCAGAAAGCATGTCACTTTTCTTGTGCCACGATGCAGTGGCTTAAACAGGTTCTGAATCTGTACAGGATCCACATTCGCGTGGGCTGGATCCTTCGACAAGGTTTGCAACTGCACAGTGAACGGAGCTCCTAAGTTCTCAAAGCCGCAGCTGCGGTACAGACCCAGGGCAGCATTGTTTGTCGACAGTGTCCCAAGTAGACACACGTCGTAGCCTTGGCTTTCTTCCGTCGCCCAGTCTGTCAATGCGTTCACCAACACTTGCCCCAACCCCTTCCGCTGGTGTTCCTTCGCTACCGTCATGCGTAGAAGCTCGCACACTTTCACATCCGCTCCGAACTTTTCAACGAGCTCCTTCGGAACAGCAGTCTTCGGCTCGACGGGAATGCATCCGACGAAGCCCGCAATGGTTTCGGTTCCATCGGCGCCTTCCGGAACTACGTGTACAACCACCCAGAAATTCGCTCCAGGCCGGTCAATGTAAGACCCTGCAATATCCGCCATGTCGGTCTGTAATTTGTCGTCTACGTACCAGCCATTCGCGATCCTCTCAGACTCCGTTTCGCCACTCTGTCCCAGCCCGTTTTTGTACAACGAACGGACGGTGTGGGAGTCAGCAGACTTGAACTGGCGGACTCTGTAGCTCCGATGTGTCGATGTGCTGCTGTTACTTTCAGGTGCACTAGCTAAAGAAGCGCCGCCAGCAGCACTTTTGCCGAGTGGATCATCAAGCGTCATCTTGTTTGGTCTGGGAAAAGGAGGATACCGGCAAGGCTGCAAGCAAGAACAGAAGACACTAATCACTATCAGTCAATAGCTCGTATTTGATGACAGAAGTAGATGGTCAACTATCTACTAGGCAGTGCGCTTTCCGTCGATGTCTATGAGCACCGGTTATTACTAGGCTAAGGCCTTCAGGATCTCAGGATGATTGGCTCTCAGGATGAAAAACCGTCAAATGAGGACGTTGAACAGCGACTATGCTGAAGATCATGCTGATGCGCCAAAGAGCATCACGCGAATGCTGCTTTTCCTTCCAGCAGTGATGAATCTGAAGCGAATGATGCCGATCAGAAGCCTCAATAAAGCGTCGCAACTTGCACGCAGTTCTGCTATTTTTGCGCTCCCCCATGTTCCTCTTCGTCCTGTAGGTCCACCACAAATCTTCTTTTCACGTCGTCCGCGGTCCTGCCACTGCCCCACGCGTCCCAGCCATCGCCCATGCCGACCCGCGTTTGTCTCCTCTTTCGCCGCAAATTTTGCGGCCGGAGGAAGTCCAGCCTGGTCTTGTCCGGCTCCGGCTCCAATCCCCGCTCGGGACTCCCTTGGTAGTACTTCAGTGCGTGCAACGATTTCACAATAGACGCCGCGGAAGCTACGGATATCAGTGCGGGGCGCATGGCGGAGAGCATTTGCTCCTGCTCCTCGAGAACCTTCTGGGTTTTCTCGTCCCCGTTGCCGTCGTTCTTCAAGAATTCCTTCGCCGCGACGCTGTTCATGGGGTAGGTCAACGGGAGGGCCAGTCGGGAGTGGAGTAACCGTGCGCAGATCGTTGCTCGGGCAAAAAACGTGGAGAGTCGCGCCTTCTCCTCTTTCGTAAAGCGTTCGGGGAGCGAGCTTCGGACCTTGGCACGATGGGACGAGGTGGAGGAGGCAGACGATGTAGAGCTCGATATTGTTGACGGAGATGCGCTGCTGAAGGCACGCAGGTTTTTCTCCGACGAGGAGAGTTTTTGCGCCACAGGCTGCGATCGGTGACAGGCAGACGAGGAAAGCCGGCAACGAAGGGCGAGCGGTCCCATGTTTGAAGTGTTTCCTTGCTCCTATTGCCTTAAAATAACGTCTTGACTAGGTCATTATCACAGCTGCATAAGCATATCTACCCAAAGTATAAAAGGAAAGCGCCTTTCGACCCAATAAGATCAGAGCCAAGATTTCTTTTTTAACGAAGCAGCCGAGACACTAAACGGAATCTTTAACGCACAGAAGGAGGGGCTTGAACAAGAACAGGGTGCGCGTATAGTTGTAGAGACACAACTACCGTGCAGGTGCCGCCGATGCAGATCGTCACAGACACACTGTTTGACCATTGTCGTTTCTCTTTCTTTCATTTTTTCTTCATTCTTCACATATACAAGCAAACTTAATTTGTTCTCGCTGCTGCCCCAGTTTTCCATTCCCCACCGATATCGTTTTCTTCACAGTGCTTGATCGAAAAGGCGATCATGTCTGCCTGCACTTTCGATACGGTCATGGAGCAGGGCGCTACGAGATTTTGCGCTGCCCACTCCGACGGCTTGTTCGCTGCGTTTGGGTCCTGCGTCGCCGTCGAAGTGGTGTCCCTGTCCTCCGATGCTGCTAAAAGGTTCGCGACAAACTTTTGCGTGTCTTCGGTACCTAGGTCACCCGCTTTGTTGGCATACCTGACAGCAGTGCGGTTTTCTACTTCAAGTGGTTTTCCATTCTACTTTGAAGTTTACATACTCGCAACACCACCGTGAGACAGCAGACCAAAAAACAATTCTAATTCTTCTTACCAGTCCTGCGCCGTCGCGTCTGCTCCCGCGCGAATCAGCAACTTTGCGATTTGTGTTGCGTTCAACCAACATGCTAGATGCAGGGGCGTCCAGCCGTCCAACCCCGGATGACTCACGTTGACGTCGGCCCCAGCCTCCAGGAGCTGCTCGCAAATTTGCACGTGACCGTTTTCCACAGCGCGGTGCAAAGGCGTGTAGAGATCAATGTCGGGCGCGTCCACGGAGTAGTTCAGGGAGACCGCTTTCTCTGCTTCTTTTCTGCTTGTCAGCAGTTGCTTCACCTCGCCACCGTTCCCGGCAACACAGGCGGCATGCAAACGAGCCGCGAACGTTTCGGGCGGAAGACCATTGGCGATCGTTTCATCCATTTTGGGTGGTCAGGCTGAACTCAAATGTGGCACATTTGGATTTTTTGCAAACAAGTTTTTACACTTCAAGGACAAAGAGAAGATGATTTTTTATACAGAGGCTCTAACTTAAAGTTCGAGCAGAAGGAGAACTGCGTCAAGCTTTGTAGTTTGGGTCCTGTAGGTGGTCTTTTGACATTGTCTATCAACGTTGTGGGCAACACATATGAATGAGATGCTCACGTACCGACACTTTCTTTCGCAACGGAGACGCTCGAACACGTGCACGGCCAAAAAACGACAGCAGATCAATTTCTTCGATGCCCCAATGAATTCATGATGGTTGTACCAGTGACAGTGTCGATTTTCATTTTCTGAAAAGCAAAAGGCAAGCATATGCAGCCTGCAAGAATAAAAATATCAGTGTCCTTCCAACGTTGCTAGCTGAATCAGCCTGGGTTCCAGTCTGTTTTCGCAACTCAGCACCGCCAACCGACACCTGCAGCAGACGACGACCAACAACGTCGCTCCGAGCGCGATGAAGTTGTGCCCCAATCCTAACAGATCCCGGGCCAGATTCGACAAAAGTAACACGAACAGCAACCCAAAACCGCAAACAACTTCGACCAACCGCAACATCCGCTCTTCGGCTGTCAAAATGACTCGTATCCGCGACAGCCGTAGCCCTGCGCGGAAGGTTAAAATTCCGACAACAGTGATGCAGGGCAGCCACTTGACCCACTCCGGTATTCGGTGGAGCTGAACGAGAATCAAACTGGCCACGGTCCACACGCTGATCCACGCTACCACCGACCTCTGCCGGATGAGAACGCCGTAGGTGCCGGTGAAGCAACAGGCAATCAAGATCCAGGTGGTCACGTGAATCGGAATGCTGTATTACAATGAAAAATGCCCCCTCCCCATATCAAAACGGAAATCTGTGATGCAGATTTGTGGTCACAAATCAGCTTTGTGTTGCTACAAGGCAAAAGATGCGGACTGTAGTGCTGTCTAGCGTGGGAAAGCCTTGCAGCTCCAGGATGACAAAAGGCAACACAACTGGAAGTCGGAAACAGCATGACAGATTGCCTGCGATTGAGGCCGCAGCTTCGTCTCTTGGCCTTCTAGCAATACATTTGTGTACTCAAATACAGCATCACAAATTCGCGCATCTTCCGTTTCCGATATGGGGTGGGGGCTTTTTTCACTTTGATATGCTGACGTATTTCGCGGGGTGCGAGGTCGTTCCGGCGATGTCCGGGTCGCACGTGATTTTCGTTTCTGTCGTGTGGTCGTAGGTCCAGGTGAGCGGGATTTTCTTCGATAAAAACCGGTACAGCGAGACTTCCGCGATCAGCGAAATCAAGAGGAAGAAAACCGCCACGACGCCAATCAAAATCCTGGGCGTCACCTCGGTGATCAAACTGGGATTATTCGGCGACCCGAGCAGCTGCGCTCTGCGTTCCCGCAAACAGGATTTCATGTAGCTGCAGGAGGAGAACCAGCTGAGCAGCAGGAGGACAAAGCCCAGAGGGTAAAAGGCGAAAACCGGCCAGAACACCGTCGACCACTGCAGGTTTTGTTTTTCTTCGTCGACGGCTTTGAGAAGAGAAGGAAGGGTCGGTGGAGATCGATCTTCATCTTGTCTTGCGGGAGGTTTTGTCGCTTCTACATGTTGACCCTCGAGAAGATCGCTCCTCTTACTCTTTTCTTGATCTACCTCACTGGACGGTGAAGAAGCTTCCGATGAGACTAGGTCGCTGGCTGGGTACGAAGGTGGTGATGGTGATGCTGTTTTTTCTTCTTCAAAGACGCCTGTAGCACTAGGACCCCGTAGAAGCCCGTTTGCGGCCGATGTTGCTGAAGTTCTTGCTCTTTCTAGTATCGTGTCAGAACGCGGTGGCGGAATGGCATCTAAACCCGGAGCCGCCACACTTGTCGCATCTTCCGATCCTGCTTTCTGCACAAGATGTTCACGACCTTTGTAGTCTTCGCTGTTTCGTACCCGTGCCTCTCCTGCTCTGGTATTACCTACTTTCTCTTCATCTTCTGCTGCAGCCACTACAGGCACGGGTCCTTCTGCCGCATCTTCTACTTCGTCTGTTCGTGCTGTTGACAACAAATTTCTATTCCTTCCGCCACCTTCCGAGCCAGCTCCGGTTGTGAAAAACTCGAACATTTGCGGCGACGGAGCGCGCCGGTCGTCGTGGTCGTCCTCCTGCATTTCCTGCAGACGTTGGTCTGGCGGCAGTTGCCGCTGCTGGTACGCATTTGGGTCTTCTGGACTCGGTGTCAGCCGCGCGGCAATGATCCTTTCCCGGTTCCTCACCGAATCTAAATTGCAAACACGTTCAAACTGCAACACCTTCAATCCGACAAGCACAATCGCAATACCGTGGGCCGCGACAAAGAGCAATTTTGCGGACTTGATCAGCCGCTCGGTGTGGCGGCCGCGGGTGCGCTCTTCGTATGGGTGTGTCAGGATTGAAATCGTCAAAGTTGAAATAGTTTGTCATGCTAAACCGACCGAAACCACTACACAGAAATAGTCTGTCATGCATAAAACGGATACCAGTTAGCCCTACAGTTTGTAGTCGGTGCATGACAAATTTTACCGGTCCTGGAAGCGAGTCTGTCATGCGGTTTAGGGCAAAAGAGCTGCCTTCTGTCATGCTAGTTAGCAGTCCAACTTTTGACCCTTACCAGGACTATGATCTGCGTCCCGTTGGTCCTCTGCAATAAAGTCACTTTTTGTGTCGCATTTTATGCATTACAAATTATTTCAACTTTGACGATTTCAAACCTGACGCTTCCATACTTCGATACCCCCGATTACAAGATTGGAGGACATGCTGGAGATAGCCGCGTCAGCAGGGGATGCGCTGTTTACACTCACGCGGGTCGAAGCTCGGGGGCGGGCTGCGGAAGATGAAGTGGGGGTAGAGGAAGTAGAGGAAACCATAATATTTTGTTCTCAACTGATTTTATCCGAACCTGCACAACCGTAGCTATTGAAGAAAGACGGCTATTCAAATGTTGAATCTTGCATGCTTGCAGTACTGACTTTCCACGCACGGCCATGATGGTCCTCGTGCTCAACACGGTGCTGGCGCATCTTGACGCTACACAGTCTCACGATCTACTTGCTCACCTTTACTTGATTCATTCTGGCTTGAGATGAAAACTGTTCCATTACTTTCTTTACAAAAGTCGTGTACAACAGTGAAGACTCTCCTGTACAGTAGCCAGTGCGGTGAGTACGGGACATGCAACGGTGCGGCACTGCGTTTCCTTTCGCTCTTTAGTGATGATGTCTGCGTCTTGTTGTACGTCATTTGTCATGTTCATCTTCCAGCTTCTACTTTTTGCAAAGCCGCCGGACAACCTAGGTAGATGATGCGCCAACGCACGGAACTCGAACTGTCAAAAATTCATTCGCAATGAACATCAACTTTAATATTTCTGCACAATACAAGCACTAAGCGGCTTGTTTCCTCTCTCTCTCTGTTTTGTGTGTCAGTGTCAGCACAGTGACCTATGCACCAGCACTCGATGCCAGTCAGCTGTGCTTTTGATCACTATTTGCAATAGACGCAACTTTCAAAACACATTCAGAAATTTTGCAATAGACGCAACTTTCAAAAGCAATTTGGCGGACTTGATCAGCCGCTCGGTGTGGCGGCCGCGGTACTAAGGGGAAAAGTTCAAGAATAGGAATCCGAGCAAAAATTGACTAGGGGGCCCAGCGACGGTACTTATGTGCTGGGTCGTGTTGTTGTAGTTTTTTTGCAGTAGGTACAAGACAAATGCCACACACGGAAGAAAAAGAGGAAACTACAAAAGGCCGGCTGCGGCCCCACCCCCAGGCTGCGGCCCGGCGCTTCTACGGCCCGGCCACCACCCCGGCCCCGCCCTCGCCCGATGCTTTTGTTGGCCGGGGAACCCAAAGGGAGCCGGAGCCCAATTTTGTGGCTCTTTCGGAGGGCCAAAAAATCTCAGCGAGGGGCCTCCGCGGGGGCTTTCGCTGGGGGGTCTTCAGGGGGGTCGATCTTTCTATTCTTGAAAACTCAGCACCCACGCCATGGTGCCGATTTGGGGGCTCAGAGGGGGGGCGCCAATTTGCCGCTTCCGGACCCTCTTCGGAACCCCCCACCCTGTCCATTCTTGAAAACTCAGCACCGATTGGCAATGGCCTATTTTCATGCTAATCACGACCTATAAGCAAAAAGGGGCGCGAGTATTGAGGCTGCCGCATGTTTGTAAGGAGTGCCTCCTTCAGACCGATCCGAAAGCGGGCGCGCGCGATGCTCCTGGGCCACCCTCACGAGCCGCCCTCCGCGGTTTTCCCGCTGGAGATGTACCTCGCCGACCTGCAGTGCGGAATTCATTTCGTCATCTGCTTCTGCGCCCTCGTCGAACCCGCCTAGCTATTTTTGCAAAAATTCTTATTCTTGAACTTTTCCCCGTAGTACGCGGGTGCGCTCCTCGATGCCCCCGATTACAAGGGTGGAGGACATGCTGGAGGTAGCCGCGTCAGGAGGGGATGCGCTGTTTAGGCTCACGCGGGTCGAAGCTCGGGGGCGGGCTGCGGAAGATGAGGTGGGGGTAGAGGAATTAGATGAAGCCATAATATTTTGCTCTCAGCAGATTTTGATTTTATCCGAACCTGCACAACCGTAGCTATTGAAGAGTGAAAGCTTTCACATGTTGAATTTTGTACGCTAGTAGTTTTCCATGCACCACGGCCGTGATGGTACAACTCGTGCCCAAGACGGTGGGGCATGTTGATGCTACACAGTTGTCTCACGATCTACTTGCTCACCTTCACCTCGTTCTTTCCTGCTTGAGAAAGCTGTTCTGTCTATTTTGATTTCGTTCTAATCGCGGCCACTTCTACAGAGACTCTCCTGCGCAATTTGTTAGAGTCGCAAGTCGTGCAGTACGGGACATGCCCCGGCGCGGTACCAACTGTGTTTCTGCTCGCTCTTGAATGTTGTGGTCCTGTCATGCTTCAGCTTCATGGACTATGAAGATCGCGCCCGGAGGGCGATATTGGTAACCAAATGCGTGCGCGAAAATCTAACCAGCGCGAAAGCCAAACCAGCCGCGCGGCTGCCACCACCATTTTTTTTAATTAGAATCCCACTTCTTCTTCTTGGGTCGCGGGCCGCAGTTGTGCTCGCGGCCCTTTAGGGCCGCGACCGCAAACTGCGGCCGCGACCGCAAACTTCTTTAGGGCCGCGACCGCAAGTGCAACCCGTAGACTAGGGTCCACATGTGTCGCTTCCAGAACATGGCCGCGGCCGGCTGGGATGTCAGTCGACGCTGCTAGTTTTAGTGCACATAGGTTGAAAGTAAGCATCGCCATCTATCGCGGGTCATCGGGGGCTTCCGGATTCGCATTCAAAGCTTATCGCAGGAGCCTGCGGGCCGCCGCGGGCTCCACCACTTCCCCGCGGCCCTAAAGGGCCGCGGACAACTACTGTCGCCCGCGGCGGCCCGCAGGCTCCTGCGATAAGCATTGAA